TCAGATAAGACAACCGTGAGATATCTAGCGATATCCCACGCTCCCGGGAATTTTCAAAGAATTTGTTTTCGTTCAGTGTAAATAATTTTGTTCAGTGTAAGTCAAAATGGCAGACGAACCGAGTAGATTCGTAAAAATATCTGAAGACTTAATGACTTAATAATATTGGGGATGTTTAGCTAGACAGTGATATAATAAAACAAATATTTCACTCTACTTTCGGTGAATACCTGTAGCACTTTCACAAGGTGATATTCCACTTGCCCTTCGGGCTTCGTGGAATATCACTTGTGAAAGATGTACAGGTATTCACCTCAATAGAGTGAAATATTTGTTCAATATTACATGATGAATAATCTAGCATTCGTCAACACGTATTTATGCCGAGGACTGTAAAATTATCCATGATATTATTCGTCAACAAATATCCTTTAACTACTCAACAAATAATCATTTTTTATCAAGTATTTACGATCAAGTACCAATCAACAAACATTCATAAAATAAAAAATATTCCTCAACAAGTACATGTATACATGAACAAGAAATGGAATACAAAAACAGGAATTCTATTCTAGCGAGCATCCGTTTTTGTTCATCATAAACTGCTGTATGAGACCATATGTAATTAATTACACAAATGTATTTAAACCATTATTACATCTAATAGACACGAAAATAGAGCATCGATGAATTAACTAATAGATTAGCTTCATACCTTTCGGGTTAAAGTCTTTGCAGACACCTGAGGCCGGACTATGTTACGACGGTGATGATAGCTTACCAAGAGAGAGGAACGATCCCAGAATGCCAAGTGCGTATCACGTGACATCACATAGCAACCGTTAATTAAATATATGATTTCATGCATCAAGTTTACCGGGTGATGCTTCCCTCTGCTTGGTAACACTATTATTTGATGTAACACTAGCTCTATTTCATTAACGTTTGTCATTGTTTACGTGATTGTTACCGTTTGGAGGATAGTTCACTGGTTAACTAATATGCCTGTATTAACGTAATTAATACAAGCAATAGGTTGTCATCCAATAATTACCCATTATTGAGCTGATTTATAGTTCCTTTAGAAATATTGTATTAATCACCATAACGTTGACTTTCCAATTCATTATGTAATTGTTTGGTAAATAACGTGATGGAACTAAATCACCATAACTGCTTTGAATTGTTATTTGAGAAAACGATGAAATAATTAATTAATTTTACGTACAGTAATGTAGTGATAACAAAAGTACAATGGCGCACTATTTACCGGATATATAATAAGCGAGATCAATCATCCTACGGGAATAGGCACCCTCGTAAATCGCAGAAAATATATGGTATCCTACATTTTTCGTAAGCCACGCCTTCTCAGTCCTTCTTTTGATGAAACGGATGGAGACGGATGGAGTTAACCCCGGGAGTTAAAGCCTAGGCTAGACAATAAGTTGCCTTATACCAGGTATAACTGAAGTTGGGGAACGTCGGGGAACGTAAACGTAATATTAGCAATTTGGTCCCCCATATATTATCGCCCCCTCCCTTCTATTTACATTCATTTTCATTACGTGTTAAAGCCTCTTTACGTTTGAATTTTTATTTACTTAACCTGCGATGAAATTACTTATGAAACGAAACTTGACTTTATTTCAAATACCTCCAAATTTTCTCATTTTTTCCTCAATTACAATAGGTCGAAGATTGATGATAAATTTGATGATTTTTTGAAAATCGACATTCCCATGTTAACCAATGGGAAATGGTAGGTTCGCCGCAAGTCTGAGTCTTTGAGATTTTTGAGTTTTGCTTGTTATGAATGTTAAAGCTTAAATACTAAACTTGTTGAGTCAACTCTTTGCAACGTTGAAAAAAATTGCAAAATTCTTCTTTGTATATAAACTTTCAGAAAAAATTCTCGAAAAGCTGATTGGTTGCTTCCATTATGCCATTCCCCGGTTGGATTTACAGACAAAATAAATAATCCCAAAACAAAAGAGCAAATTAGCTAAAACATTTTATAATAGCACGTTCTGAAATCAAATCATTATAGCATGAAATATTATCTTGTGATTTTAGTGTCATTTACAGGTTATATTAGCTTAAAATGAGCTACTTGATGTTGGGAGGAAAGCGTAAAATCAGATGTATCCATAGGAGCAACAATCCTTTGAAGACAACCCAGTAAATCGCGAGGTAATCAGATCTAAACGTTGGTCTTTCTCAGTCACTCATTGGCCTGATAGATTTATTTGCTTTTGCCCCTTCTCGTAATTAACCCTCGTAGATTAATTTCTGAAATTGATTCTGACAGCGATCTGGAAGTCCGGAAAAATGTGTCCGTCTCATATGAGGGTTATGTTATGGGAGGTTTTGAATATCGGGTATATCCCGAGGGAAATATAGACATCGAAATGAGGGCCCGAAGTAGGATATCATATTTCCCGAGGGATATACCCCATATTCAAAACCGAGCATCGCATAACTAATTTTTCCTATGACAAGTGAGGTTTGACAAGTAAAGTTTTCAGGACACCAATATCCAAGCTTGTTTTCATTAGTGTTCTCATTGTCATTATTTTCGAGAAATCCATCAGCATTTTGGTCAAGAACGATTCTATGGTCTGTTGCTTCCATTTTGACAGTTCCGCTGCAAGGCATTCTAACAAATTAAACTGTTTCTCCGCTGATCAAAATAAATCCCTGAAATATTGAAGCGGGAGAACACAGCGGGAGATATTTATATGTCCCGGTTCCCCAATAGATCAATCCTATATCCCACTGTTATATACCTCAAACCTCACTTGTCATAGGATAAATTTATCTTATTAGGTTATATAACTTTGAGAAGTGCCTTTAAAAAGAAAATAGAGTTTTTTCTACTCTATCTAACCATTCACGAGTTGTATATTTCTGAACATGTCATTTGATTGTTTTACCAGAAGAAGAAACTGCGAATTAATCAAATTACTTCAACAAATGAATGTCTATTTTGACCTTGACCTAGATTCAGTGAAATAGATTACCGTTGTCAATTTCATTATTTTAAGTTGGCCGTTCTGTTACCTCCCTCTGCTAGCATATTTATCCACACTATTACCAAACTGATGTGTAATTCTAATAGTTTTAATTTATTACTCTTTGTAATGCAATTTTAATTACATTTAAATAAAAGTCGAATAAAATGTTTCTATCTAAAAATAAATATCGTGAAAGTAATATAGATCATTGGCACAATGTGCAATTAACAATTAGTTGTATAAAGATTTAGTTAACATTTTAATGTGGTCAGAAATCATATCTTGGAGAATAAGAATGTTTTGCCTTGTTCAAAATTCCTAATTATTTGACATTTTCGATATCATGTCCAGAACCTGTATAGGTTCATATAGGAACCAAACAGCGAACTGTGAGACTAATTAATCCCTTTAACTCAATACATATAACAGTGTTAACAAATTGTACAATGGCATCTAAAAGCCTGTCTATTATTCCATTAATTGTGTCTACAAATAATTATCACTTTAACTGCATTATTCTAATTTTATAATACAACAAAAAGATATATTGGTATATAATGATATTTTATCATTCACACGATAAGAAACAATTTTTCACATGTGATGGAACACTAAGGGATGAGGCTAATCAAAAAATTAATCAAATCTCAGGCATAAAATTCATCAAACCAAGAATAAAACATCGCCAGTCACATAAAGTCAATCATATTCGTGCAAAGGACCAATAATTTTTTACCTCTACATAAAGAATTTCGGTTTTTGAAAACACTCTCTTCATATATGCACTTGTCTATTGATTTATTAAAAGGTTTATTGTCTACCGAGATAATTTGTATTTTATTTTGAGCGTAATTTTAACCTCATTTGCCAGTTTAATCACATGTGACGCTTTGATATCGTCGTGCCCCAGGTGCGCACTTTGAGAACACCATCAAGACCAACTGAGCCCCGCACTTTGATTGTAATGCAAGCTCCAATAACGACAAAGAGAATAGAATCAATTTTCTCCTCTACAAATTACGTTTTTTTACCAATTGCGCAAATAGCTATAATATATACACGTCTTCGTTTTACATTTTTTTATGATAAATGTTTTTGTATATTCACTTATTAATTTCCAAATTAGAAAGAAAAACAGATTTCGCAGTTTTTACCAACAACTATATAATAGGATTTATTAATTGCACTGATACCCTAGGGCCAAACGTACATCCATCAATAACATTTTACAATCACAGCAAAAAACTACCCTTCGCGCAGAGTCTAGTTATAAGACGAAGCTCTCTTTTAAGAAGTGAAGTCGAATGAATGCAAAGGGTAGTAAAAACAGTAATAAAGAAAACAAAACAACAAATCAATCTTCAAATCACTGATATACATGTTTGTTAATGACACGTGCTGTTAACTAATAAAATATGTGAATTAATATAAATATGTTGCTATTCCTGACGAAGATGTTATTATGCTTGACGAAGATGTTGCCGCCCCTCAAGGAGATGTTACCTGCGTCCTTAATAGGGCACAAACAGTCATGTAACGCCATTAGAAAACATATACAACTTAATAGCGGGGAACATGTGCCATTTATGAACAGCAATTAACAATCTTAATATTTTCAAAATTAAAAAGGTTGTATGGCAGCCATACCACGTGGAACGTGTGATGCCCTGGCGCGTTTTGGTTTTAAGTTCGAGATATGCCAGCCAGCTAAACACTCAACACATCACCTCGATCACTTACCTGTTTTTAAATGGTCATTTTACTGATATTATTTTACAACATCAACTCGCATGTCAAGACTGACAGGGAAACCGATGATCGACAATATCTCAGATTAAAAGATGATGAATTTAATTATTTGATACACTCTTTTTTGATTCGCTTATTAGGCCTATTTATATAGACCTATTCCCACTGTGTATACATATTAAGGGCCAATGAATATGATAATTGTGAATGGTATTGCTTCTGTCTAGCAGATAGGATAATTATGTATCCCATAGGTAATGGCTGTAGCTCGGTGAGATGTATAAATTATGTGCAGCGAAATCAAACGGTATATAAAATCTTCAACAGGTAAAACAGCAAACAGATTGATTCAGAGGAACATCATGAAAACTTCGAACAAAAATGAGCGCCGATGTATGATGACCAATTAAGGAGATATTTTGCTGAAATTTAATATAAAATAACAGCTTTTTGAAATAAGTGACATTTAAATAACTGAATGATAAATTGAATAAAACAATAAAAACAAGATAATCGCAGATAATTTGAATTATCTATAACTTGATTGACATGGCGGACAACGACTTCAATCAGACCATGGCGTTGTTGACGTCTGTCTACGCAGGAAACTACGCGTTTTACTCTAACGCCGCCGCCACTGCTGCAGCCGCCGCAGCGAGAGGAACGAACGGAGGGTTCCTTCCACCACTACCCAACAACATGCCATTTCTTAGCCCTTCAACGACAGAATCCGTTAGTCCCGGGAACTCTCCAGGGGCGCACAATCTCACAAAATCACAATCAAATGGACATTCTGCAAATACGAATTTCTCAATCGACGGTATACTTGGTAAGCCCGATCCGAGATTTGGGTTGGGGTCACCTTCGTTATTTTCTCTTGACAAAGACTTATTAGATAAACATTTAGGAAAGGCTTACGAGGGCTTCATTCCTGACGAAACTGATTTAAACTCAAGGTTTTCCTGGTTACAGTGCACACGTTACAAACCCCCTAAACTACCTAGTAAGTATTTATGAATGCCTTTGGAAATAAAATTAATTTCAACAATTCATATAAATATTTGAAATGTATTAATTCGTGAATATTGACTATATTTTGTATATTTCACAATTCTAAAGATTTTTCGTGATAATTAGCAGCCTTCATAATTTTCATAACGTAGTGTAGATTAAAGCAGTTATTCCATAAGGATCTGGTTGAGAGGGTTTATTAAAAAAGACTCATCACATTTCATTCATTTTACAATTAATCGAAATTGTAGGCCTATAGGAGTATGCCTTTATTCTATCTACAAAAAAATCAAAACGCAGTCACTGGAATTACGTATATTTTAAAGCTATAATACGTGATATATTATATACCTTATATATAATATGTTGTACACACCTTTGTACAGACCAAGTAGTAAGACGTTGCCAGTGTCATACATTTATGGTATTTTATGTCTCTGGTAAAACCCCCTAAAATTGTTTTAAAAATCCAGTTTTTTAATGTAAAAATATTCTCAGTCAGTAATGGGTCAGATTCCAATATAACTAAGTACTTCGCAATTGTTGTTTCTAGATATTCGTTATTATGTTATCATTGTAATGTTAATATGTTAAGTTTTAATTGAATGTAGCTCGCCGATCTTGCGAACGCCACTGCGTTACGTATGTGACATGGGTATAGCTATTATTGTCACGCAACTTTCTAAATAGACCAATTACAGTTAACCACTATTTGAAAAGATACATTTTAACAAATCTAGTTAATTAATTAAGAAACCAATATTCACTATCGAACTAAAGATATAATGTTTTTACATATACCTCAACATATGCGTCTACTATTTCAAAAGTGGATTATTTAACAGTGTGGTTACACATATCTACAGTGTTAAATATTTTGTTGTTTAAAAAAATTAATACCGTATGATGGTAACCAGGTAGCGTATGTCTGATATTTTGCATAGAAATAGACAAACGCGGTCGAGTAGAGTACTGGAGTAAAACGCATTGAATGGGACCATTTTATTTTTTAAGTTGGGTGGGATACAATGTTTGCTTAAACAGACAGTCAATTATGTTATTGTCAGATTATTCGCTTGGTATCTCACACGTTATATCCGATTAGCAAAACATGCATTGCCCATTACCACCAAAGGTAAAGTGTTGGGCCGCTGTTAGCCTTATGTAAAGAATCCTTTACGCTCTGCAGAGAGGTAGTATGCCGTATATTATATAAAAAATCTAATAATAATAATCTATCCAATAATAAGCAAACTACTTTTGAACATTGGTTAGCATGCTCAATTTTAAAGATATGGCTACAAATAGAAAAAATAAATGCCGATGCGATCTTGGGCAGATAAGAAAAACTAATATTCTTTCTGAATCATCCCATGGGCATTTTAGCGTGCCAAAGTCAACAATTCAAATTCCACTTTTTTACCTGGAAATGTTTTTTACCTTACGTCTATAGAAACAACTGTTCCCATGGTAACGCATGTATATTTCATGGTAAAAACAATCATCGAAAAAACAGGACGCTTTAGTGTTTTACTTTTTTATCTAATCATTAAATTAACGACAAACTCGAAATAGCTATGTATCCCTAGTCCATGGACGTTCTGACTCTACTATATTCGGCTCGATTTCATTTGGCGTTAAAATGTGATGTCTTAATTGATTGAAAAAATCGGAGCCAAAGATATGCTAGCTGACAAAATATACAAAACATTCTCATTGAATCCATATGAATATAATTATGATACGAATCTAGGATATTACTTGGGTCCCTATATCAGATCGAGATTTCATTGGTGGCTGAGATAACGTTTTAACAGGTTAAACAGCCTGTCTGTAGTCTTATTACAAACACGTGAAGCGTATTGAATTGGATAATTCGTCTGTCATCAAAATGTTGAGATAGTTTCCGACTGACGGCTAAGACAGCATAGCATCCCTCCTCTTTAATGTATATAAACAATTTTCAAATTATTCAATTTCAACATAAAACGATTCAGTGTCTATTCAGAAAATATCAAAATTCAAATAGGGGCTGATTTCATAAAATCAGCCTGTCGGAGTCTAGCGTTTCTATTAAGTTCTTATTGTAGATCTCATCAGAGAAAAAAAATACAAGAACACGAGCCTTTTGAAATGAAAACAACATAATATTGTAAATAGTATGATTTCTAAGATGAAGAATATAGATATATGACGAAATCCAAGAAGCTACATGTAATTTTAAAAAATTAAATCCGCAAACGAGTCCTCCTCGACCCCTTTTCTTAATTCTCTTAATCAGGTACGTTTGAAAACAGATTTTGAAGTGGATCGCACTCTGGTGGGTAGATCCAAATGGTCGAGGATTTTATTGTGATTTACATTCATCAAGTCGTATTGATAATGGTTATATTTTCTTGAAAGTATCTTGAAATGACGTCTCTCTCTGACATCTCTTTTTTCTGAAACTGTGGAACTATTTTAACATCGTTATATTATCAAAAACCAATTAAGCTGTTTTTGGTCTTCCAGGAGTGAAAAGAAAGGACGCGATAAAGAAGCGAAAGTTAGGACGTAACCCTCGTGTTCCGTTCACACAGCACCAAGTGACGACGCTCGAGGCGAAGTTCCGGAGGACGCACTACCTTAGCAGCGTCGATGTAGCCGAGCTCTCCGCCGCCCTAAATCTCACAGAAACACGGGTGAGTAGATGTACATGTATGAATGATGTTAAGGTGGGCCTTGCCAGACAAATTTTGGGCCCTGTCAACAATAGACAAGCCTTGACCATGACTTTTAAAAAACTGCTTTTGATATTACATATACATTGCTGCATATTTATTATGATCCATATGTACCAGAGGTTATTTTTTACTTTATAAAAAATCAAATTATTGCCACAATTATGGTTACCCTGTAAAATAAATACATTTTTATATCTTGTGTAAACAAGACCGTAAATTTCACTTGAAACAATTCATCTAACCATTACTCATTATTTCTGTCAATGTCAAGAACATTGTCTCGCCACGTTTAAAAATAATTCAGAATAAGCATTTTTTCTGTTGGACTACATTATACACGTAAATATGGAATTTTCAAACTCAATATTTTTTAATTCTGAGCTGTTTAATGGTATGGTGTTGAAAATTCTGAACATAAAGGAATAAAGGAAAATTGCCATGAGGCAGTTTAGTATCACTTTAACGCATTCGTTTCTGACGCTGAAAAGGCAACACTGGACGAAACGACCATCGGAAGCTCAGGTGCGTCGAACTTAATACCAATAAACCCAAGGAGGATTGGCTCCCAGAGTGCACCACCGATATTCTGTCCCATATATGGGTATGTCGTAATACAAAATTCGAATTCAAACAGCCGCCATTTTGTTCACTTCAATATTTAAATCGTGATTTTTGGTCTTATTTCCAAACGAAAAATTCCAAAACTCACAAGAAATGATCGAGATATTGGTTCGAATCTTTTGAACTGTTTATTTTGAATTTATAGTCGGTTTTAATTTCAGAAAATAACGACATTTCGACGTTTTCATTGTTGGAAAATATCGAGTTTCGATCCTGGGAGCCAATCCTCCTTGAATAAACCATAGCGGAAAAATCTTCTCCCTCTCCTCAACGACTCTATAAAGTAATAATAGTGTCAATTAATTACCTGCTCAATTATCCCCGTTTGTCTACCGGTAGCTACTTCTTTTTCCGAGTTATTCAGTTAATTAGATTGTGTGATTAGTGGTACTCGAGTGCCAATTCACATCTCAAGAGAATGGTACTTGAAAGTGAAATCATTTCAGATGTCTAATCAGTTAAAATAACAGTTGATACTTTTGCGATTAACACATGTATTCTGTTTTGAATCAGCACTTGTAGTACAATTGTACGACTAACAAAGGGGACATAATACCCGGAATGTACGCACGTGCAATCTTACAGTACGCACGTTCGTCTTTTCGGCACATGACGTCAAAGGCCCAATGTATAATTATTCAAGTAGGCTACATTAGAATAAGTAGGCTGCATTAAATTTTTTCAAATCTAACTTTAGGCATTTCGAGTATTTATATGATCAAGAATTTCCCCCAAATTTTTATTAGTATGAAATATACTATTTTGAAGGTTCATTATAGAATAATAATGCATACATCCGGAATATTTTTGTTTATAAATAGCAAAGAAATAAATAAAAAAAATAGTTTCGCATTACAGTTTATAACGATGCAAACAAATTGTTTTTCCTTCCAATTCTTGCTAAATTGTTCCTTATTTTCTAATATCAAAACTCATATATATTTTCAAAGATTCAATCATAAAGCTTCTATTCAACAGAACATCAATCTTATTTATCTATTATTCTATTTTTATTTATTTCAATTGAAAAAAATCAAGAATTATTTTCCGTTATTAGTAATTCGGCTGGTTTCGAACAAATTGTTTTTCTCAATTACCAGGGACTAATATTGCTTGGACATTTGAGGCGTTTAGTAGGTATTATCAATCTTTTAAATCCGTTTGATCTTGCTAATAAAGTACATTGTTGAACTAATTTCTGATAATAATCAAACCATGATTCGAGAATTTAATGACAATATAAGAGAAGAAGCAAATGAGGAGAGTCTAATCATCACAATTCTAATGATTCGATCAAATTTCCGAAAAAGCAATTTTGTTGTAATAACTCAGGAGCGTCTACCGTTTTGATTAGCTTTGAAAAGACAAACGGTAAAAAGCATAGTGTTAAGTTTCAATTTATTACATTGATTGAGATTTCCCGGGTCATAATCAAGGTTTCAAAGCTAATAAATTTGTCTTTTATGTTTTATGACTTTCAATATGATGGAAATATAGCTAACAATGTGCAATCTTCTTTTAAAACTATAATTCAGAATTTAAAATCTATTATATGCTGTGATATTTTATGACTACAAATACCTTCATACTGTCGAACATTGTATAGATTATAAAAATTTAATTTTCAAAAATTGTTATCTTAACGACCCATATCAGGAACTGTAACGATCGGTGTAAAATTAAACGATACTATAATTGCTGAAATTCAAGGTTTTTATATAAATATCGATATACTAAAAATGTATTTTACAAGCCGCAGATGGATTATAAAAAACTAATTGAGTCGACAATCATAAACTAATGGGCATCAATTGAAAATGTAAATAATGAGACCTCACTCGAATACTAGCAGGATTTAACTGAAACATATGATTAATGTGATTTGAACAAGATGGTTATGTTTTGAAACCCGGGGGTAAAAACCGCATGTTTTTATTTGAACACAATTATTCTATTCAAGTATTAAAATATGAATTCACGGTGAGTTAATAACAAACTAAAGTTTATTTTGTAAGATATTTTGGCTGATGTTCATTTTTAATTGAAATTGTGAAAATCTAAACATGTGGGCTAAATCTTAGGATGACCATTACAACAGGTTTGATTGAATTTTAACCGTTCGAAAGCTAGTGTGAGGACAATGTTCGATGTCAAAGGTCACAGTGAAAATACATGGTCCATCTCCTACTCTGTTTTGCCAGTATTACGGTCAACATCTTCAGCATTATCCCTTCAACTGGCATTACCGCAATAAAATATGGGAAAATAATTTTTTGAAATATCAATATTTCAAATTTTTAATACAGAATAGTTAGTTGGCTTTAAAGGACGATTCTCGGTTTGGAGAACGAAGTTCATCAATCTAAATGAGCATTATCCCTGCTTCGGACAAAGGAGGAGGGAAGTTAGCGCAACAGATTTTGGACAATCATATGTTGGATTTCGGCCATTTCCTGGGAATTTAAACAGGTGCATATGTTAGGCGAATGTTTTACCTCTAGGAAAATCACTTCGAGAGATGATAAAATAATTTTGACTTTGAGACAGGGTAGATGCAAACAACCCACCCACATGTTTTTTCTGAAATGTTTTCCTGATTTTCAACCCCTTCCATCCTTTCTTTTTTAATTTTTCTTGCATCAATATGTTGCTTTTTGACTCACAGTTGATCCCTTAAAAGGAATAAATGATTCCATTTAGATAAAGTGGAAAACAATATTTCCCATGTTATTTTCCCATAGGAAAAATCATTGCTTTCAGCTAAGTTTGGTCACCCATAATGGGTATCTTTAAAACCCCTGAAGGAATCACTTATTCCTTTAAAGTGGTTAACTATGTGTCAAAATGCAACAAATTGATGCAAGAAAAATTAAAAAAGCAGGGATGGAAGGGGTCGAAAACTAGGAAAACATTTCAGAAAAATCATGTGGGTGGGTTGTTTGCATCTAACCTGTCTCAAAGTCGAAATTATTTTATCATCTCTAGAAGTGATTTTCCTGGAGGTAATGCATTGGCCTAACATATGCAATTGTTTAAATCCTCAGAAAATGGCCAAAATCCAACATATGACTGTATAAAATCTGTTGCGCTAATTTCCCTCCTCCTTTGATTTTTTTACATAATATAGATTTGAATGTCCTCTTTTGAATAGTCATAATTTAATTTGGGTAATATTTCTAGATTTTTCGCCAAAAAAAAATTAGCGCAGTACACTAATGAACTTCTTTCCCCAAATCGAGACTTGTATTTTATTGAATCGGTCTAATTGAGCGTTATCCCTGCTTCAGACCAATTTGTTATTTTTACATATTGTAGATTTAAATGTCCTCTTTTGAATATTCATAGTTTAATTTGGGTAATATTTCTATATTTTTCATGAAAAAAATTATTAGCCCAGGAGACTGTTCTCCAAACCGAGAATCGTCCTTTTGCCCTGGTAAAATTAAAATCTTGGATATTATGCTAGCTTGCGCATGAGATCAAAAAGCAAGGCAGAGACAGCTTGAATATTCGTGTGTGAGATAAGCTGTATTTTCATCCTACTCGTGATGGATTTCCCAATTTAAAGTTTAATTTAATAAACCAGCTGAAGTGGCCAACTCGTAAATTGTATGATGAGCCAATTATCTCGCCACTATCCAGATCAATGGGGTCCAATAATACACATGTTCCCATTAACGTATTAGACGCAGTATGACTGCAGATGCGCAGGTTGCACATCCATCGAAATATCTTCTAGCTAAATTTTGACATCGTTTGACACGATTAGCGCGCCGTGACCCCTTATTGCCGACAAGGACAAGATAAAAGAATGTCCAATTAGTCTAATTTGATTATTCCGGATCAGCTGTGACGGTTTACATGTTAGCAATTGGTCAAGTTATCATTAATTAACCATAATACAATTGTTATGATTTTCATGAAGTGATTATAATGGTAATTACCGAGGCCGTGAAATAGAAAAGCTCGCCGCATTTTGACATTTGTGAGGTTCATTGCCCGCAAATGATTCTTAATCAATAATAATTTTATTCATATTTGATCAATGAACTTTTTTCGTATGCAGTATTTCAACGTGATGCATTATTACTTAATAATGGCAGCATTGATTTAATTTATAAAAGCATAATAATTAGCTGAAAAGTCTTAGAAGCTGAAAAGATAAAATATTGAAATTAATAGTCAACATTTTTATTTTCAGGTGAAAATCTGGTTCCAAAATCGACGAGCACGAGAAAGGAGAGATCGTGAAACGAGCCCTATGGCGGCCGTTGCTTCACCTTCAGCAACATCTACTTCGATGGCAACAAGTAGCCCTTCTTCTACGCAGCAACAGCGCATTAATTCAACAACAAGCACAGCATCTAGTTCATGGCCAGCCCCAGCACCACCAAACCCATCCGCGGTTGCACAATTTTCACATGCCTTACAACAAGGCGTTTCGGCGTTTACCCCAGTATCATTTGGAGGCTTTTGAGCTAATTTTGACATTTCAAATAATTCGAAAAATAGCTATAACTTTTGCAAAGCATCTTTAAGTTTCCGACACGGTCTGCATAATTCAATCAGGTGATTCAGTATAGCCTGCTATGACAATGAATCATTGGTCCATGCACAGTACTAAAAATGTTCACGGTGTGTAATTCCAAAATATAGGAGAAAGTACAACATAGCCTTTACAGAAAACCTAGTACAGTAAAGTTCAACACAATCTGTAAATTATGAAAAAATGTGTATTGTGAAAATCATGAAACATGATATTGACAATACAAGTATTATTAAGCATGAAAAGCTTTGTAAATAATTATAAATTATATTTTACTGATATATTTGTAAATTGATGTCTTGTATATATAAATATTCAAAGAACAAATATAATATCAAAGTATGACTCAACCGAAGTTCTATATTTTTGTTTGATTATTTATTGAAAGTAGCACCATTGGGTCATATTATACATGCGAGGAGAATGGCCAAGCATGAGAGCCAATGAGTGTGGAGATACTGGTTTGATTTTATATCTTTTGGCCTTAATCCATTTGAATATTCCGGTTAAGGCACTCTCTGTTATTATACAAGGGCTGATCCATATATTCTGATAAAAATGCTCTCATTTTGTGATTTTTCATATATTTGTCATTTTTCAGAACTTATAGTTTATGTATAATATGGTGTGATTACTCCTTTTCACAAAAATATGATGAATCCAATCAAAGGAATCAAATGAAATAATATTCTAATAGCCTATATCATATTTATAATATCATATTTATTTTGTGTCTTCAGTGACTCATTATTTATATTTGTACAAATTGTGACTTCATATATACAATTTATCTATAGCATCTACTTATTAACAATTCATATACACCTTTACTCAATTTGATTATGTTCTCACAAAAAAATGTTTCTCTTCACCAATACTTTGATGTCAAACATCTTTATTTATGGTGATGTCAGACATATTTGCTTTACAAAATGTAAGACATATTTAGCTATAATGGTGTCATATGATGTTGACATATCCATTGTTAACATGATTTACATATATTTTGTTACATACTCATATATTCAACATTATGCATGTACACTCAGGCCTTTGGCTAGGGGGTCTGACCCCCCCCCCCCTGGAATTTCAAAATCATGCAATTTTTCACAATTCTGATCACTTTTCAAGTGATTTTGGCCATTTATGGGCCAATACAAAGTTGTCCCATGGATTTTTTAAACGGTGAACCTCTACCCCTTGGTAAATCTCGTCTACAGCAGGACACTGCACAATAATGTGCAAAAAAAACTTTGTGAAAAAAAACTTTGTGATTACTGAGCGATCACAATAACATTCAACAATAATTTGGAGATTCTTTGAATCTTCAACTCAATCTGGAAATCATTTCTCTTCAATCTAATTTTCTGCCCAATACAAACAAAATTATGTTTAATACTTTTGAATATTCTCACTGTTCTGTTAGAAGCGACATCTATATTGCACTGGCGGTATTATAGTTGGGATTTACAAGTAAAAAATTATGAACTTGATTTTGTTTTACATTTTAGTTTCACATGTAACTTTTCCAAAAGAATTCAGGTGAGAATTAAGTTACTACTAATTTCATCACATCGGGTTGTGACGCCTCGTATATCTGGTATTAAATCTGGCCAAAATGACTTGAATGCTTTAAAACACCACATTCCATGCCAATAGTCAAATGTCACATCAAAAGGTCACAAAAAGACTTCTCAGAAAGGTGGGTGACATTGTATTCTTTGGATGAAGTTCTTCTTTAGTTTCCTTCAGTTTTACTGTTGATTATGATATTTTTTCTAACTGAGACTCAGGTGGGATTTATTCATTGCATTAGACTACAATGCCAGTTGATTAGAATGTGGGGGCCCGCAGGTCAATGTGGTTGAGGTCTCTGGTTAATGTACAAGTCAATGAACCTAAAATGAATTGCCCACAAAGCGCATGGACCATCCAATATCTTCTATATTTCACATCATATTTATAGAAATCCTATTATTATGAAACCAGAGTTAAACATAATCCCCTAAAGGTGGCATTAAGGAGATAGTTGCATTGCATTTAAATCAGTGATAGGTCCATTTAGACATCACCATCTACTTTACTGCCATCTATTCTGAAGGCCAAACTTTGGGGTCTTTGCAGCAGTAGTAGTGTACAATGACACCATTTGGATACCTCGCAAAAGCACTGAAATAGAGTGGATTAAATGTTAAAATTGCCTTGAAGCCTGGGTCACATTTGCTCCGATCCATCGGCCGGTGCCTGGCCGATTGAGTGTTTTGTTCAAATTTGTATTCAATTTTGAACAAAATACTCAATCTGCCGGGCGCCGTAGTAAAATCGTAGCAAATGTGACCAAGGCATAAGCTAGCAGTTACAAATTAAGACTTCACTCCTAACAATTATGAACTGACTGGGGGCATTAACAGAAGCTTCATAAAGTTAAGAATTCGTAAAACCCATTGTTCTCTAACTGTGACGTCATTATATCCATGGTTACAACAATTGATTTACGATTCGTAACTTTACTAAGTTTCTGTTAATGACCCCCTGGGTATCAACTGTTCCACATAAGACCTGAGTCTGTCTTGCCAACACCTGCTTTTAAATTATACTAATCCTAATTGAAAGACCTAAATGGGTTTAAGTCTTATATTTAGATAAAATATTTATTCAAACTTTGTTTATTTGTATTTGTTTCTTTCATATTAAATTACACTTTAATTTTAATTACAAATATTGATTACTTATGTTACAACCTGTAAAAAAGTGCCCTCGTACCTGTTTCCAATCCTCTTCTTACACACTCTGCACATTTTTTCATCTGTTATAATGCACTTAATTTTTTGATAAAACATTCTCTGTTCTTGAACCTAGAAAAAAATCAAAAAAAATTAATTAATAAATAAAATAAATAAATTAATTAAATGCTATGCTACAAAGAACTGAAAAATATGAAAATAAACAAATGTTACACAATTTATGCGAAAGCACAAATGGCAACATTTCAAAACAGAAAATAATCCATTTATGCTGACCATTTTAAATTATACAGATAGTGGCTATTGATCATATTTGTTGTATGTGTAATGTATAAAGTATAATAGTATTAAAACATTGCTTCATTGAGAACGGTCGCAAAAGTCAATAGAGCAAGCCATAATAAATTACTTGTAAATGTTCAGCATACAGAAGGCTGCGTAGGACCTGGGCATCTCTCTTGTCAACCCCTCTCTCCTCAAGAACATTCTCAAGGAAGACTAGTAACCGGGACACTTCTATGGAGGCTGGCAGGAGCTCCAGTGCCTTCAGTGTAATAAACAATCAATTAATCAACAAGGCATTAACATGCAAATTGTCACCACCTGCCATTTGTAACAAAACATTGACCGCTGACTGCTAAACACTTACCACTGAATGCCAATCGCCAAACACCATCCACAAAAATGTTGGAGACTATAACAATAGGTCATCACTTGTGGTGATGATGTGAAAATGAAAGTAAAATTATTGAATTGTGAATAGAAATGTTTATCATTTATCATTATCAATTATGAACAATTCACGTCTACATTTTGTATCTGAGCTAATGAAACTTTAATAAGACATTTCATTTCAAAATGTAATATGATATATATCCTTCATTGAGCCCAAGGACCAATTCCACTTGGGGAGTTTTCCACAGATTACAGTTTAAATCTAAAATTGAGATGATCGATGATTGAAATCAGGATTTATGAGAGCATTCATAAGTGAAAATGTACAGACTTTACATCTTATTATGTATACATTCAGTAAAACCTGCCTCACTAGGACACATTTGGTACCTCTAAAAGGTGTTCCACTTGGGAGGTGTTCCGCTTAGAGAGATTCATTTAACATTAAGTCAGTTGGTCTTTAGGACTCTGAAAAGTGTTCCATTAACAGAGGTGTTCAACTTTTAGAGGTATTTCACTTTACAAGTTTCACTGTATTTAATAAAGAAAAATCTTCTTCCTATTAAACTCAGTAAAAATCATACCTTAGACGTATTGACTTGGTTACCATGGTCCCTGAGCAGATCTAGTGCTGCATCTATATTAGGTTCGGAGGGGGTTGTGCCAGATACCATAATACCTAAATACACAGCAAAAAATAAGTGAGTTTCCACATTTGAGTGTCAACATTTCTTATATCCATGGTTCAGTTCAAAGCATTTCTAGAACTTCTAAATGGAATTCTACTGAAAATACTCTACAAAATAAAAATATATTTAACATAAATAGTGAAAGCTAAGAATGCAAATGAAAGAACATTACTTTGTGGCGTGCCACAAGGTTCTGTATTAGGCCCTCTTTTATTTTTACTTTTTATAAATGACATTTATAGAGTGTCCAAGGATTTAAATTTTATGTTATTCGCAGACGATACTAATATTTTATATTCTGGAAAAAATGATTTAGATGTATTCAACAAAATGAATGAAGAACTGACAAAATTAGCAATCTGGTTCAATGTAAATAAATTGTCATTAAATATTGAAAAGACAAAATATATGACTTTTACACAAAGAGTAAAACTTAACCAAGGTCTTTCCCTAAAAATTGCTAAAAAACAAATCCAATGTGTTGACAAAATTAGTTTCTTGGGAGTTATCATTGATGAGAAACTCAGTTGGAAAGACCACATCAAGTACTTACAGATGAAAATATCAAGAACATTAGGAATCTTATACAAAGTTAAAGACAAACTATCTCAAAATATCTTAATTTCTATTTATAACTCACTAATATATTCAAACTTATCATATTGCAACTTGATTTGGGGCAATGCCACCAAAACATCCCTTGACCCATTATTTAAATTACAAAAACGCTTTCTGAGAATTTTGACAACCACACCTCTTAAAGAACACATTTCACACAATTTTAAAAAAATTTCGATTCTCAAACTATGTGATATTCATAAACTCTCAGTTGTATCTTTTGTACAAAAATGCATACATGAGGTTAACACAGTTATGATTTCCCACTTTAGTAATTATTTTATGAAAAATCAAGAGTGCCATAATTACCATACTAGAAGAAAGGAAAATATCCATCGAATAAAATCACACAATACTTTAACAGAAAACTCAATAAAAGTCGAAGGAGCAAAATTTTGGAACGTGTTACCCACTGAATTAAAACAAATACAAAACAATAAGAAATTTAAAACACAGTTAAAGTTATACCTAATTTAGAATTATCAATCTTAATATGTATAACCTATTATCCAATGATGTTATATAAAGTGTTTAAAAAAGCGATTGAGGAGGAACTTTTATTTTAACCACTCAAAATGTTGTTCAACACGTTCGTTAGTGGTGCAGGGTGACATCCTGGGGGGTACATGGGCCAACTAGGGGTTAAACTGCATCATTGACTAACATGGACGATTGTTATAGAGATTAGACACATTGAACCCATAATTGCAAACTCTCCCTTCAAATGACTCCCTTTTTCTTTTTCTTTTGTACCTTTTCTATATCCAATAAACATTTATTAAAACTATTGTGTAATTTAATACACTTATTTTAAGTGTCATTGCATTTTCATTATTTTTCCATCAAAACTGTATGTTATTGTAAAAATTGACTAAACTGAAATATATATTATTATTATTATTATATTATTATTATCATAACTTGCTATAATATGAATATAAGACCTCCTAGGAATTCAGATACCTCGGATAGACCCAACCACACCAGGCCACCATCCACCCACATTTAGATACACGACATTTTAGATGGGTGACATTCGGGAGTTTGAGCTAGCATATAAAATTGAAAAGCCAACCTTTACGTATGACCAATCACCCATACAAATGCATGGCTTAAATATTTTCCATTCACGTTTAGGTTATGAAAAACAGTGGAAGCTTAAACTCCCTATAATTGGGTCACCCTGTATCTAAGATATCCCTACGGGACTTAAATATACAAACAAACAAACCTACCTAGATAGCCAGCATCGGGAGGGGACAGAAACATCTTTAGCAGGAAGATATAGACATCTTTGTTGCCTTCTTTGTGCCGGTCATAATTTAGTTTACAATACCTGAAGTAAGAAATATTAAAACATGGTATTATTTGCACTTATTCGATCTTATGACTTTAAAATCACATCTGACATCCATGTATCCAAATATCAGAATTAATTTAAAGTGCGGGAGATTATCCATGTAGTTTGCATTTTACCTTTTACATATCATATCTTTTTACTGCATTAAATTCCTGTCCCCTCCCCTCCCATCCTGTTATCTATACCCCTACCCAAGTAAGGTACATGGTAAGGGGGACACAAGAGATTGGAGCATACATGTATAATTTGGTCCTTATATGTTGGAATCAACAGATTAAGTGTCACTAGATGTGCTATCACATAAATAATTCTAGGTTTGGGTGTTTTAAAAAATTCATTAGTCATTGGGTTCCTTATAAATTGAACTTACTGTTTGGCTAAGCTATTGTCATGTAGTATATGTACATATATTGCTAATGCTTGTTCATGTCTGCCAAGTCTTCCTAGCAGGATAGCCCTTTCTTCAAAGAAACCTACAATCACACAATTTAAAAGGAGTAAAAGGGATATAGACAAGTTGAGAAAAAACTTTGAAAAATTGATAATTTCACATGGTTCTTTGCTTTGCTATTATCATTTGCTATTTTCTAAAAAGTCAAAAAACAACTTTATTCTGACTTTATTCCTGGATAATGCTTCATTTTTTAAAGTTATCTGGTAAAAAATTGAAAAGATGGACTCCCCTTGTTCAACAGAGAACAAATTCAAACTTTAAATCTTCAATACTTTCTGTCATACTTTCTATCAAATATATCAATTCTTTTTTCGAAAATCAAATGGGATCATATAGCTATATAGAAATACAGATGCAAACACTTCATAAAGTTAACTAAGCTTTCTTACTATCAAAAGGAAAATGAGCAAGTAATCTTTCTGGAACGTAGTGTCTTTGAGTCTCAAGGAAAAAGAGAAGTTTCCGCCTAAGTTCACCCAGTTCTGATGGTTCTTTTCCTGCCCTGGCTGGAATTTCACCTACAATAATAACAGGTTAGTTTTTGGATAGTGTTGAACTAACAAATAAGCTTTTTGGTGAATTGTCTTCTTAGACCTAACACGCACGAAGTGTCGGTTAATGTCTGCATTTTCTTTTGTTCATAGAACACAAACTTTAAAAGGTGACAATTTTACAGTTGACTAACATCTTGAATCCTACTAATGCTAATAAGTGTATGTATAGAATATCATTACCTTCTGGAAGTGACGCTAAATAATCACTCATAAGTGACTGGACTTTGTCTTTATAACTGAGAGCCAGAGCATTGTGGAAATTCTCGGAGTCATCATTGCACTCCATTATCACATGCTCCTTTGAATATAAAAAAATAACAAATATATTGAAATTGAAATAAGATATCGTTTTACACAATAGTAATAAGATGATTATATATTTTATAATTGTTAAAGGAACATTCCTGGCCAAACCTTTTCTATCCTGATGTGATGGCTATAATCATATATATACTTTCCATATTTAGCAAAACATGGGGAAATGTTTTAATATAGTCAATATTGATAATTAAAAAATGTAGTGCTCATTTCCAGTAAGCTGCCATCTTTTAAGATTTTACTCAGGAAGTGATGTCATCGACTCTCAACTTTCATGACCTTGCATATAACAGTATAGGAAAAGAAGGAAGAAGGATTAAATCATAGACAAAATTGAACAAGGCACAGGACGTGAAAGAGATCACACCATCAAATAGGCAGACACTATGAACCAGGAAAACTGTTCTCCTATTATGTTTACAAATTTCAAGAACAAGAAAACAAGATGGCCGCCCAAAAGTTAATCAGCTCTAGTACTTGATATCCTCTATCATTTGTGTAAATTTGAAGGAAATCCGATGAGTGGTTTTCCTGAAATGGCGATGACAAGATTTTTCGAAAAACCTTCAAAATGGCCACCAGAAAACAAGATGGCCGCCCAAAAGTTAATCAGCTCTAGTACTTGATAACCTCTATCATGTGTGTAAATTTGAAGGAAATCCGATGAGCGGATTTTCTGAAATGGCGATGACAAGATTTTTCGAAAAATCTTCAAAATGGCTGCCAGAAAACAAGATGGCCACCCAAAAGTTAATCAGCTCTAGTACTTGATATCCTCTATCATTTGTGTAAATTTGAAGGAAATCCAATGAGCGGTTTTCCTGAAATGGCGATGACAAGATTTTTCGAAAAACCTTCAAAATGGCCACCAGAAAACAAGATGGCCACCCAAAAGTTAATCAGCTCTAGTACTTCATATGCTCTATCATCTCTGCGAATTTGGAGAAAATCTGATGAGCAGTTTTCCTTAAACGGCGATGACAAAAAGCGGGACGATCACGACCACGATCACGATCAGGACCATGATCACGATCAGGACCACGACCAGCATGACGACTATATCCCACCGATGGTGTGATAAAAAGAATATTCAGCTGGTTTTGTAATTCTTAAAATAGCTCCTTATAGTGTTATATGCAAAGTTGAGAGTCGATGACATCACTTCCTGAGTGAAATATTAAAAGATGGCAGCCTACTGGAATTCGGCACTACATTTTCAAGTGATCAATATTGACCATATCAAAACATTTTTCCCTGTTTTGCTAAATATGGAAAGTATATACCTGGTATATGGTTATAACTACCATATTAGGAGAGAAATGGTCTGGCCAGGAATATTCCTTTAAGCCGGCCTATGTGAAATTATTTTGTGCTATCAGGAAATGTTGATACAGTTGTGCTTTTTTGTCGGGTGTCTGGGAGTTTCACTGACTTGAGAGAAACATATTAAACCCAGTTAAAGACCCGTTAGTTTCACACAAGAGAAGGATGTGTAACCTATAAGAAAGAAATTTTTCTTACTAAGTATGGCACCATTAGGTTTTTATCTGTTTTCTCCAGATAGTCTAGCACCTTTTGCCTTGGTAGGTTTTCCACCTCTGGGAGATCTTCAGTAAATATCTACAGGTATAGAATAGTATATGTACAGTGTAAGCATACACACAATGTAATAAATACTTTGTAAATATATTGTTTTTAAAAGGCTGGTAATATATGATGTTAAGTGTGTGAAATAAATAAAAATATAAATAATAAAACTTCACATTCAAATTGTTATTCCCATCTAAAAGTCTAAGCAATTTACTTTAATGCCCAGTTGGGTTCTCAATACAACTCAACCTATCCTATAATATTTTGTAAAATTTAAGGAGGCTGCCTTAGATTGCAATTGTCATGGCGCAGCGCAGTTCGATACACTGACAAACTGCGCGCATATCAACATTGCATCATACAAGTTGGATTCCATCAATTCTGCATTGATTCATAGTTTCATATGTCCCTTCGGTGGCGATTATATGATTCTACCATGTGATAGCCAAAACTATGTCCAGATGAACGTAGGTTTTAAAATATAAGCAGATAATTGAAAAAATTCTATAATCGTTTTTTTTGATTACCGACACACTAGTTGATGTCGCACTTTCACAGAAATAGAAAATACTTGGGTTTTGTTTCATAGGTAAATCTCAACCCAGTTCTCACGTACAATACAAAATATTTCGTATTAAATCAGATGATCATGAGACAAACAGAAATTATATGACGCAACACTGTATAACCTTGTATTTCCAGTACTTTTCATCTTTTTGGAAGTCGTGTCCACCCTGTCTGCCATTTTAAACATGTGCACAGTTTGTAAGTGTTTCAAACTGTGTGCATAGTATGCATGCAGTTTGGTAGAGCGCCGTGATTGTGGACTCAAGATGAGAATGCTCTCAGGAATACTGAAGACTTTTGAAAAAAGAAATGAACTGCAAGTGGCTAAAAGTCGGACCCCCTTTAAGGTACATTTAGTTGTGGAAAGAGCGCCACAAGAAATATCTTATTGTCATCCTTTAATATTAGAATTCAATTTTTACTTTTAATCCATCTTCTGGTTCTGTTTTTAACACCCATCCTGCATATTCAAATATCAAGTCTAAATGGTCTGCCCCTAGCCGCTGAAGATACTGCACTGTTCTGTCATGGCCCTTTAATGGTGAGCCATGTTTCTGAGCCTGTCTTAACAATAAGTCTAGGGCTGGAATAAAAATGGTTTAATGTAAATTAGTATTTTTCCAAGCCTGTCCCTCAACAGACAAAAGGCTGAAACAAGAAATTCTAGATATAATGCAAAGTATTTTCGGGGACACAGTGCCTTAATAGACAACCAGAACAAATACTATATCTAGTACGAGGGGTGATCAATAAGTAATGGACGCTTTTTTACACAGATGCTTTTTATAGACCAATCCCTTCGATTTTCTTACCAGTGATACATCATTCAATTATCTATCAACTCTGAAGATTTGAAAACAAAATATATAATACATTTTGATATATCCTTATTTCCGTGAAGGAGGTACAGGTACCCCGGGACCGACATTTACGTCACATATTCTGAAGCTATTTTAGTTTGTTTAACATGCAATGCAGTTGAATGCAGGCTGAATAAAACAAACCATTATGCTCATGAATTACCCCATTTTGTTATGCCATAGTTAATTTTGAATATTTTATCATCACTTTGTGGTATTCATGCCACATTCATTCCACAGGGCCCTCTAAATAGGTTCCATCAAGTGCTACATGTACACAATTCCTCATCCTCTTAACTCAAGATTGTGAGACAAGGCTGAATCCATTCTCTGACATGGTAGCAAGATGCAGTTGCACGGGTTGTTTTATTTAATCAATGTTAATAAACCTGCGTCCTTTCTCGATAGAAATAAGTAGTATAGAAATAAACAAGTCACATGTGAGCAGATGTGGACAATATAGTGCATTGGCCAAGGGCTCAATTTTGAGGTCCAGGGATATTATTTTCTGAACATTTTGAGATCTGTGGGCAGGTGCATTGTCCATATGGAGTAGGGTGTTCCCTTCTCTCACCACCCCTTTCTTCCACAATGTTTTCTCAAATTGACCTGCAAACCCCTTCCATACAACACTCTGATATTACAATACTTTCTGTTTATGTGCTACCAGTCAGCAAAAATTTCAAACAATACAACACATGTTGCATATAAATAGTTCAAATCTAACTCAAATTTACCAAACTGGCTAAAAACGGAATATGTGACGTAAATGTCGGTCCCGGGGTACCTGTACCTCCTTCATGGAAATGAGGATATATCAAAATGTATTATATATTTTGTTTTCAAATCTTCAGAGTTGATAGATAATTGAATGATGTATCACTGGTAGGAAGATCAAAGGGATTGGTCAATAAAAAGTATCTGTGTAAAAAAAGCGTCCATTACTTATTGATCACCCCTCGTATATCAGCATGTAATACAATAGTCTATGATATGATGCATGAGTTTATATTACACTTGATTAACACAAAGTTTTTTTGTTCATTGAATATCTAAGATTAAATAAACAAAGCAAAACATGTGAGCATGTTCATGTTTGTTTATTTATCTAAAAATCTTATTACGAATGGGTTCTTCTTGAATCATCTGATTGTTTTCAAGTAGTATTGTAAATCTACATGTAACACTTAAAATTTATTGGAACCTTATCAAGTTCTTGTGTACTATTGATTCCCTTAATATACTCTATTGTAACTAACCAAAATACAAATTTTCAGAAGCTCTTATCAATTCATATGTAAACATTAAAGTTCAATATGACAAACTCAACAGACTTTTTAACAATCACCATAAGAACATTTTAGAAATCAAATGAATTACAGCTAATATCAAGCTTAAAGACGAAGTGAAAGAAATGAAACACAAACCAACTTTTCTAAGAAAAATTTCATAACTGATTTTTGTGAGCAATCGGTTATAACTAATATTGCTTCACTTTGATTTGAATTCATTCATGAATGGCATCTAATATGGCAGGTATGAAAATATATATTTACTTTTAAATGCAACAATTCTTTAATTGAGTTTATACATGGGCTTTCAAGAGAAATGGTTTATATTTGCTGGATTTCAACTTTCAAATATTAGGAAAAGCCTTTCATTTTAGAATTTAACAATTACCTTTAGTCTTTACAGCTAAACTGAATTTTCATACTATGAAATTTGTAATATAATTTACCCTGGATAAACTAATCTAGTATTATTTTGTTATTCATCTAATAGGGTAAAGAATAGGGTGACTGTGATTGAAATTATATGGATATTTCTAAGAGAATGGGAAAATAATTATATTCCAACAAGTATTGATGATATGTAGACCCACACTCAATTCACTTATAAGTAGTGTTGTCGCGATTAATCGATACATCGCGATAAACATCGCCAAAGCTGGTTCTGGCGATGCATCGATGTCTGAAACAAAACATCGATGTTTTTAAAAAACTAATAAAAATCGCCCTTTCTTATCTTATTTTGACGCAAATTGCTTACCTTTTTTCATGTCTTATTTCATTTTCAAATGTTTTCTGATATTCTTTCGCTTTAAAACTGTTTTAGCTAGTCGAAATGAACCATTAATCTAAAAAAATTACTTTACTTTCATTTCACCGTTACTATGTTCCCGGATGTAATTTGTTCTGTTCGATATTTTAGTGCATAAGCGTTCGGTATTTCAGTGTACTTTTCTCGAACTTTTTCTCGATGTACATCGCGATATGCATCGATGTTTACTACTGAAAATTGCCGATGCATCGATGTACGATTATGGCACATCGCGACAACACTACTTATAAGTATTTCCTACATTTTTTAAAGGCAGAATCTGATCTATAGGGGGTGACAAAATTACAAGCAACGTGTATAATTGACCCATCAATCTATTCCTTACAATATCAAATACAATATCTCCCAAAAGATTCACAATATGTTATAAATTAGTGAAGTTATCATAATTCAAAGTGCAAAAATGGGTGAAAAATGTTTAAATTCTCCCAAATAATAAGAATTATAACCATTCTTATAGAAAAATAATACATTATTGTAATAATCCTGGAATAAAGCATGCACTTTTGTGATTTTTAGAAAATAGACATGACAAGGAATGATATGAGCCAAAAATATTCTGAAATTGAAACAATTTTTGTTTAGCCTGCTCGCTATATCTGATTCTCTCTTTAATAGAAACACTCGACCAAATGTTGCTGAGGATATCCCAACAACTGGGAAATGAGTGGCAAACAGTAGGGATCCATCTTCACCTCACAAGTCCAGAGATGCAGAATATACAAAGCAGCAATCCACACAATGCTGAAGATTGGGGTTTCAAAATATTGAAGGCCTGGCAACAAAGGCAGACAGATCAAAGTGAAGAAAACATCAAGAGGCTGTTAAGAGAAGCTCTTAAGAAGGCAGGGAGAAATGACCTTGCTAATACTGTGTAACATGTAAGTACAACAATATGATATTTCCTTCATACATGTTAAAAAATAAATTAAATATATATATATATTTATTTCCAATAGTCTTGACATCAAAAATGGTTGTTATTTAGTATAGTAGTAGATATTATTTAGTACTCAAACATAGAGTACAGGCCCGTAGCCAGGATTTGCCAAGGGGGGGTTCAGTTTTCAAAAATTTCCAGGGGGGGGTCACATTTGACAATTTTGGCCCAAATATGGCTAAAATCACTTGAAAAGTGCTCAAAATGGTGAAAAACTGCATGATTTTGAAAGAATTTTTGGCCAGGGGGGGGGGTTCGCCCGAACCCTGCGAACCCCCCCTGGCTACGGGCCTGGAGTAGATTAGACTAGATTCACTCTCAAAATCTAGAAGAGTTTGGAAGCCACCACATTAGTCCATAACACATCATAATTCATAACAGTCACTTTAAGAAACTATAACTAGTTAAAATCCTTTCTCCTCAACAATCAATGCCATCACCAGTGAAAAATTTGTTAAATTAACATTATTTTGTCCAAATATTTTGGTATTAATTTGATAGGTGGTTATCGGGTGGTTATCATTCTACTTTTCCCTGGTCATTGAGGTTAAAATCAAGTACACGTAGAACATAAACCAGATACAGACCAGCATGATTTTTATACAAATTTTCTGAATTGTACCTAAAAATAAGTGTGCTTTTTATTCCAGGGTAATGCAGGCTTGATTCATGGACATATAGTATGGTATAAGCAAGTCAACAAAACATGTGCAATGTACATGTAAATTATGGGCAAAATGTACATGCGTGCACCAGAGGAAAAGAACAAGAGACCATGAGAAACACACTATAAAACACTACATCATTGTGCTAGAGAAAATGACTACAATTAATGATGTATTAAGAAACTATACTCTAAAATGACCAAAAGTGAAAATAGATTACATTTGATTTAGATGGACATGAAACTGCCCTTTGTAAATAAATAGGTGAATGGAGGCAGTTCTTGGAGTTCAATTTTAACAGTATACATGTAGGTGCAAATATAATACATTCAGGTCAATATTACACGTTCACAGTCTATGAGTCAATATTTTGTTATATTTGCTAACATTGTTTTAGTGTTTGCATGGCACAGATCAAATAAATATAAAATATTGTAAATCATAATAAAAAAAAATTAAAAAAAATCATAATTATAATAATTCTGGCTTTATACAAATATTACATGTAATATATGCTGTATGAGTTACAATAGTATACATTAGGCATTAACATGACAAAATGTCACCACCTAGTTACTTGAAGATGATTTAAAAAAAAGTTTGGTCAATTTGAAGCAAGTTGAAAAAGACCCTTTTGACCTTTTTTGACCTTGAAAATGTCATTGAAGGTCAAATCTTAAATGTAAAGTCAGATTTGAACTTTTGAAAACTTGTAGATGATTTGGAAAAAAAGTTAAGTCAGTCTAAACAGTATTTGTTAATTTATCGGAAGTTTTAAGAATTTGTTACAGACGCAAACCACCACCGGCCAACCACTGCCTGCCCATCGCCAACCACCAACCGATCACCAACCGCCGCCACAAAAAACGGAGACCATAACAATATGTCACCACTTCTTGGTGGTGACATAGTAATAGATTAATGCCATATTTTATTTATTGCATGTTTATGATTCAATAAACAAAAACATAGTGAACATGCAAGTTCCCTTTTCATCAAAAAATCTTATTATGAATGGGTTTCCCTCTTAAGTTTAAAAATTTATTTGAATCTTATCTAGTTCTCAAGGACTATTTTGAGTTCCTATCAATTTTATTGTTAACCAACCAAAATACAAATACTCAATTAGCTCTTATCAATTCATATGTCAATATGTAAACATTAAAGTTCATTTCTATGAGTCAAAAACTTTTTTAAACTCATAACGATTACATGAACTTCCAAAATCCCATGATAAAGAGGTAAAATCAAAGTAAGATTATGAAAGCAAGAAATGAAAAATTAAAGGACTTTTCCAAGAACATAATAATCATACTTTCTGCGATCTCAATAACTTGTTACATTCACTTCTGATCACTTTGATTTTATTCAGGAATGGCAAATAAGGTGGAAGGTATGATTTGTTTTAAGTTCATATTTGCAGGATTTTAATTTTAGAGCTCTAGAAAATGGTTTACATCTTAATTTAACAATTAAACCATTTCTAGAACAAATTATTTGGTATTTTGTTATTCTGGTTTAGTAATCTTATATTTCACATATTTATGAGAAAATGGAGAGATTAAATTGTATCGTGTTTTAATGATAATGTAGACTTTGAGGTAATTCTGTAGTATTTCCTGGACTTTTACAGAAACAACTGATCAACTGCTGCTGAGGATTTCTGAAAAGCTGGGAAGTAGCTACCATAACCTTGGCATTCATTTAAAGATTACTCATGCCGAAACGGAGAATATAAGGGCCAGTCATCCACACAACGCACAACAGTTGGGCTTCCAAATACTAAAGACCTGGCAACAAAGGCAGGCAGATCAGAACATTGAAACCCTCAAGAAAGATCTGGTTGAGGCACTTAAGAAGTCGGGAAGAAATGACCTGGCTAAAACTGTGTAAAGCATAGTGCTTGATCATCTTTAGCCAAAAGTAAGTTTTGTTTGACATCTGTAAGAAATTATGATTCAAAGGCTGCATGTAGAGTATACTGTAGAGTAGTATAGAGTAGAGTATACTGATTCTATCTTAAATGACCATTACATCTTAAGTTTAAGATCATTAACATCCATCCAATTCATTTTAATTTTTTACAGAGAAAGCCATCTTCAAATGTCTCATTCAAGACAAACAAGACAAAAAGTTACAATAAAACACAGCAAGAAAAACATCTTTGAGCACAGCCAGTAATAGGGTTATATTCCAATAAATCAAATTATGAACCAGCACAAAACCAACACTAGGTTAGGCCATGACAGGATAATGTTAAGTGATCCATGGACATGCAGTGTGGAACAAACGAGTCAACATTATATGTGCAAAAAACATCAATGCACCGAAGGCCAGGACAGGACAAGAAATGGCATCAGAAACTCAACATAAAACAATTGAAAACGTGACAGTGAAAAAGATTATAATGATGTATTAACTGTGACAAAAGTTTTAAAATATGTTGAAATGACAAAAAGAAAAACTGATCACAGCACATGTATGTTAAGTTAGATATACATGAAAATGATGCAATACACTATTTGTACTAGCAATATATCCGTTTGTGGGTCACCAAGGGTCACAGCAGCCACCACTTGACAGCAGCCTGTCAAGGGTCATAGCACAGACCAAGGTACTTAAAAAGCCAAACACCTAAATAATGACCTTTGACCCTGAAATGACCTTAAACTCTGACCATAGTAAAATGCCCATTGACCCACTTTGTATGTTGACCAAGTATGAAGACCCAAGGTCAAATGGTCTAGGAGGAGATGTCCGGACAGACAGAATGGACATAATGACAGACAGACCACCATACTTTATAGTAAGATGATTAGATTTCTGCATTAACAAATAACAGTAATCTTACAATTTCATTGATCTTCATATCAAACAAAAAATAATTTATGAATTTCAAATTGAATGGTTTGGTTTTACAATTTTCTTAGTGTTCAATATTAGAAAGACAAAATAAGTAAATACCATGGATTGTAAATGTAAATGTAATAAAATGAAACCAAGTATTTGTTTAAAGTCTGAGTTAATATTATACTAAATAATATTATGCTTTTAGTGTTTGCATGTTAAAGATCAAATAAATAAAACATATTGTAAAACATGACAGAGATTTTTTGAACGTTTATTATGAAATTCCAATGATAAAGGTTTTTCATTTGCATCATCTGATTTTATTTGAAAAAGTTAATTAAAAAACAATGAATGTATTTCAAAATTAAAACTTTTTCATTCAGTCACTCATCGATTTCTTATGTTCTATTAACTAAATAACAATGTTTAAAAGCTCTTGAACTTATAGACATTAAAGTTCAATATCTAAGATAAAGAGATTTCTAGCAAATATAGCATATACTTCCTCATCTCTGAAGTGCTACGAATACAAGCAAGTACCAAAGTAAGATTTAGGATACAGAGAAGAATGAAATCTTAAAAGGAGAATTAAAAAATGAGTTTTAAGAAAATATCATGATGTTTACTTTTCTTTGGATTTTTGCTCAATCATTTAACTGGTTATAAGTGGCTGATTGGTAAATCTAGTATTAATTCAGTCATGGCAGCTGACATGGCAGGTAAAGGTAGCAGATATTAAGATATTTATCGTAACTTTTATAATTAATTAGACTCATTTGGGTATCTAATTCAATAACAAGCAAATATCTTCCATTGCTTGAATTTATATGATCACAAAAAAATTAATTTTCAACATTTCCACTTTCTACGATTTTGAATGTAATCAAGATTTTGATATTCTAGGAAAACGACAACGCAATAAAGTGACTCTATTCATGTGGAAATTTTCAAGAAAAAATTGACTGCCATTGGTTTTTGATAATTGATCTGAAACTGAATTCTCTTATATATCTATAACATTTTTACAGAAACAATTGATGAGCTGTTGCTGAGGATTTCAAAACAAGTGGGAAGTAACTATCATTCCCTTAGCGTTCATCTGAAGATTACTTCTGCTGAAATGGAGAACATCAAAGCGTCTAATCCCCATGATGCAGAACAGTGGTCCTTTAGGACACTGAAAACCTGGCAACAAAGGCAAGCGGATCAAAATCTTCAAAACATGAAGACCCAGTTGGCGGAGGCTCTTATAAGGGCAGGGAGGCGAGACATAGCTGTTACTGTGTAAAATGTAAGAAAATGAACATTTTTAGCTATTAAAAAAACCAGTTTTGTTTCGACATGTACACAAAAAACATGAATTACAGACAACAAGCACACTATTGATATATTATATTTGCCTCCAGATAATCCCAATATCCTGAACCTCATATTGGATAATCGCTATTTACATGTACACTTACTTCTGTTGCAGGACAATGTGTGATGTCCATGTACCAAAGAGACCACAGCATAGAACATCAGCGCAATTGACATTTAAAGACAATCAAAGACAAATATTTCTTGTGAGATATTATGTACTGGTATTTCTTTGTTTAATAAAACGCACCATTGCCTAATATAAATATGTACTTCACTTGTTGTGTTAAGTGACTGAGTACGTTTTACAAAGTCAATCTCAGCTCATACAAAAGATTTTGGTATGTATATCTGTGTCTGTATATCAGCATGGAATATTAGGCTGTTTCATCAGAAGATGTGGCATCCAAGGTCTAAACATCAAAGGATTTGGCTGAAATTTCTTGTGCTTGCTTTCCTTTACGATAGGCACTGGTATAACTCACCTAGTTACACTGACAATACGTCAGCGTAACAAGATGGAAGAACTTCCGGGCTTCGTTTTCAGTAAAATATTTTAATTTCTTGATTCCACACCACTTATAAGTCAAGGTGTGGACAATAATTTGGCTCAAAGTTAAGGAAGATAGTCTAGTTTGAGAATATGTGGCAGTTCTATGTTTGGTATGTTAACGAAGACACAATTTACATATTTAGTCCCTCGCTTTTGTTACAATGACGATATTCATGAATATTGCCAATGTGACAATATTCATAAAGATCATCAACGTAACAAAATCTCTTTTGAGATGCTCCTCATCATGTGCAAGTTTAATTTTTAGATGAAGGAAAAATATCAATTCCCTTTATTAATTTTGGCACAATTTTTTGGGGCGGGACACTCAATATACACATGTTATCTTAAAATTTCTTTGAAATGTGAGAAGTTTGTGTTTTATTTCTTTTATTGATCGATTACTTTGGATGAGAGGTAGTTTAAAGGTCAGTTATCAGATAAAGATTAAAAGTACTTCAAGAACTTTAAATTTATTAACTCTGTTGAAGAAGTTCATTTTTGTTTCTTTTTCTTATCACTTTATCTCAGGTAGAGGCAGTTTCAAAAACAACTTGAAGATTAATTATTAAAGTATGAACTTCTCAAAATCATATATTTATTACCTCTATGGAGGAACAAAATTTTCGTTTCTTAGTGATTTTTTACATAATTAAGTGGCATTCTAAGAAAAATTAAGATAACAATTAAATCAAGTAAATCCAAATATAAAGTACATGTCCAATTGAAAATGTATGTGGGTGATAACTGAAATCTTTGATAGGTGTTTTGAAGTGTTTTTTTTATGAAAAAGGTGATTCAAAAGAGTTTCGTTTTCTTTCAATTCTCCTCAATTGTCTACACATAGTTTGTTTTGCATTGTACACCCCAGTTTAGTAAGCTTATTGTTATGCTAAAGGAAAGTTGTAAAACCATAACTTAAATATGGCAGGTAAGCATTACATTTATATCATTATATACTCTGAAACAAAATTGTATTTTATAGACACTCAAACAGACACTTCAAAAATTATTTCTTATAACTGTTTATATTTCTTTTATTGATGCATTGCATTAAATGCATTTTGAAACAAGCTATTTGAAACAATAACCTAGTACTTTACTGTATAAATACCACTATTAATGATGTGGTATCACTCCACCATTGATTTGTCAATTCCTAGCTCGCAGTCAATCAAACGATTAACATATAAGCCAAGGTTCATTTTACAACAAAACTTGATCCAACCATCATTTAGTGGATATCCTTCAAAAATAAAGTTGGTATTGTTAATATGACTTAATACTTACAAATACACAATCACAAACATAAAGGACTGATCTGCACTACTTTTAGTGGAGTAATACCTCATGTATAGATGATACACATGGATAAACTGTTAGATTTCTTCCATATTTTCAAACAGATGAACTGGATATTATTAACATTTTATTACAGATGAACTAAATGATAAACTGCTTCATACAATAGGCGGGAAATTCGGAAATGACATTGTTAAGGTAGCTATTCAACTTGGTATAAACACTGCAGAGATTGAGAATACAAAGGCCAGCAGTCAACATAATGCAGGAGAATGGGCTTTCAAAATTCTCACAATCTGGAAACAAAGACAACCAAGGGGTGTCAACAAGAGGAAAGTTCTTGCTACTGCATTAAAAAATGCAGGGAGAAGTGACCTTGCTGAACTGTTGGAAAGCAATGACACACAAGGTAAAATGTTTCAGGTCACACAAAATGAAATAAATAAACCAAAGCACACAAAATATAAGACTTTTAATCGCTAAATTGCATGTCTAATCTAGGTATTATTGAGTCATCTGTGAGGCAACCAGAACATGCAGAGGCAACTGTAGGAAGCTCTACAAATGAATCAAAAGAAGTCAAAAATATAATCAAAGAAGATCCACAGCCAAACTCCAGAATGCAAGAAGCTTCAACAAATAGAGGTTAATATAATATATGATCAAAACTCATTGCAACATTTAAATTGAAGCAAACATGTTTCAAATACTTGATAAAAAACATAAGTAGTGTAGTATAGGTATTGTACATTGACATTCCTTCTTAACTGTGGCCTGGATAGATTTGCAAGACAGAAAAGGATCTGAGAGATGAATGGACAACTTATGTAATCTCCATAAAAGTCATCTACAGTGTAGATATTATATTGTGTACAGAATGCTACTAATTATATACATTTAATTACAGATGAATTAGATGACCAATTGCTCCTAAAGATAGGCAAGAAAGTGGGATATGATCTTCTCAACATTTCTGTTGAACTTAATATCCCAACTGCAGAGACTGAGAACATCAAAATGAGTGACCAACAGAATGCTGGAGATTGGGCCTTCAAGGTACTAATAAACTGGAGGCAAAGACAACCAGGGAGTGTCAACAAGAGAAAAGCTTTTGCTACTGCACTCAGAAAGGCAGGGAGAAATGACCTTGCCGAACTGGTGGAAAACAATGACACTCGAGGTAAAAATATTAATATTATACAATATATAAAGATGTATTTAAAATGAACTACTTATTGGAATAATTAACATTCAAAATGTAATTGAAAATGAAACACCAATTTGAAAGGCATTAACAATTCAGATAGATTTCAAAGATGAGCTTGGTTTTCCAACAAATGGCATCATCACCAGATTTATGTTACTTTGTTCAATCCATCAGTTGACTGAAGCAAACAAAACCTTCAAGACTTTTAATCGCTAAATTGCATGTCTAATCAAGGTATCAGTGAGTCATCAGTGAGGCAACCAGAACATGCAGAGGCAACTGTAGGAAGCTCTACAAATGAATCAAAAGAAGACCCTCATAAAATTAAGGAAGAGCAACAGCCAAACTCTGAAATGCAGGGAGCTTCAGGAAATGGAGGTTAATATAATACATGCACCATACTTAAATAAAGTCTAACAATTTTTTCTTATTGTAATTTTCAAACTGAAGCAAACATGCTTTAATTGCATGCTAAACAAGATATACAGATTTGCAAATTACAAATAGTACATAGTTAGTATAGAAGTGATACATAGACATTTGAGAACAGTTTTTTTTAATTGTGGCAGATAGTTAGTAGACATAAGAAGAATAGTAGAAGGATGGAGTTTTGTTGCATATTAGCAGTTTCTATGTATGTTTCTGCGGATTTAGGTGACTGCCAATCAAATCATTGCATCCATTTTATTGAATTACATGTTCCATCCATGCAACGCTAACCAAGTGTTGCTAGGACATGCACATTGAAGTTATCAACAACTCACTGAATCATATTCCATGGTATTTGGTTGATCTCATGTGTGATGTTAGCCTTAAGCTCATAAACTGTGTTGGGATGGTTCTGGTAATCCATATCCACGAAAGTAATCTCATGGATTGGCATCTGGAGAGCATGGTTGCCATATGTTTGGGGTCCTGCGTTAGATAAGCCTATCGCTAGGAAACACTCCCTCTAGATATTCAAGGCTGCTGTTAGACCAATAAGGAGGTGTTCCGTCCTGCTGGAAGAAGACACTTCTTATTCTCATCCATTTGTTCCGTCATAAGTTGGAAATGTTCGTGGATCAGCTTCTGGTACATTTCAGAATTTACTGTTACATGATCTCTTGGGGTGTCTTTGAACCAGAATGGGCCCACTGTGCCCTTTTTTTATAGCACACCATACTGTTCCTTTCGAAACACAATTGGCCTTCATAGTCTACCTAGGGTTATTGGCAGCCCAGAATCTTATGTTCTGTTTGTGACATGTCTAAATAGGTGAAAGTGGGCTTTGTCTCACATGTCATTCACTAAATAGACATGATGATTTGATTATTGGCAGCCATCTAAAAATGCACAGACTTACATAAACCCCACTAATATGGAACAAAACTTGCATCAATTCAAAAAGTTTGAGACCAATCATGCAAATAATAAATGAGTATATTTTATTACAGATGAACTAGATGACCAGTTGCTCCTAAAAATAGGCAAAGAAGTGGGATTTGATCTTCAGGAAGTTTCTGTTGAACTTGGCATCCCCACCGCAGAGACTGAGAACATCAAAATGAGTGACCAACACAATGCTGGAGGTTGGGCCTTCAAGGTACTAATAAATTGGAGGCAAAGACAACCAAGGAGTGTCAACAAGAGAAAGGTACTAGCTAGTGCACTAATAAAGGCAAGAAGAAGTGACCTTGCTGAACTGGTGGAATCAGCTGGACATAAACGTAAGCTGTCAGAAACAAATGCACAAGAAGGAAGTGGCGTATCTAAAAAAATAAAGAAGGACTAGCTAGGACTAACCAAAAAATGTTGGAGACTATAACAATATGTCACTACTTGTGGTGGTGACATAAAAACCAATCCCTAAATAAATATGCTGGAGACAATGGAAACCATGAATACTGAAACACTTAAAGAGCAACACAATCAGATTATTGTTTTCTAGTAAAATGTAATTCTACAAAAATAAAGAATGTTTTGTTATTTCACCTTTTTTGTGTAATCCTTTCTTCTCATAGAGAATTATGAGCTCACTGAATTTCTGGTGCTTCTTGAGAACTCTCTCTGTCTCCTCTATGTGACAATTGTTGTCCTTAAGCCGCAACAGAGGGGCCACGAGGGCATCGTTGGTCTACAATTAGGGCATTATTTGTTTACAATAAGAACAGGGGGCTAACTGCAATTACAACAAGAAGGAGCCATTTGGGCATCATTTTTACAATTGCAATAAGGGGTCGCTGGGGCTTTTTGTCTTCAATTACAATAGGGGGCCAGTAGGGCATCATTTGTCTACAATTACAATAGGGGGCCAGTTAAGGGCATCATTTGTCTACAATTACAACATAACATTATGTACTACATCTTTATTATACTTACAGAGGGTCAAAAAAAAGTTTCGGACTATCTATCATCAACTTTTTTCAGTCAGAAAAATAGGATGAATCCATGATGGAGTCAGCAGACCAATTCATCCCTGCTAATGAAGACCGAGGTAATATAATGATACTGTTAAAATGTGTGTGCCTAGATATTTTAGCCAATATACTGACCTGCAAGTAACATTTGAGCAATGAGGTGTCAAGAATCTGAGTGAGTTGACGTTTTGACTTTATAGTTGCACTTCCTTCCACAATAGCTGACGAGACCATTTCCTTGTTCATCTCCTTCATCACCTCATTCCTTTTCTGAATCAGATTATTTGTGAAAATTGTCAGGTAGGTAATAAAGGCTCAAAATATTGTATTTTGACAAATAGGTATAGCAAAGGCTCAGATCTCGACACTCTTGCTTCGACTTTTAAACTTCATCCACCATTGAAGCTGCATCATCCACTTAATTAGTTAATTAGTCTTGCCTCAAGACCATGGAACCCCCCCCCTATCTACTTACACAATAGGGTCTTGTACTGTAAGAACAATGGATCTGATTGGCTGTTTTAATGTTATTCCATCCAGCATGCATGAATAATTCACATCACTGCTAGATACCCACTGGTTACAAGACACTGTTGTTGAAATAGTGGTGGGTCTTAATGTAAGAGTCACACTTAATGTTCACTCCTTATCTTTATTAAATAAAAATCTGTTGTCTCAACAACTCCAAAGATAGGTTTGCAAAGGATGAGTGGTTGATTCAATCCGACACATTCTTCATTCCATAAATGTTCTCAATTTCATTGCTTACAGAATACAATGAAATGCTCAGACCAAGGATGGAAAGTTTAGTCAGCCAGCATTTTTGATGCACATGTATACTAACATGGACATGGATATACATGTATGCTAACATGGACTTACTGTGGTTAAATACTCTATTAAGGCAAGGAGTCCCTTCTCAAGTTCAGCACCTTCCAGGTCTGGTAGTTTATCAGGGTACTCCAGTTGGTTGCGGAAATCTTGGGGTAGCAGATTTGGGTAGAGGCCTATTACATGAGAGGCATCTGAAATAATAAGACAATTAACTATTATGCACATTCCATATTTCTGTGTAAAAATTGGGTGTATATTCTCCTCAGAGAATTCAGTTCATCTACATACAGCCCTTTTTTGCTTTTAAACATGAGAATCTGTAATATTTCACTTTTTTTTACCTGTGCCCAGTTTGGTGAACATTTGCAGAGATTCCTCAAATCTATGCTGGGAGAATAGATCAAAGGCATAGAGAGTCTGTATGTGTTGTATCCTCCCCTCCCTGGCAGAGTCAGCCTCTTGAGTCATATTCTATAATGATACATAATGGTAATACAGGTAGAAAGTCATTGGAAAATAATCTTTACACAGCCTAAGCTGCATTGCCTTAAAAATGTGTTCAAGGCTCAACAGTAGCTTTATCTTTGTCTTTAGTCTTTCATCTAGTTCTCAATTTCTATTCTTATTATTCATTTGTATCAAACAGACGTGAGGTTTGTACAAATCTGACAAATACCCCTTTCCTTATAGCAAACACTGGTTACTCACAGCTAAATGTAAGGCAAGTTCAAACTCTTTATTCTGCAATAGTTGCTTGATCTGTGATGTGATTGGTGTACTTGCTAGCCTCCATACGTGATTGGTTGATGCAACATAGACATGATTGCTGGAGAAAAGTAAATATACAGGGAAACTAGATAAAATTAAGAACTGAGGGTTCATTCATTTATTCAGTCTAATACGTTTGAGTTATATAAAGAAGAACTGTAATTATAGAAACTTCCAAATATAGTATAAGTGGTAATTTTGACTCATCATTTAATTTGCCTATTGCATAAGTTTTGTCAGGTTCGGAAAATTAAATGTCGGGAATATTATCTTCATAATGTTATCCAATGGGAAGTTTCTTGTCATTAGGAAAATTAAAATTAGGAAAATGATAAAATTTGGCAATTTGGCAAATTAATCGCTCAGATTAAATACCACTTATACATTATACTTTTTGTGTTTTCTGTCATCTTAAGAGAAAAAACTCTCGATTTAATCTTTAATATGAATAACAACTAGGGGCGTTAACATTGACAAAATGTCACCATATGGTAGGTTATTGCAAGTGGTTAAAATGTATAACAATTAGTTAAGGATCCCCAAAACAGACCCCAACAGCAAATAATGGTCATAAAAACTTTTTGTTTGACAATATGTCCCCATTTCTTGGAGATGACATAAAAACTATGATATCTCTCTTACCTGCCATGACAAATGAACTTTGGTTGGTTGACCTCAATACTTTGTATGAAAAGTCTTGGCTCGACAGTGCGTATCTCTATGACTTTTGGTAATACTGCTATCACATAGGGGGGTTGGTTGACTAACACTTGGGGTAAAGCTGACCATGTTAATGCATAACGTTTTGTGGGGTTCCCTTCTGCGTCAATAAATATTGTCTGTTCATCCCTCCCTACAGCCAGTCCATTATCATCAAGACGTGTCACCCTTGGTTCCATTGATTTACCAGTTGGAAATAACTCCTTGTATCCCCCTGTGTCAACCTAGTAAGAAATGTGTCATTTTAGTGAGTCTTTTATAAGTCTCTTTTGTTGTTTTCTAATGTTGCCCTATGTGCTATATTATTAGATTAAATGAGATTAAATATTGTACATTATGGAATATTTCTTTCTGTATGGGTATATCAATAAAAAAAAAAGTCTCTACATCCCATTTAATTTGTATAACTTGCACATAAGCTCACTAAAAGTACTTGTAAATGTCTAATCTGGCACACCTCTGCAAGTGGAACATCATTCAGTCTCATGACCAGTTATCCTCTCAAACAAGTTTTACTGTATATTTACCATAATAAGGAAGTAATCTCGCTTAAAGCCCACGCATATTGAATCCTTACACCAGGCTGCCACCTTAGGTAGATCTGGAACCCCTAGGTCTGGCTGTAGCTCATGGAACTCTCGATTCTTCCAATAATACAACTGAAATACAACAACAAAGTCATGTTTAAAATACACAATAAGTTAGAGTGGAACAAGAAATGAAGTGGATAGACATGTTGTCAAAACTGTACTTGGTTAAAAAAATGTTTACATTGTGACATGAAGGCTCCATTATAACATGGCATGTGTAATAACATTAATACTGCATCTAAAAGTTTAAAAAAATGCTTTAATATATAGTTTAAAAATAGTTTCATGCCAATTAAAATCCCTGAAATGCATGAAAATGTTAGTGATTCTTTTGAATGTGTACTAGTTATAGTTAGTCTTAGTTAGTGTTCATCATTGGATCAGCTGATTATCATATACCTACTATTCAAACAACATATTCTTTATACTGTATACACCCACAAGGGTGTCATGTAAAACCTTGTAAATAATACTATATATTAGAAAATAAAGCTGAATTGAACTGAATTGAATTTACATACCTGCACCTTCCTTTTGACAATGACACACATCCTAACTGTATGTTGTACATCTCCTGTCAAAGACTTCTGCTTCTAAAATAGAAAACATTTTACTACTAGAACTTGTGACAATTATCATATGTTGACCAATCAAGATGAAACTTTGGCAAAATTGAAAATGTTTTTTTACAATTTAAATTTCATTTGCACCCCGATATTTCAAATAGAATATGGAGTTGCTTCTTCAGCTGTTGACACTTTTAGGGTAAATTGGTAGTCAGATTTTTTACATTTGAGAAAAATCTTGGGTCTAATTGTTTTTGATGGATAATTATCAATTGATCATTTGAAAACACTTATATTGCTCTATATTACTTTTCTATAAATAAACAATTATTTTACTATTCATGCTAACCTTCACATCTACTTCGAAGAGGGTGGCACCACGACTTTTGTTTATTGTACATATTGGTGCAAACACAGTCAAGTCATGCACACTGACCACATTATCTGAAACACACAAAACAATATAACATTGTGTGATCCGATATTGTCCCATCCCTCGGTACTTTGGTCTTGGAATGGGACGGGACAACCCTCGTGTACTGAAGATTTCGTTTCATGTTCAGGATATACTATTTCTCCTGTATATGACCCTAAAACTTCCCAAATGCACAATGATTATGATCTAAACTAGAATTGTCTTTCGTATTTACAACTTATCTGCCGGATTAGATTCATGCGTAAATGCCATCTAGAGGCAATTACTATGAGTGATTATAATATACGAAGATTCAGGAACATGCAGTTGTATCGATAAAAGTGTTTCCCTTTGAAATATGCTTTAATTTAAACAATAACATTAAGAACTTCATTGGCGAGAAAGGTAACAACTTAAAATTAATCTCAGATTACAAGTTTTTACGCAACATGCGCAGCCCTCTTATGGCGTTCAAAATATCCGCGTTGCATAAGCATAACCGGAAGTAGGCGAAAAATGTAAGTTGCTGAACTGTTTTAAACTTTTCAACTATTTTATTGGTTTAATTGTCCCCTACCGTCCCGTCCCAAAGTGGATAATTCCCGTCCCGCCCCGAAATATTTTTGTCCAGTGACATCCTTAATAAATACAATAAAACATTGAGATAATTACATTAATAAAAAAGCTATGATATATTTTGTAGTAATCATCAAATAAAATCACGCATTTTATTGGCCCACCCTGTATACTCACAGAGGTTCATTTTACAATAGAGAGCTTTAAATATAAATTGTTTTGTATTTTAAAGGGTCTTGTCACACTTAAATCAATTTGAAACTGCTTTTTAATGAATTGTACCCATCTTTATTTAGAAGTACAAGTTTGTACAAGTTGACCAAATAACTTATATCGAAAGCTCTCTAATAACTTTATGGTTACTGGACTAGTGTTCCACTTAGGAAGGTGTTACATTTTATAAGTTACAGTATGTTTGGGTGAATGAAAAATTACAACTTACCTGAGAGGCTGATGAGGATTTGAGCCTCTGGAACTGCTACCAACTACAAAACATTTTCAAAGGACATTACAGTAAATACATGTACAGTGTACATGTATATGTGTACATATTTAGAGATTTATTTCAGTGACATATCAATTTATGATACTAGTATTTTAATGTGTCAGGTACTCAAATATTACATGTTTATTGTACTTAAAAGGAAAGTCTGATGTATATGAAAAAAATTTAAATACGGTTAGGCTACTCTAGCCAGGTGGGTTTGAGCGGACACCTCTGGTCAAAAATTCTTCAAAATTATGCAGTTTTCAACATTTTGGGCACTTTTCAAGTAGTTTTTGGCCAAAATTGTCAATTATGAAACCCCTGGAACTTTTCAAAAAACTTTGGCAAAAGCTGGCAACAGGCCTGACGTTTTAATATGCTGTATATTTATTTGCAACAATAAGAAAAATATAAAATGAGAATTCTGCATCAATGTGAACATTTCTAAAGAGCACCAAATCTGCTTCAATTTCAAACAGCTCTTTACCTGAGTTATGGGTTTCTTTGAGAATGCCTTGTTTGACCTTTCCAAGGACACATTAAAACTGGTTTCATTACCAGGTATTGGAGACACAGTATAGACCAATAGATGGCCTTGCTTTGTACCTACTAACAGCTTGTCATCTGAAAACATACATAACATTTCATGTCATTGAAAGAATGGCCATACGGGAGTTAAGACTGTTTTTTATAACTGAGGTGAAAGTGTAATTTTCAAATGCAGCTTACGTTATATACAGGGTGTCCCGAAAGTATGGGCCCCCCCTAGGTGGACATATACCAGTGTCGTGATAGTATGTGTCATATATCATTTTAAAGCTTATCCAAAAAAACATTGATTCGCCAAGTATCATGGTTCAACTCTCAAATATGGAAAAATTACAGGTATTTCAAAATTTAGTGTTTGGTCAAAATTAAGTTCAATTTTACACCAAATCACTAGTCAATGTGTCCTCCCGGGCCTTCTTTACAGCAGCAATTTTTTTCGGGTCGGAGGGATATTGAGCTGGAAAAAGAGAACGGTGAGGGTAGAAACTCTAAAGAAACTCTTCTAAAGTCCCTTCACAGGTCTTAAGAGGGTTATGAAATTCCACACCCCTATTTGAAGGGCTTTTAAGGTCGTATCTGACACTAATTACTGCTGTTAACATGGCCAAAGGGGGACACATTGACTAGTAATGTGGTGTAAAATTGAACTTTATTTTGACAAAACACTAATTTTTAAAATGTCTGTAACTTTTTCCCATTTGGGAGTTAAACCATGATAATAAGGTTTTGTTACAGACTTGTATAAGGGTACACAGACCATGCAATTTAAATATGCTGTTTGACTCTTTGTTTGAGCTTTGATAAACCTGGAATGAATTACTTATTATATCCATGAACCGAAGAGGTGCAGTGAGCCAAATCTGCTAATTGAATCCCCAATGCTAAAATCACTACTGATTCCATTTTCTTCAGTAGATCTATACTCATCTAATTCTCAATTTATTTATAAATGCATGCACTTTAAAGGGAAACCCCTTAATCAATGTAAAGTCTTTGATTAATGACACTGGTGAATACTTATGAAACACATTAATTTAATGCATCAAAAACATGCATCACTAAAACACTAAATAAACTCGAAGACTTACATAAACCTTAACCATCAAAAGTTGTCACAAACCCTCCCAAACGGTACAAAAATAATTTCTGTTCACGCTAAGTAGCACAATAAATGAATCCAAAGCTTCATACCTGCAAATGATGAATAAATTCCTACCAAATCAAAACGAATGTTTTCATGTGATTGTGATCCAAGGAGAATTGACTACATCAGTTAACCTTATTTACTTTTGACAGGTTTCAAAATGGCGGAATTGCATTTTGGAAGCTGTCACATGTCATGTTGCATTCTGGGAGCCAATCCTCCTTGCGGCATAATCTGGCTCCAAAATAACCTCAACATTTGATGTTAACATGGCATTGGCATTAACATGTGAATATCACTTTAAAATTGTAAGTTCCTAATTATCATTATGGACAAAAATTCCACTATATTTGTTCGTTCCAGGATGGAGAAAATAGAGCACTTAATTCACTGAGGTAAGAATTTATTACATGTGCGACAGAATCAGAATGTCTTTTTCAAAGTGTAAGTCATAATTTAAAGTCGGAGACATTAATAAACCTCAACCATCAAAAGTTGTCACAATGAGCTAAATTCTAAATTCCGTGTCTCAAACTCTCCCAAGCAGTAGAAAAATAATTCCCGTTCATTTTAAGTAGCACAATAAATGAATCCAAAGCTTCATACCTGTAAATGATGGATAAATTCCTACCAAATCGAATGAATGTTTTCATGAATCGTCATGTTTGTGATCCAAGGAGGATTGACTCCCAGAACGCAACATCAGTTAACCTTATTTATTTGTGACAGGTTTCAAAATGGCGGAACAGCATTTTAAAAGCTGGCACATGTCAAGCTGCATTCTGGGAGCCAATCCTCCTTGCAGCGTAATCAGGCTCTAACTGGGAAAATCACCTCAACATTTGAAGAGTCGTGAATATCCACTTCAAATTTTTAAGTTCCTCTTTGCCATTATGGACACAAAGTCCACTATATTTGGACTTACTAGGACGGAGAAAATAAAGCACTGAATACACTGAGGCGGGCACTGAGGTAAGAATTTATTACATGTGCGACAGAATCAGAATGTCAAAGTGTTACTTCGGTCCAAAGCCTTCTCTATATTCTGGCTTTGAGGAGGAAGATTGAGCTGCCTTAGTATTATAAATATTGTAAATCATTGTGTCACACGCACAGTAAATATGGCATAATAATATGAAATATACCTTTATGTATAGATTTGAAGAACATCAGCTCACATCCCCGTCTGAATCTATTGTTATATTTGATTTCTTTAAGCGAGAATAATTTCAAATGTTATTCATGTCCAGAACCGGAAGCCATTTTTAGCTACAGCGAGAAAATTTCACCATGTGTCAAACTCCGAAATGAAATTTTGAAATATCTAAATCCAGACAAGCAACGCTTCATCCTAAATATGATTAATATTCTTAAAAATATTTATAAAATTTATTAAAAATGAGTTCTAGGTGCGTGTAGGTGCGTGTAGCACAGTACATACGAAATCAATGAAGTTTCGTCTAGCTGTAAGCTAGAGACTCGAGTAATCAAAGTGTTAGTCATTATTTATGTTCTCAACTTTAGCTGCAAGTAAAAATTCCAAGTTCATGTGACTTTTCTAGTAAAAATAATCAAAGCTGCAAGAACATAATGTAATAGAAATATAGGCCCTAGATACATTTGCAGAATGAGGAAATAAATGAAAAAAAAGTTGAAACTGAAAAATGCTCACCATAACTTGTGATTGATTCAATGATTAGTGGCAGCTTTTCCAAAATTGGTGCTGCCTCGAATGCTTCGTGCATAGTTTCTTTTATAAGTTAACATCACATTCTACATCGTATACGAATGCATCTGTGAGTAATAGACTAAATAACTGAATATAAATGCAGATCATATGATTTTACTTTTACTCTCCGAACGAGGAGGAAATTAAGTTACTTCCGGTTCCTGTGATATCGAATTTTTTAAAATTTTCAAATATTTTATGATTTATTTCATTAAAACGGTATATGCACACGTGAATCTAAATTTATATCAAAGTCAACGTGTTACTTTATGGAATGGAGAAGCCACAAATAATTTCGCACGTGCAGAAATCACTCAACTACACTCTATTTGATACGCGTTGGATTCCTTGCAGTGCAAAATTTGTTGTCCTTGGCAACCATGCCAGGGGTACAGGTGCTCTGCAGATATACGAAGTTTCACACGGAGATGTTACACTTCTGAAAGATGTGAGTATAAGCTGGCATGTTTAGTAGCTTTAGAATGGACAGTAACGTTACATCAGACAAAGCAGATATTCCGGAAATTTCTCGTCCCATTTCATTTTCAAGGGTAGTTGCGGGTTTGGTCTACAGTCATACCTTCCATCTTAATCGAAAGAGAGAAAAATTGGAAAACAATAAGGATTCCAATGAGGAGACTCATTAAAATTTCTGAACAAAAGTCGTTTTTTAACGTTTTCTAATGCCTAGGCCTACATGTAGATAGTTATAAACATCCTTTAATGTACATGTATTCTAAAATGTACACGTAATTTATTTAGGCCATAACCCTTTGTTCATGCCACACTCAGATCATAAATATACCATAAATGAAACTGCCTATAGTCATACAGTTCTGCATCAGTAGTACTCAAAATAAAATGTTTCTTGTTTTGATCAATGCAGTAATGAGTATAGTCAAAACAGTAACGTTTGTGAGTACATGTACTTTGAATTTAAAAAATAAGCAATCAAATAACCAAATTGAAACAATTTATGTAAAAATAGAAACATTTATATTTATCCTAACTTTTGTATATTTTAGTTTGTTTTCTAGTTTAGCTATCAATGTATCTGTGTCCTCTTATATTTTGATACTTCTCTGCCATGTTATTTTCGGAAAAATTAACATGCCTGAAACTCCCTAAATTACAAAAGGCCACAGCTTTGCTGCACATTATACATTACTATCTGAAATATACAAAAGTTGGGATAAATATAAATGTTTCTATTTTTACATAAACTGTTTCAATATGGTCATTTGATTGCTTATTTTTTAAATTCGAAGTACTCACAAACATTACTGTTTTGACTGTAGGAGACTATTTGAAAACACTGCATTACGTAAAACATCCTTTAGGCTGCAATATTCTACAAATACGTGCACTTTTATGTTTGATGATTTTTCTATTTTTAGATTGAAAAATCCAAGGCATTCAAATGTGGAACATTTGGAGCCTCCAGCTTACAACAGCGTAATTTAGCTACAGGCAACTTTGAAGGCCAAATGCAAATATGGTAAGTTTGAAAGTGATTTGCGAACTCCTATGCAGTGTCTCGGTATAGACACTGCGGCGGGCAGATTATGGAATCCCCAAAATTTGGGGAAGATAGTCCCCCTTTTTGTCACAGATGTACTTGTTTTTCACACAACTTATAAAATATATGTTCTTTTATGTTCACCAATAATTATTTTGTTAAAATATTCCAAAATCAATGAAATATAAGAGGAAATCCCCGCGGAAGGAATTCTAAGTAAAAGTTGTGTTGATAAAATTTACCGCACGTGTTGTTTATTAGTTAATACGCGCAATTCAACCAATGAAATTGTCTAAATTTTACAATCACGCGACCTGAGCATGGGACTAGAACCAATCACGTCAGTTGTTTATTACGATGTTACCATGCTTACGGTGAGATACCTGCCCGCCGCAGTGATATATCACTGCACGGGAGTTTGAGTGATTTGTTGGGACAACAAAAGCACTCAATCATTCTAACATTGTTTTCTTAACATGCAAAAATTGTGTTGAGTGAGATCCCCTCAAAATATGTAATTACTGAATATCACAAATTCAATAAATCTGTAAATGTAGAAGTTATAAGATTTGTTTTTTTTTATATCCAGGGATTTGGAATCTACAGAGCTCCCTGTGTATTCAGTTCAAGGCCATACAGAGATCATCAACTGTATAGATGGAGTTGGTGGTATGGGTGTTGGTGAGGGTGCTCCAGAAATAGTCACTGGAAGTAGAGATGGTAAGGAATACATGAGTTTGACAAGAGATAATGATAACTCAGCTGTAGATTTTTTAGTACCAGATCGATCAATAAGTAATAAGTTTTGAGAAAATCACTCTCAAACTAAGAGTTTTGTGCTCCTTTCATTCAAATTTTCACAGAAGATGTTAAATACAACCTCAAGTTAGAATACCAACAAGCGTCACTAGATGTGCTATTATTTGGTCATAATACTAGTCAGTTACTGTTATTTGTAGTTACAGAGAGTAGTTTTCATTCACATCTTCGCCTTGAAATTATTGATGGAATAAGTGGTTTGACCATTATGGAAATTTGCTTGATTTTTGGCATATTTTTGTTAAACTCAGAGTGTCAAATTTAAGGCTGCCTTATCTGAAACCCTAAAGTGTCTCTGTTTAGAAAATTCAAACAGTTAAGGCACATTTTGCCTTTATTTCAAACTCTTGTTTCATGCTAGAGTTGAGTCCCTTTTGAAATTTCGTGTTTCAACAAATGGAAGATAAACTATAGGGCATCAAACATACCAGCTATGCAGGTTGTGAAACACGACAGAGTGCATCACAACTCTGACAGCTTCTGAAGGGTTCCTATGTGTGACTCGAGTTCCATCAAAATTTGAATTATCTACATGGAAAAGTGCTTTTAAAACATAAGATAAACTTTAATATTGAATACTTTGAACACTATCATCTCACAATATCATCTTACTTCTAAAATCGAATGCTTCTTTTGACAGTTCAATAATTTAAGGATTCATTAGATTAGTTTTTATAATATTGCCCCACCTACCTAAAACATGAGTTACCATAGTTACCATATTTTTCTCCAGAGAGATGAATACTTGATGAAACTTGGAACATTGACACAGGTCATTATTTTACATACCCTGTGAAAATTCCAAGTAGAAAGTCATTGAACTCTTGATTTAAGAGACTTTTTCTCAGAACTTATATTGACCTGGTACACTTACTTTTGATTAAACTGTTTTAATACACTTACATTTAATTTATCTCTTTTAATACACTTACATGCATCAATCAAATGAAATAACACTCAATGTTTACTACATGTATTATTTACATAAGTTAGTATGGTAATACAAAGCAGTATGTATAGTAGAACAATTAATCACCTTTCAGGTGCTGTAAAAGTGTGGGACCCCAGACAAAAGAAAGACCCAGTAGCAACTATGGAGCCAAGTGCCAATGAAACCAGGCGGGACTGTTGGGCAGTTTCATTTGGTAAGGTTATCTGTGGTTTACATTGCAATAGATTGTAATGTCATGGTTGTCATATTTGCAATATAATTAAAGGGGATCGGAAACAGAAGCATTGAATAAACTGGATTAAAAGTTCATGAAAAAGTTAATTTGAAAAATTGCTTTTTTCAAAAACTGTAATATTCATTTAGTTGCCCAACATTTCAAATCCTTTTCTCCACCATGAAGTTTATAATGTTTTTTGAGATTTAAATTATGTGTAAATGTTTTATAACATATATCTCATTTGAAGTACTTTTCACCAGTATGTATTTTATAATGTTCTTTGAGAGTTGAATTTCTGATAAATGTCTTAAAACAAATATCACATGTAAAGTCCTTTTCACAAGTATGTATTTTATAATGTACTCTGAGATTCGAATTTTTATTAAATGTTTCAAAACAAATTCCACATTAGAAGTCCTTTTTTCCAGTATGTATTTTATAATGTTCTTTGAGATTTGAATTCTGTACAAATGCTTTAGAACAGATATCACATTTGAAGTCCTTTGCTCCAGTATGAATTTTATAATGTCTTTTGAGATTTGAATTCTGTACAAATGCTTTAGAACAGATATCACATTTAAAGTCCTTTGCTCCAGTATGAATTTTATAATGTTCTTTGAGATTTGAATTCTGTACAAATGCTTTAGAACAGATATCACATTTGAAGTCCTTTGCTCCAGTATGAATTTTATAATGTCTTTTGAGAGCTGAATTATGTACAAATGCTTTAGAACAGATATCACATTTGAAGTCCTTTTCTCCAGTATGCATTTTATAATGTTCTTTGAGATTTGAATTCTTTACAAATGCTTTAGAACAGATATCACATTTAAAGTCCTTTGCTCCAGTATGAATTTTATAATGTTCTTTGAGATTTGAATTCTGTACAAATGCTTTAGAACAGATATCACATTTGAAGTCCTTTTCTCCAGTATGAATTTTATAATGTCTTTTGAGAGCTGAATTATGTACAAATGCTTTAGAACAGATATCACATTTGAAGTCCTTTTCTCCAGTATGCATTTTATAATGTTCTTTGAGATTTGAATTCTTTACAAATGCTTTAGAACAGATATCACATTTAAAGTCCTTTGCTCCAGTATGAATTTTATAATGTTCTTTGAGATTTGAATTCTGTACAAATGCTTTAGAACAGATATCACAGTTGAAGTCCTTTTCTCCAGTATGAATTTTATAATGTTCTTTTAGAGTTGAATCCTGTACAAATGCTTTAGAACAGATATCACATTTGAAATCCTTTTCTCCAGTATGAATTTTATAATGTTTTTTGAGATTTGAATTCTGTACAAATGCTTTAGAACAGATATCACATTTAAAGTCCTTTGCTCCAGTATGAATTTTATAATGTTCTTTGAGAGCTGAATTCTGTACAAATGCTTTAGAACAGATATCACATTGAAAGTCCTTTGCTCCAGTATGAATTTTATAATGTCTTTTGAGAGCTGAATTCTGTACAAATGCTTTAGAACAGATATTACATTTAAAGTCCTTTGCTCCAGTATGAATTTTATAATGTTCTTTGAAATTTGAATTCTGTACAAAGGCTTTAGAACAGATACATGTATCACATCTGAAGTCCTTTTCTCCAGTATGAATTTTATAATGTATTTTGAGAGCTGAACTCAATGTAAATGCTTTTAAACAAATATCACACTTGGGATTCTTTTCCCCAGTATGAATTTTATAATGCTGTTTTCGGTTTGAATCATGTGCACATTTTTCAAAACAAATTATATTTTTGTGTTTCTTTTTTCCATCTTGTGTTTTCCTAGTTTGTACATCCATTTCATTGGTAGTGGTATCCATATTTTCATGTACATCCAATTCATTGGTATTGGTATCCATATTTTCATGCAATGTTTAAATTTAAAAAATCACTTCTGATTTTAGTAGTGTTCATATACAGAAATGTACTGACTGACAACCAGTTGAGTCTTTATAAATTTCTGAATCTGTCTCCTTTCTTTCCTTACTTTCCTTTGAAACCATATAGAACAAACATTAAGTTGTGCCTTGTGGTAAACCTTTGTGTAATCAGTGCCATTACTGAGTCCATTGTGTGAAAGTGGAATGGTTCTAATTGGCTTACATGTACCTTTACAAACTGTTGATTGGTCAGTTGGATATTTTGCTATGATTTTGTTTACTTACAGTATTTTAGTATTTTAATCAGCTTTTGACTTTTATTCCACATGCTCTCTAAGTGTACCTTAAAATGTTTGAGATCTGGTCCTTATATATTATTGTTAAGCATGTATATACTCTTGTTTGTCTTGAAACTCTTGTTTGTTCTGAAACCTGATAATCATATTTGATAATCATTCTTGTTTTGCTTAAATACTCTTAAAGTGTGCGCCTGACCCGGCTACGTATAGCACAGAGTTTATACTGGCGGATTAGACTAGTTCATTTTTTATATGTGTGTGAAAGCTTTCTCTTATTTGCGTTTTTTCGTTTAGTACGGTTTTGTTATAATTGCCGAGGTCATATAACCGGGATAAAACAATGATTATCGTTGACTGCCCACACACAAAACATACGTTGAGTGAACAGTGTTATTACAAACAACAGGCTTTAGAATACAAAGCGTAGTGTGATAATAAGCTGCACACTACCACTGCTGCATGTACATATTACTAATTTACTAGGGCTCCCAAAGAGTGGATAGGGAGGATGTGTTTGTCACTTTTAAATTTTACATTTCAAAATTGTCATTTTACATGTCATAATTTGTTGGTTTCATTCGTTTAGCCAATCAAAACATTGCAAAACAATAAATTGTCTGTTACGTACAATCAATTTTGTTCAGTTTTGATTAGTTGTCAGAATAAAGTTACGTTCATCTGAATCCATGTATCAAAACAAAAATCCTATTTTCACTTCAAAATACTTCAGTGAGATGAAGGCTCGGAATTGTCACATGCAATAACTTATTGTCGTATTCGTTATTTTATCTTCTCGATAGTAGCATTTAGTCGCACAGGTCACCTTGTCGCGTACCTCTTGGGGAACCCCACATTTATGTGTGTACTCATGGAAGTAAATTCCCCGGTGTAGCCGAGAGCCACAAACTTTTCAACAGGTTCGAAATGACCAATTTCTCTCATATATACTCTAAATATTTTATTATTTAGCACCTACAAAGTATTGCTAATAACCATGTGTAATTTCAATAAGGAAACTTATCTGGCTACATATAAATTCAATATCAACACTAGCTGTTCTCTCAACACATCCTGGCTTACCTTGTGGTGACAAACCCTGGGTTTTCGCTATTTATAGTTTATCAACACCTGGACGCATGCGCATTTTATACTTTATTGGGTACTTTAAATATCCCTTGAAACATTGTTCATGAGATACAATTACATGTATAATAAAGCCGTCATTCAAATGGCCACCTTTTGTCGTAAAAAATGTAATCGTTAACTCAAATACCAGTTGACTGATTGGGTTCAAATTTTATATGATGATGCCTAGTGACATAGGATATCTCTTCGAGAAAGAGTTTTCAAGGGCAAATGAATTTCAAAATGGCCACCATTTTTCATAAAAAAAGTAATCTTTGGTGACTCAAATACCAGTTGACGGATTTGGTTCAAATTTTATATGATGATGCCTAGTGACATAGGATATCTCTTCGAGAAAGAGTTTTCATGGGCAAATGAATTTCAAAATGGCCACCATTTTTCATAAAAAAAGTAATCTTTGGTGACTCAAATACCAGTTGACGGATTTGGTTCAAATTTGATATGCTGATGCCTAGGGACACAGGACCTCCAGTATTCAATATGGGAACTGGATTTAAAAATGGCCACAATTTTTCTTAAAAGAACATAATCTTTTATAACTCAAATACCAGTTGATGGATTTGGATCAAATTTTATATGCAGATGCTTAGGGACAAAGGAGCTCTGATTGAGAAGAAATTTTCAAGATGACAACTGATTTTCAAAATGGCCACCATTTTTTGTTAAAAAACATAATCTTTGATAACTCAAATACAAGCGGACAGATTTAGTTCAAAGGACGATTCTCGGTTTGGAGAACGAAGTTCATCAATCTAAATAAGCATTATCCCTGCTTCGGACAAATTTGATTTTTTTACATAATATAGATTTGAATGTCTTCTTTTGAATAGTCATAATTTAATTTGGGTAATATTTATAGATTTTTCGCAAAAAAATATTAGCGCAGTACACTGATGAACTTCTTTCCCCAAATCGAGACTTGTATTTTATTGAATCGGTCAAATTGAGCGTTATCCCTGCTTCAGACCAATTTGTTATTTTTACATCTTGTAGATTTAAATGTCCTCTTTTGAATATTCATAGTTTAATTTGGGTAATATTTCTATATTTTTCATGAAAAAAATATTAGCCCAGGAGACTGTTCTCCAAACCGAGAATCGTCCTTTGATATGCTGATGCTTAGAGATAAAGAAGCTTTGCTTAAGAAGCAAATTTTCAAGATGACAGCTGAATTTCAAAATGGCTGCCATTTTTCATAAAAAACATACTCTTTGATAAGTCAAAGAACAGTCGATGAATTTGGTTCAAATTTTATATGCTTTACCTAGGGACATAAAGGAGCTCTGTTCAAGAAGAAAGGATGAGTCTGGAAATGAGTCTGGGTATCGACTTAGAAAATATTGAAAATTGTAATGTCTGAAAAACCAACTCAATCACACATATTATTGAACTTCAATTTCTTATCCTTCTTCTGAGATACAAAAGTATCAATTTGTATCACAATTGATGAAGAATATTGGCATCAAAGACAGTGCATATCACTTTGTCAGAATTGAAAAAAAAGTCAATGGCAAATATTAAATGAATTATTTATACACAAAGTTTGAAACATATCCTCCAAAACATTGGTTACTTTCTTTGTATAGACATTCAATGGTATTTCTGGATAAGTGAATTGGTGTTTATCTGGGTTATCAAGGGATTATAGTCACTCAAAGTTACTGAGCATCCAGTTTTGAGACTTCAAGTGTGTTGGTGAAGGTACACATATTTCGGTCAAATTCATGCTGAGCACAACATTTTGGTTTCAATTTTATAATCTCTATACATGACCCTGATGATGAAGAGTCAGAATCAGTCAAAAAACCTAAACCGGAAAACTGTGCTCATTGTCAAAACTAAAAGTGAAGCAACTTATTTTCTGATGTTTCTTACATCAAATGGCAGCCACCTTGTTTTTCCCCCTTCAAATTAAAAATCAAAAATTTGAAAAAAAATGTAATCCTTAAATATATTTCAAAAATATGATTTTCTTTTTAATTCTTCAAGGGTCTTAAGTTATTTCTTCTTTATATGTCATACATGTTGCCATTGTTGTTTTTATTAGCTCACATGGTGAGCTTTTGCAATCACTCACTTGTCTGTCTGTCTGTCCGTCCGTCTGTCTGTACGTCCGTCTGTCCGTCAACAATAGTGGCACGTTTTAAAACCTCTGTCGATAGGATTCCTGTTTTAAGTAATTTCTGTTCAACATCAATACAGAAAACCCCCCTATGACTCCTGGTTCAAAAGCTCGCCTATTTTCAAAATGGCCGTCACTTTTGTCTCGCGAAATTCACTTTTAGCCCATTTCCTAGCTAACCTCTGTCGATAGGATTCCTGTTTTAAGTTATTTCTGTTCAACATCAATACAGAAAACCTCCCTATGACTCCTGGTTCAAAAGCTCGCCTATTTTCAAAATGGCCGTCTCTTTTGTCTCGCGAAATTCACTTTTGGCCCATTTCCTAGCTTTACAAATAATTTCAGGTGTCCTACATTGTAAAAATCCATGTCAATGTAAAGATTAGATATATGAAATAATTTTGTTACAAAAAATCAGCGGAAAATTGTATCCATTTTTTTATTTTCAGCCATTTTAGTTAACATTGATTTGTCTATCTGACTCGCGAAATCCACTTTCTGTCAATAACAGTGGCACGTTTTAAAACCTCTGTCGATAGGATTCCTGTTTTAAGTTATTTCTGTTCAACATGAATTCAGAAAACTCCCCTATGACTCCTGGTTCAAAAGCTCGCCTATTTTCAAAATGGCCGCCATTTTTGTCTCGCGAAATTCACTTTTGACCCATTTCCTAGCTTTACAAATAATTTCAAGTGTCCTACATTGTAGATATCCATTGCAAAGTAAAGAGTACATGTATGAAATAATTTTGTTACGAAAAATCAGCGAAAAATTATATCCATTTATTTATTTTCAGCCATTTTAGTTAACATTGATTTGTCCATCTGTCTCGCAAAATTCACTTTTGGACCATTTACCTTAAACCCTCTGTCGATAGGATTCCCATTTTAAGTTATTTTTGTTCAACATCAATACAAAAAACTCTCCTATGACTCTTGGTTCAAAAGCTCGGCTATTTTCAAAATGGCTGTCACTTTTGTCTTGCGAAATTCACTTTTGACCCATTTCCTAGCTTTACAAATAATTTCAGGTGTCCTACATTGTAAAAATCCATGTCAATGTAAAGATTAGATATATGAAATAATTTTGTTACAAAAAATCAGCGAAAAATTGTATCCATTTTTTTATTTTCAGCCATTTTAGTTAACATTGATTTGTCTATCTGACTCGCGAAATCCACTTTCTGTGGCACGTTTTAAAACCTCTGTCGATAGGATTCCTGTTTTAAGTTATTTCTGTTCAACATCAATTCAGAAAACTCCCCTATGACTCCTGGTTCAAAAGCTTGCCTATTTTCAAAATGGCCGCCATTTTTGTCTCGCGAAATTCACTTTTGACCCATTTCCTAGCTTTACAAATAATTTCAAGTGTCCTACATTGTAAAAATCCATGTCAATGTAAAGAGTAGATGTATGAAATAATTTTGTTACGAAATATCAGCGAAAAATTATATCCATTTATTTATTTTCAGCCATTTTAGTTAACATTGATTTGTCCATCTGTCTCGCAAAATCCACTTTTGGACCATTTACCTTAAACCCTCTGTCGATAGGATTCCCATTTTAAGTTAATTTTGTTCAACATCAATACAAAAAACTCTCCTATGACTCTTGGTTCAAAAGCTTGCCTATTTTCAAAATGGTTGCCATTCTTGTTTCGCGAAATTCACTTTTTGCCCATTTCCTAGCTTTACAAATAATTTCAGCTGTCCTGCATTGTAAAAAGCCATGTCACTGTAAAAGGTAGTTTTATGAAATGATTTTGTTACAAGAAATCGGCAAAATATTATATCCGTTTTTTTTATTTTCAGCCATTTTAGTTAACATTGATTTGTCCATCTGTCTCGCGAAATCCTCTTTTGGACCATTTGCTTAAAACCTCTGTCGATAGGATTCCAGTTTCAAGTTATTTTTGTTCAACATCAGTACAAAAAAATCCCCTATGACTCCTGGTTCAAAAGCTTGCCGGATTTCAAAATGGTCTCCATTTTTGTCTCGCGAAATTCAATTTTGGCCCATTTCCTAGCTTTACAAATAATTTCAGGTGTCTTGCATTGCAAAAAGCCATGTCACTGTAAAGAGTAGTTGTATGAAATAATTAAAAAATTATATCCGTTTTTTTTTTCAGCCATTTTAATTGACTGAGAGACAGATGGCTTGAAATAATTTTGTAACAAAAAATCAGCAAAAAATTATATCCGTTTTTTTCTGTCACCATGTGAGCCCAGTACCCACGGTACTAATTTTCTATGATAATGACTATTTTATTTTTGTTAAGATACTCATTCTGACTCTCAGCAGGGGGTTAATTATGCATCAAAACTCGTGAAAAAGTAAATATATTTGTCAAATATAACTAGGACAGTAATAAAAACCATATTTCACATACATTTGACTGAGGGATCAAAAGGGCATATACCCGGACTCATCCTTTCCAAGAAAGCCGGTATTAATAAAAATATGTTTCATTAGTTGGGATTTGCTACTCTGTGGAGTTCCTGTTTTCTTGTTTTCTTATCTGTGTTGGCTAAATATACATGTATGTGTTGTTCACCTGTCTGCATTGTCTTCCAGGTCATGCCTACAATGCCTATGACAGATGCGTCGCTGCAGGTTATGATAATGGTGATGTAAAATTATTTGATCTCAGGAATATGTCCCTTCGTTGGGAAACAAATCTCAAAAATGGAGTAAGTAATGAATGAAACACTTTTAACATTTACGATTAAATGTTTGAAAATATTTATTAATTCTACATGAGTATAATAAATATGAAATAGATAATTTTATTTCCAAAAAGTGTAATATTAGAATTTTGCCAACCATACAAATTTTTATCAATCAATGCAAAAACTCGAGAAAATTGACTGGTTGAAATGAATTCTTAATTTATCATAACTTATTGACTACCCTGTACTTTAGGTATGTGGGTTAGAATTTGACAGGAAGGACATCAACATGAACAAACTTGTGGCTACCACACTTGAGTCAAAGTTCCATGTGTTTGATATGCGTACCCAACATCCGACAAAAGGATTTGCTTCACTTTCAGAAAAGGTAATTTATAAGACAAACAAACAACACGACAAATAGGCTTTACTTACAATATTGCCCAACTTTACTCTTCATATATTTAAATGTTGATTGTGTCTCCAATTTTGTGAAAAGAATATCTTCTGTATCATTCTAAATATAGACCTAATGTCTGAAAAAGGGATCATTACAAATGATGGATTAAAAGCAATGTTCAATATACCACATTTTGTCCTAAATTGAAAATAAACTCACAATCACTTATATTGACTTGAAATACTTGACTGACCATGTCATGAAATTATTGTACCTTAAAAAGTAAACATTTTAATATTTGTGAACTTTCTAGGCACACTCATCCACAGTCTGGACCCCAAGACATCTTCCACAGAATAGAGACGTGTTTATGACAACTGGTGGCAATGGATCGCTGAATCTCTGGAAATAGTGAGTCTCAAAGTTCTAATTTCTAAAGATATAGTGAAACCTGTAAAGTGGAACACCTCTGTCAGTGGAACACTTTTCAGAGTCCCAAGAACAAATGACTTAATGTTAAATGAACCTCTAATTCATCTCTGTTTAGTATGTGAGCACCGCCGACCAAAGAACTTCGAAATTTCAACTTAGTCCCATTTTGATTTATCCCAATTCAATCCTTGCAACATTCCCTTCAGATAAACTTTCCTGCATATACAGTAACTATGATTACACTTTTTTCAGTAACTATCCTGCCAAGCGAGTGGAAAAGGACAATGATGGAAAAGAATATGGTATAGCAGGGACAGTGTCCATGCTCCAGAATATCACAATGTCCACCCAGCCTATTTGTGGTTTTGATTGGAACGTTGACAAAATGGGACTATGCGTCTGCACCTCATTTGATCAGACACTTAGAGTAATAATTGTTACCAAGTTAAATCAATTATGACGTGTTTATCGTGTCAGAAAAGTCAAGGTTACTTTAGAGGTCATGATCCATTGGAGGTCATAAGGACTAGTGTTGCATGTCCTGCAAAATAGACTCAAGACATGAGCACGGTGCTTCCAAGGATTTTTATATCACCACCAAAAGGGGGTGACATATCATTATGGTCTCCATTTTTGTGACAGCAGTTGGTGTCTGGCGCCTCGCATTTAGCATCTGTAAAAAGGCCAGATTGATGATGAGAATTTTTAGGTGTCACATTTTGTGTATTTTAAAACTCAGTATTTACTCTGAAACCCCAGTGAGCACCTAGTTTCAAGGGGATATTATTGTTTCGAATGAAATATAAGATCGATCATTGTTCTATTTGAGAACAAACCAGTTATTATTTGAGGAGTCATTAGACAACATTCCATTTGGTGAACTGTATAATTGCTTTTTTATTTTACTTGTGAGCATTTTAAACATTGTTCATTTTTTGAGAAGTCTGTGTTATCTACCAATGAAACTGTAATGAAACCCATAGATATTTAAAATCAGCCCAGGGGCATTTGCAGATTAATAACAAACCTTTCATTCGCTCATAGATACATTAAAATCTGTATATCCAAAAACCTGGCTAATCCGAACACATCCCAATCTGAACACTTTTTGGTCCCATTTTTTGCCTCCCATTGGCTCCCTTGTTAGAGAAATCTTGAAATGTGGACACCTTCCGTTATACCACTCTGTACAGCGATCAATCAATTTTATCTATGTAGTATGAACACATTTCATAAGATATCACACATTTCATAAGATATCACACATTTCATACAGAATTGCTCAAATATTTTCTATTATCACTGTTTTATTACAATATCCAAACATTTTGAAAAAAACAATGAATGGTCTTGATCTAATGTGTCTCAGAACGTGACTAATAAATTCATTTTAATCAGATTTTCAAGTTATTATTGGAATGCCATAAAGTTGTGGTCAAAAGAACTATTTTGTGTTCACATTTCTTCAAAATCCAAAATCTCGCGAATGCAAAAACCTCAAATGTGAACATCTACTTAATAGCTGGTCCAAATGGCTTTCGGATTAGACAGGTTTTACTGTCAGACTGTAGATATGCATTTAATCAAGGGCTGTAAATTTATAAGTCTATTTTTCTTAGCAAAGCCCGTAAATGACAGTACTGTACTTAAATATAAGAATAGATGACTCTGGCATTGTGATTGTATGCATAGTTTTAATAAAAAACATAACATAATTTGAAATGTAAATACATTTATTTCAAGTATTAAATATAACAATAAAAACACAACATAGAGTGAACAGTGTGATGACATTACTAATGCTAATTAGGCAATCAAACTTCAATGTTTATTGATCACCCTGTAAGTGGTTCATGTAAGTTTGCATGATATGTGTGCTCAACATGTGATGTCACAATACATATGACTGCATTTGTAAGTTCAATATGTTATGTCACAATATACAGGGTGTCCATTGTCTCTTTACACTTAACATAGACTTTGTATTGTAAAATTAAAGTGACTTTATGGATACCCTGTATATATGAGCTGTACACATAAGTTCAATATTGTTATGTCACAATATACGAAAGCTTGTCATGTAACTTCATTCAGATGTCAAAATATATATCACAGATCCCAGAATTACTTATCTATGTGGCGCGTTTTAATTTTGAATTTCTAGAAATTCATTCATCAGCACAAAATTTTTGCATAATTTACATTTTTCTCAAAGAACATCTCACCCGATGTTTCACTGCTTCATCAAATTCATAATTATTAGGTAAATAATATCTAAACTTAACAAAAACACTTGAAGTTTAAAATCGCCCATACCGGAAATGTTAGTACATATGGTGAGATGGTTTCGATGCTATCACCAGAATTTAGAAAGCTTTTATTTTCTTGAAATGTGGATTTTTAGGAATTTTTGCCATAACGCGGTTGCATTATTTGCTACATCCCCCGCATAATTTTGTGTTTTTTGCTACCTAATTTCATGTAACCTGTGATATATGAACTGAACAATATGTTTGAAACTTCCAACATTTTGATGTCACAATATACATTAAACTTTAAACACTGTGATGTCATGATATACATAAAACTTCAAAAGTTGTGATGCCACAATATACACGAGTAATACATAAAACCTCAATATATATTGAGGTTGATATATGATGTCTAATGCCCATGGCAGGAGCGGTTTGTTTTTAGATGTAATTTCAAGATTTTCCCACAATTTATTTTTTAACTCAAAAACTGATTATTTGCAAAATTCACAAAATGAACCAGTACATGCAATGACAATGTCAGGTTTACCTGATTTTTGATTTGTATTTCAATTATGCCATACCTTACTTCTTATCAAATTGTTTTGTTATATATCAAATTCAATAGCTTCAACATATCCTTCTACTGCCTAATGGTGTTGAATATTTCACCATTCTCTTACTTTAACAATTACCTTTCAATAAATGAATTAAAAAATATTAGACAAGCATATAAATTAATATAAATTTTTAAAGTAAATAAGCATGTGTAAAATAACGTCCAATACACTATTGTTCAATAAGAGGTCTGTATTATGGCTTTAGACTATAGAGCCAGTGTGAAAAGAAATAAGATAGCTGTATGTTTTTTTTATAAATCGCATTACATTTATTTATTGACTAAAATGTGAAGATACTTTTGTGAAGACCCTTTGAATCTTAAACTAAAGTTGTAGTTGAAAGGTTAAACTTACACTAAAGCAGTATTGACTAACTTACATAACCTTATGTTTCTCAAATAAATTATGGTTACGGTTCATATATTTAACTGTACTGTAAGTAATATCTATACACTGTCGCTGAAACTTTTTCCATATTGTTAATTCAAATAAGGAGGATGCTGACAATATTACACAAACCCTGAAAATCATACAATTAATGTCGCAAACTTTAACTTTCGATTTAAAATGTAAACCTTCTGAATTACAAGTAAAAAATAAAATAAAGATTAGTAAACAGTGGCTTCATTCATACTGTTTGTTTTTAGCAATTGGCAATTCTCATTATTTGAGATTGAATTCCTCTTTTAAGTCCAGCACCACTTTCTCTGAATTGAATACATACAATCAATTGGTTAACTAAATATTTCTTCAATTACCGGTATATTCAAATTGTATATATTAAAACGTGACTCCATACTCCATATATTACCACACATTTTGTGTTCATTAAAGGACTAGATCTGTACTGAAATTCAGTCTGAATTTCTATGAATCTTGTCTTAATTTTCCTTGTGTACAACGTAACTGTATATTGTACAGTATATCCAGAGGGAAACAGTAACTAATGCTGTTTGCTGAGACATAATGATGTCACAATAAAGTAGCACCATGACAACAATCAGAAATTAAGCTGTTGCCATAGTTACATCATAAAGGAGAATTGAAAACCAGGTATCGTAAACCGCAATATTTTGACTCTGTCACTAAGACATTATTTAATATTATGTTACATAGTACATAATATGAATATGAGGTAAGTTCTCAGATAATACTTATACATTTAATACCATAGAAATCACTAAATAGTGCATACAGTAACTGTACAAATACTGAAGGGACACATATCACTGACATTTAACACTGTGCATTGAAGTCATTGGTCAGGCCCATTGCCAAGGGGGTTGGTGGGTTTTATGACCCCCCCTTTTGTCAAAAATTTTAAAAGTATGTAGTTTTTCGCCATTCTGAGCTCTTCAAGTAATTTTGGCAAAAAAAGAGAACCCCCTGGAATTTTTGGAAAAGTCAATACCCCCCCCCCCCCCTCTTGGCAAAAGCTGGCTGTGGGCCTGTTGGTCAACTACTGTAAGTATTGAAATCTTTACATAGAGATGTTCACATGTATTATTATACATGCAGTAAAACCTTCAAAATTTCCGAAGCACTAGTCTATTATACAGACTTTACTGCAGTATGGCTCATATATATTTGAATTTGTAACAATATATACACTAGCTACTACAATAAAGAAATAATTTACTCTGTACATGTGTAGCTAGCTGCCATATTATGCATGTCTCATATTATATTCATTGTGATACTGAATATTTAGAGAAAATGGAGAATCATCATTTTGTGTCATCTTTGAAACTGACTAGGGGAAGGTGAAATAGTTGAAATATCAATGTGTTCTTTTCACACAAAAAATCAGTTTTGAGAACGGAGTAGATTGATATTTTAAAGATTATATTGATATAAGGGTGAATAATGCAAAATCACATAAAACATCAGGCCCGTAGCCAGAATTTTCCAAGGAGGGTTCACTTTTCCAAAAAATTCTAGGGGGTTCACTTTGGCAAATATGGCCAAAAATCCCCCCCCCTGGCTACGGGCCTGAACATTATAAGTAAAGGTAAAGTCTTAATTTTAAGAATCATATGTGTTTTAATGCTTGACACTAACTGAACATTAGAGTTCATTGTATTTCTGTGCTTGGATGGATAAATAATCTCATAGAATGGACTTCTTATAGATCTGAGTACTGGATTAGCTAAAATATAAAGCTCCCCAGGTAACAAACAACCTTATAATGAAATACGGATGAGGCAAGAAAAAGAAGGTGCAACACTGCTAATGTGATACAACTGAGCTGAATGGGTTTTGGGGTATACAATACTTTCCCATCATCACCCAAAGACCGTTGTTGCTGCTTCACAGGGAATTTTCCAGTTTTATAAAACTGATCAAGCATGGCATCTTTCTCGATGTATCGATCATAAAGCCACTGTTTGAGATTGTTTGTGTCTTTTGGGACTTCATCGATTGGAAATTTCTGAAAATGGATAACTGTTTCACATGGCTGTCGGAATCCACTAGTGATGCTTTGGAAATCTAGAGCTTTACCTCCTGGGTAGCCTACAGTGACATCTATCACCCACTTAAGGCGTCCCATTTTTAAGCGACTTGTATCTGGAATTATCAAAAATCATGTTTACATTAATGATATTTGAACAATCTCACAGTTGTTCATAGAACAGAGAAAGAAACTATAAAATGGCTAAACACAAATTATTTATAAATCAACAGTTCATAAACAGGCCTCTAGCCAGGGGGGTTCAGGGTCCAATCACCCTCCTCCCCTCCCCTCTGGCCAAAAATTGTTTCAAAATCATAAAGTTTTTCACAATTCTGGCCATTTTTGAGCCAAAGTTATCCTTAATTAACCCCCTCTGGAATTTTTAAAAAGTGAAGCCCTGTGGCAAAAACTGGCCATGGACCTGGTAGTACAGACTCAGTGAACTTTAAATAAAAATTTCTACCTCAGCTGCACAAAAATGACCTTAGGTTTAGAAAAAAATGTTATCTGAAAAAAATGGCTCCGAGCACCAGAAGGAACTGAATGTTATGTAAAACAAATGTTTTTTCAATCAAATCATTGAAAATTTTTAGTTCTTGCAAGAAATCAACAAAAAACTTTCCTGAGAGTCACAACCTAGAGGATCCAAAGTTTGTAAACGATGACAACCAGAACCAAAACCTTTATTCCTTGGACTTACCTGTATCTGTATGGCTAGATGTTCCATTGCTTATTGCACTGGATGAAAGAGTATTCATGGCCATTTCTACAGCACCAACACGAGGCAGTGTAACATGGTGCAGTAATGGTAAATTATGTTTCCTCCCGAAACTGAAATAAATAAATAAAAAAATGAATAAGAATTCAGAAGCCTGCTAGGTATGCATTATAAGAGGCATACCAAAGTAACATCCCTGAAATTTTTAAAACAAGGCCACCCTCCGCCTGCCTGATAAACCAATGAGAATTTGATAAACCAATGAAAATTTTCATACCAAAGTAACATCCCCGAAATTCCCTGAAAACAAATTTAGAAACATACATAGAAGTTGGGACACCCTCCGCCTGCCTGATAAACCAATCATAATATCAAATGGGATTTCAAAAAGTTGTTCAACTTAGAGGACAAATCATTTATTTACTAAATTCTACACTTATATTGTTGTCTTGTGCTGGTGGACATATCAGTCTGTCTTTCTTGGCAGCCAGGTGCCACATAAATCAAGTCTTGTCATCCAAGAATTCCAGGAAAGCCACTAAATTGTTCAACTTACAGATGAACAAGCATCAAGCAAACTTGCCAAGATCTGATTAGGTTTTGGTCATGTTGGGTAAATTACTAAACTGGCCATTTGCAATGTTTTTACAATGTATTAACATGCAAAATATCACAACATACCATTTGTTACAGATGCCAACTACTTAACGCCAAACGCACCATCAATAAAAACAGTTTGATATTTATCACTGGGTGTCTCTTATTACTCATCATCAGCTCTGATTCTACAATGCACTATAATCCATTCAATTCAGAATGACCTTAACTTGTTCTATGGAGACTTTGTAATTTGTAGACTTTGATAGATGTTTTGTCTGTAAACAACAAAGTTTGAAATCAAAGTCTGAATAAAGAAAGTGTGTATCAAAGTCTATTGATGAATGGGTGCAAGTTTCTAGGACCTTAACTTGTTGGAGACTTTGTAATTTGTAGACTTTGATAGACTTTTTGTCTGTAAACAACAAAGTTTGAAATCAAAGTCTGAAAAAAGAAAGTGTGTATCAAAGTCTATTGGTGAATTGGTGCAAGTTTCTGGGTTGTCATGACAAACAATTAAACTGTTACCATCCATCCACTCAATGTAATCTATTGCATGCACTGTACATGCACTTAATACAGTAAAACCTGTCTAATCCGAATGCTGCTGGGACCAGCCAAAAGTGTTTATATTGACAGGTGTTCACATTTTGAGGTTTTTTAACATGGAAATCTATTGTAGATTAAAAAATGTTACCACAAAAAAAGTGTTCACATTGAGTGGTGTTTGCATAAGAGGTGTTTGGGTATACCAGTTTTACTGATTGTACTTGTAGAATTTAGTGCAAAACATATGAGGCAGGGCCTTAAAGTGGCTTTCACTTTTCTATAGTTTATACAGTAAAACCAGTTCACGTGGAGCAATTTTGGTACCTCATAAAAATGTTCCACTTGAGGTGTTCCACTTATAGAGATTCATTTAACATTTGTCAGTTGATCTTGGGATTAGAGAGAAATAGAAATGATTAAAAAGACCTGAGTAACACTTTTCAACATCTATGGGATAATGTTTAATGTTAGAACGAAAGGAAATTACCTCTGACTATTTGCTTTTCTCTTTCTTAAGAATCCTCCCTCTGGAAATATTATGAGCCACTTTCTATGTCTTGTCCAGAATATATTTAGCAAGTGTTCTCCTAGTGCTTTGATCTCACGTTCTCGGGTATCTTTGCCCTGTTAGAATAAGTAATAAACAAGTTCATTTTTCATAACAAGCACTAATAATGAGAGTACAAAAGTACTGAACACATACTAGATGCTGGATAAAGTCTCCTTTGTAAAAAAGTGTTAAAATAAAGTATGATATAATAAAATGTATAGCTATAAGGATATGGATAAGCACTTGAATTCACTATTCATGAACTGTACTTAAAGAACAAATTGTGAACAGTTCAGGAACTGTGTTCAAGAATTATTCAAGAATAGTTCAAGAACAGTTCAGTTACTGATATATTCACAGATGCAGAATTGATTTTGATTTTGTCAAGTGAAAATAGCTTTGGAGATATACTGTACCTGTTTGATGAAGAAGTCACCCCTGATCTGTGAAACAAGGCCAAAATTTGAATACTTAAACAGGTGATCTATAATCCATATGGACCCACAAACTGCTCTTCCTTTATTCAACAACATAGTCATAGCAGTTGGGACATCTCCCGTAGACTGGTGGTTGATTAACATAATAGCTTCATCTGTGTCAAGCTTGCTGATGTCATCACCAACCTCAGAGACTAAAGAAAAAAATTCACTCGGATTTATGTTTGTATAGAAGAGTATGGTGAAAAATCTAGGGCTGATTTAGCATGTTTCAGAGAAAAATGCAAGACTATTTACAATGAATGTTATTAAATTTCATATGTACAAATAGAGTTAGGTAAATATATTTGTCGAATTCGGAACAAATTCTGGAGCCCCTCAAGTCAATATCAGTATCCTTAATGAGGTCAAAGACTCCTGAGTGCAATATTTTACACTAACATCATGGTATATCCATTATCACATCCAATGAATATTTAGGAATAAAACAAAAGCATCAATATTGGCCCCTAATTACTAATTACACTGATTACTCTTTCTTACATTGTAATTAGAGTAAGGTTATAATTTGCTCATAAATTATTTAAGGCAATATGTTAGTCTAAAGTAATATGTTGTAATAACAGCTACAGTAGCAGACAAGGCATTAACATGCAAAATGTCAACACCTGCCATTTGTTAAAGATGCTAAATGCTGGAAACCAGATGCCAAACACCAAATGCTGAACACCATCCTCCAAAAAGTTAGAGACCATAAAAATATGTCATTTTTTGTGGTGGTGACATAAAATTTAATGTACAAAATTCTGCCCTGAATTCAAATCAGCTTTACTCAGACTAATGCAGATCTGTTTGCAGAAGCTGAGGAGATCTTAATTTTTACAAGTCTGAAAGTTGAAAGAATTTATTTATGAGCAGTGAATAAACTCATGGTCATCTGGTGACTTATTCCGACAGGATAAAGTGCATATGAAGTTGACTTTATGCGAAGTGTATAAATAAAAATACGTACTTGTATAGCCTGCAGTCCATGCCCAGCCAGAGAGCATGTACAGAACGCCCTTGAAGAGCCATCCCTCCAGTTCCCAGAACAGATCTGGGTTAGCCCAACGTAAGGGAATCCCAAAGAAACACCAGAGAATGTAGGTAGGAATGCACTGCAGGTTGTTGAATGTTACCCAAAGAATACGTAGAATGCAGAATGGTATTAAGATGTACCACGGAAGATTGCGCTTTGTCTCAAGAGAAAACATTATGCATCTGTTGTCACATTGAGCAAATGGAGAGCATTATCTGCAATCAAATAGGTACAATAGTTATATAAATTAATTAACAAAAGACACATACGAACAATAAGAAATAATTACACAAGTTGTAAAAAAAATAAAAAAGGTAATATTTAAATGAAACTTAGATTTCTACAAAAAAAAATTCCCACTTTTAATGTGGTGGGCATATTGAAAACATTTGTTCTGTAAAACCATTCATCGATTTTACATCTTTCCACCAAATACCTTATATACCTAAACTTCGTTTATTGAGATAATAAGTAACAAATGACCACATAGCAAAATTGTATGGAAAAATACAGTACATTCATATTATCATGCAAAATGTTTGTAAATTTCTTATGACTTTTGTAAAATTTTAAATGTTTGTGAGTACTTTGAATTTAAAAAATAGAAACATTTATATTTATCCTAACTTTTGTATATTTCAGATAGTAATGTATAATATGCAGCAAAGCTGCGGCCTTTTGTAATTTAGGGAGTTTCAGCCATGTTAATTTTTCCGAAAATAACATGGCAGAGAAGTATCAAAATATAAGAGGACAAAGATATAATAGCCAGCGCTTGCATTAGGTTAGAAAATTTGTGAGTCCCAAGGACGCAATTTTTTTAAAAAAGTGTGTCCTTTGAAAAAAAATTGTGTCCCCTATTTTGATTTCTTGCCGCGAATTTAAAACGGAAGTAAACGTTAAGTACGGACTGAATAAATGCATGTTCGTTCATTCGACAATGAATATATTTTATTTCATGAATAACTGTGGCGTGTCATGGTTTCAAAACAATGTCGAAAAAATTCGAGAGAATCATGATTATTTGTAAATATTCAACATGTTGAGCCTTATTTACGATTCAAATAAAGGTGAGAGATCATAATTATTTGTTTTTGTTAGGTATCGTTGAAAACCCATTCTAGTATTGACTCAAAAAAATTTTGCGTCCAAAAAATGGAAATATTTTCAATTTTTGCGTCCTTCAAATTATTTTTGAGTCCTTAACATGTACGGGACGCCGTTAATGCAAGCCCTGATAGCTAAACTAGAAAACAAACTAAAATATACAGTTGGGGACAAAAATAAATGACAGGTCGATTTTCGATCACCATTTCCTAATTATGGTGGTCTGAAAGCCCATAATTTCCAATATTGTCTAGATATATATCCCTTAAAATTTGTATATTTTACATTTTGTATAATCTCATCCACTGATGTATGGCCTCTTGTAAATTCTCTTATTTTTAACATGGGAAATCCTCACTTCAGCAAATCCACCTGTCATTTATTTATGTCCCCAACTGTACAAAAGTTAGGAGAAGTATAAATGTTTCTATTTTTACATAAACTGTTTCAATTTGGTCATTTGATTGCTTATTTTTTAAATTCAAAGTACTCACAAACATTTGAAATTCGTAAAGGCTAGAGTACCGACAATTGTCGGTACTCTAGACTCTGATGTGGTGGCACGCTAGAGGACCGACAAATAAATTGTCGGTACGGGAGATATGCTGTGTTTACACGCTAGAGGACCGACAAATATTGATTTTCGAATTTTCTGGCGCATGCGCAATGCGCGGGGGGGATATTTCAGATATCATACGGATATTTTGGGAACAAGTGCAAAACCCGGAGAGGGCATTAGCCCCGGTTACCCGGGGATTACCAAACCCAGTCAAAAAATGGTAGCCCGGGAACAGGGAATGGTAGTAAACGTTGAAAACCCAATAAAAAGGAAGGGGCGTTTGCTACCCATTAGATAGAAGAAAATAGCTAGAATGTTTTTTAGAGCTTATCGTATGGTATGAGGTTCCATATCCATCCGCCAAAAGGTATATAGTCCATTTAAGGTTCAACTGGAAAGTAACATTTTGGTAAAAAATTGCTATACCTGCACATGTTATTTTCTGGTACAAAATTAAGTATGAAGGCATGTGTGTATTTCCTTGCTTTTTTCAGGAAAGTATCATTACACTGTCTACTTTAAGTAAACCTGGAAACAGGTCAATGGTAGCTCCTGTGTTGTCTGGAAACTTTGAAAGAAAATTTGGAAAAAAAGAAATTGTGAAATATCAGAATTTCCTTGAGTTCCCATTGAACTCCTACTAGATATTCTTAAAGAAGACAGTGTAATGATACTTTCCTGAAAAAAGCAAGGCAATTGACACATGTCTTCATACTTTATTTTGTACCAGAAAATAACATGTGCTGGTATAGCAATTTTTTACCAAAATGTTACTTTCCAGCTGTACCTTAAAAACCTGTGGTATCGTTCTAAATAACCCATAGTTGGCTTCTAGGGCATTAGGTATGCCACTATTTGGTATCAAAATAAAGAGGAGTTCAACTTTCATTTGAATTACGAAAATAGCGATGTAGGTCAAAATAGTTCCGAACGTGAGGATGTTTACTACGCGTTTGCCTGTCATATCAGAATTGAGGAAGTGGTAGCAAACGCGAGTTACAATAAACGGACGCTGATATCTCAAAAAGTAACCTGACTCCCTATAATTTGATGTAGGTCAATCGAACCCCTATATGGACAGGTGCATTTTGATGTATAACACTATGGGGGGTAAGCGTTTCATAGTTGGTCACGAACGCCATATGTGCAAAGTATTGTTATGAATTTTCGAATTTGGTGTTGGATTACGGTACTCATACCTTATAGCACAATTTTTGATGGAAGTTGCATTTGGCTCCCTTAGTTAATGGCTACGATTCCATCTCGCATGAGAGAGCTACCAAACGCAAAGTAAACAGTGATATATTCCAAATGAGATATTTCTCCTGTGCCATGGCGTAGTAAGGGTAGAGGTCGACGGGGACGAAAGCATCCCCTCCTAATTGTATATATCGACCCATTAGATAGAACAAGAAAAGAGCTTTAAAATGTGTTTTAATTGAAGCTTGTAGGACAATTTTGATGGAAGTTGAATCAATTTTTGTCGAAATAAATTATGGCTCACTACAAGTTAATGCCTGTACGATTCCATACTGCAAAAGAAGCACTATCCCCCCCCCTCAAAAGAAAAAAGTAGATCTTGCCGGGATTCGAACTCGGGACCGAGTGTGTTCGAATCGTGCTCGCTAACCACTAGACTACCAGTGCTGAAGTTATTTATGAAATTAAAAGTAGTGAATTTATTTATGAAGTTGTCGGCTCTCTAGCAAAAACACGTAGCAGCCACTTGCGTACCGACAATTGTCGGTTCTCTATCTGACACTACTAGGTGACGTTAGAGTGCCGACAATTGTCGGTACCCCAGCAAATACCCCTGGACAGTCTCCAGTACCGACAATTGTCGGTCCTGGAGCCACTCCGTTTGAAATTTTACTGTACTACTCAAGCATTCCGAGTCCGGCCTTATTTCATTTCAGTCCCTCCATTTCCTTCTTATTCGTCAATCATATTTTATCGGTTAGGCGTGCCCGATCTCTTTCCCTCATCCTTATCCCCTTTCACTCTTTGTTAGAGTCTAGTCTATAATAATTTTCATTTTGACATTTTTTATTAAAATGGGCGATAATATGTGAAAAGAAGGTTTTTAGCCTTCATTTAAGTTTTCTTGCATAAATTTACAATATTCGTTCCACTACTTACCTGATTTCTTTCGCCTGTAGATATTTGAGACACTGGTCGTCATATACAGTATCGAATATAACTGTAAAAATATGGTAAATGTAAAATAAAAAAATCATCCGATGGATTGCGTCTAAATGTCAAACTAGCTTTAGAAAATGAAAACGAAATTAAATAAGCAAATTATTACAGGGTGTCCCAAGGAAAAGATTAAAGATTGATAGGCTTATTTTACTCACTGGCGGATCCAGAAACTAACAAGGGGGGCAGTTTTCAAAAAAACATTTGTGAATTTGAAGCCCCTTTTCATAATTTGGCCTTAAAAGGCCCACAAAGGCCAAGTTATGCCCACCCAAAAAGGCCTATTTATGAGGCCCTACACATTTTTTGGCATTAGGTAACAAAATGGGGAGGGGGGCATTCGTATCACATCCCAATTTTGTTCCACATGGAGCAACATCGTCCAATCATCAAAGTGACTAAGTGCACGCACTGCTTTAAAAAGTTCAAACTTCTGTGCCCCAGTACCTAAACTGACACAGCCATCACACTATTTACTTTATCACTGATGGTGCTATGTAATGCTTCACTCTGTAATAGTTGTGCTCGATGGAAATTTAGGTAATCCTGACCAATATTCAGGCATAATGATTTACCTCTGGGACAACATGTAATGTAATGATAATGTTTTGATTTGTTATTTCGCAATATTCTTTAAAACTCTCACGCAGAGCTCAGAGGTTAGTTCAAAAGTAAATGCAGCTACATGTATACATTTCTTCAAAACGAATGCAAATGGTATTGAAAAGCTGACGTCAATGCTTTATCATGTTTTAGTGATAAAACAAGAAAAATAAAAGTTGCACAGTTAGATCATTCAAAAGAGTTTCAACAAACTGAAGGTGTTGCAAAAGCTGAAATTCGTTTTCAGGCAATTTTGGTATCCATTCCAGGAGTTTGACTTCGGCTCTTTAAAACAGAGCTGTCCACTGTATGTCCACCACTTGGGTGTCAGGATCGGAAATCAACTTTGACAACTAATGCCATGCCACTTGTAAAATATTATAACACAATGGGACCATTGCCGATATTTTGAGACACTCTGTATTGAGTACAGTAAAACCTGTGAAGTGTGAACACTTATGAACCGTGGAGCCACACTAAATGTGTTCACTTTGGTATGTGTTCACCACAGAGAGGCAATTTTAAACAGAAGTTAGTAGAGTATGTGCTTAGCCTCAGGGCTGTCTAACCATCTAACATGAGTGACTCACAAATGTTAAACACGTCCCTTCACATTTTGGACACCTTACTGAAAACTGGTCAATATAGGACACCTAAAGTTTTTTCAGCTCGCTGCTCGCTGTCGCTCGCAGTTCACAAGTCCGTCAACAAGGGGGAGGTGTAAATATTTTCGAAACAAATGCGTGATATATACGGCGCGCAAAGTCCGAACGGAATGCGTGAGGGTTGACTGGAGAATGGTTGTTCACTAGACACAGGTGTTCACTAGAGAGAGGTGATGACTAAACAGGTTTAACTGTATACTCCACGATTATACGAGGGTTGTCATTTTGATATTTTCAAGTGCCAGAATATTGCACTTTAGTTAATTACATAATTATACTTTTAATAACAATATTCGTCGGGACATTATTACTATATCATTAAAACAATCAAAATCTACTGAGGTTATTGTGTGTCCTATGAAATCAGTTCAGTATTTAGTTCTTAAAGTGTCATATAGTAGGCCTATATATCGTAATCATATAATGCAGGTGGGAAGGTTCATATGCAATACGAAAATGATCGGTGCAATATGTTCATACTTGGTATTTAATGAAAAAATAGAGCTGGGTGCTGCACAACGATTAAAAATTGGAGGTGTACAAATATCAAGATCAGAGTCCCTAACTCATCTGGGAATACCTCTTTCTACAAATAAATGTATCACTAATTATGTAGATGAACGTTGCAATAAAGGTTTGAGGCAGTATTACTGCCAACTAGCAATAGGTAATCGCTGTGGGGGGCTTACTCCAATATCAGCCTCAAACCTATATAAGACATTCTCTTTTCCAAGTATGCTGTACGCAGCACCAATTATCAATTATCAGGATGGTGATATAGTTAAATTAGAAAATACTCAAAAAGATATTGGAAAACGTATACAATATATATCAAAAAATGCTAGTAATCCTCTGTCCTCCACAACATTAGGATGGCTAGATGTCGATCTGTACATTGATTTTTTAAGCCTGACATTTCTTTGGAGCTTACTGAAGCTACCGTTTACAAATGCTTATAAAGCGATCTGTGTTTATCGCATATTCTACCTGTGGAATGTAGAGAATCAATGTAACATATTTTCACCCATAAAAGCAATGCTTCAACGTGTAGAGACATATGGCCTAAGGGTCGATGTGCATGACATTTTATATGGCAACTCTGATATTAGTAAATATGCATGGAAACGGATGGTTCTGTCAAAAGTCTCAGATGTTCAAATCCAGAGAACATATACAAAAAGCCTTATGTACAGTGGTTTAAATCACTTTCGTAAATTGAACTTTAATACACTGAAACCTAATATTTGGTGGTGTGTGGCACAGCAATTTCCAAGCGCCATGGCTTCTTGTATTATAATGTTCAAACTGTTAACTGGGGAACATATGCTCAATAGTAAATATCGTGGAGGAGATAACAAATCCAAATTATGTACAATGTGTGACTCATATGAGACAGAAACAGTAGAACATTTCATATTCTACTGTAAAGCTGAATGCTACATTCCAGCCAGAGAGAAACTGGCCAAATTCTGCACGGAACTGAAAGTGAGATTTGATTGTGACAAAATCCTTGGCATTAATGATACAAATGATCAACATACTATGTTGAAGTTGAAACATGTTGCAGAATTAGTCAAAATCAACTATAATCTCAGAGCTGTGAAAATAGATAACACTGTCTGACTCTGAGACACACATATATATATATATATTATATACAAACATCTTGTAAATAGGTTGTCTGTCCATATGTTAATTTTATTATATTTGATGTAATTGCATATAAATAATATGTATCTCCTAATTAAATTAGGGCAATAAAGCTATACATACATACATACAATACCTTTTATGAAAATATTGATAAAATACATCTGGTTTGTAAAATGTCTTTGTCACCCAATTAAAAGTAATATAGTGTTATAAACTTATCAATACAATTTATTCTAATTCTATGTAATAAATGTTAACAATAATTGAGAAATTGATACACAATGGAAATTATCATCTCATCCCGCGGGAGCCCATTTGTAAATATTCAACGTATTCCAGGTAGCCATCTTTGTTTATATCGTACTTTGACAGGATACGATCGATTCCAGCTAAAATATAATTGAAAAAATATCACTCTGGATGACAGACAAATGATGTTGTACCAAGTCTCTTACCCGGCCTTCATCACACAATTTCTGATCCATTCTCTACCCCTATTTACTCCATCTTCTTAATTATCGCCCTTTCAGGAATGGAAGTGGTCTTGTTGGTGGCGTGAAGGAGGGCCGGATCCTGCTATTACTGTCACAGGCAACAGATCGTGTAGAAGAGATGTTTTGAAAAGAAAATCCATCCCTTCCGCTCTGTGTACAAAGGTAGGTTTATTTGGTTTCCTTGATACACACAGTGGGAGGGATACATGTGTTTGTTTTCAGGACAACTCTCTGTTCCGATGCCCGGTCTATCGATATACTTTTTAATAATGGATTTAATACTAATTTCAGAACTAGTGCGTTCTCTTCCTCCACCAACATACATACCTGTTAATCTTTCATACGCTTTTTCAACTGAATTCTTATATTTTTCGCTATTATGGTCAAGTCCATGGGCATCATTGGGTAGACTAACCCTCTCTCCCCAAGCATGATAAAGTTCTAAACCATCAAGGTATTCATCATTGTTGAAGTCATGCTGCCTGAAGATGTACATTTTAATGTATAACTTCTACTTTCTAGGTCATTGTTATAATTTTACAATACTCTGCTCATAACATGTCATTAGACAATCTTCTGATTTGGTAAATGAAAAACCACAATTTTTTTTAAAAAACGGATCTGAGCCAACTGGTATCATTGCAGAAGAAATACAATTATGGCCGTGATGAGAAGTAGACTGTACCGGGTATCTGTTTAATTATAGTGTTTTTAATTAGACAGCTTCCCTGTTAATACAGAGAATTCAAGTCCATGTATATCTAGATCTTGAGAAACTTACGTAAAAAAGTGCCACAAACGTTCTTCCGTTGTCATGGATTTGTAATCTAGTTTTACTTTCCCATCATAATGGTCTTCAATATGCCTAGTAAATACAAGTATGAAATGGATGAATTGATTTCCCATCAATCCATCAATCCAATTAATCAAGCAAACAAACAAATAAACAAACAAGATATGAAGAAGGCAAACAAACTTACTCGACATCTTCATTTGCCTCTTTTATACTTTTGTCATCTTGAGGGTCGATCTCAATATGAATATGATCTTTGGCTCCTCTTCTCCCACTGCCATTGTTGCCTTGTATTGTTGTTATGGAAACTAGACATATTGCTATTGCAACTGAAATTAAGTTGTTTATAGCCATTTTTTATTTTAGCTTACCAAGTTACAATATATGAAAACGATAAGTGGTTTGAGAGAGCATTTGGTTAGTATGCAAACTTGTATATGTACATTTCAAAAAAAATCATTTGTTTAACCACCCAGATGTCAATTTCACATTGAACCTAATACAGTTAAGAGTAATATCAAATCAGATAGTGAGTAGTGTTATAGTCAAAAATTTTATTGGCCGGTTGGCAAGCCATACTTTCTTTTCTCTTTGATCACGTGACCCGGCTAAATCCAAAATGGCGGAAGGCATGAAAGCACAAGTTTCAGCTCTTTTGAGAGGAATTGACCGGTAAATATAGTTCTTTGCTTCTATGTTCTATTTGACTTAAATTAATACATTATTTTAAAAACTCATGAGAAATAACAGGTTCCAAAATCTCAAAATAAGCGTGATATTGAGGAAAATGTGCCAATTTTAATTTTTTTTAGATTTTCATTTTTGCCACTCCAATATCCCAGATGCGAGTAGAAATGATCTCGATTTACGTCATTAACAATTCACAATTCAGTCAAACTGATGTCATATTTGGAATCTACATGTAAAATTACATTTAGAAATGTGGTTTTGAAAAGAGTTTATCAACTTTGAAAATTTAATTTTCTTTGAAAATGCGACTTCTAGGTCGGGGAGATTCCCCATAGAGCCCATGTTGTAAAACCACAAAAAGTGAAATATATTTTCTTGTGTTCGGCAGATAATATTTTCTTTTACTGGACATATTTTTTTTTGTATAACTGATTAAATACATAAAGGTAATATGAAAAGTGAACCATTAAAACTGATGCATATTCAAGTTAAAGGGAATTTTGCAATACCCTGCCATGTTAATTCCCCCGAATCAGCCACCTGGTGGCAAAACTGGTAACTACTTACTCGCATCTGAGTAATTCCAATGCAATTGCTATTAACACACAGGATCAAATCCTATACTTAGGGCTGATGTGAAAAAGTCACTCTACCGCGATGGGAATTGAACCTACAGCCACCCAAATATCAGTTAGGGACTCAACTGCACTGCCAAGTTTTATCTTATATTCACAAAATCACAACTACCGGATGTTGATTGTCGGATTAACCTATTAATTTGCATGAATTAACCCATCATTTTGAAGTTGAAATAAAGGATAACCCGTTTGTCAACAAACAGTGATCACGTGGCATTTTATGCCACTTTAAATCTGTAAAAAGCCCTTCATTGAATTACCCAACGGATCCTAAGTTATTGTTACTAGCTGCTTAAGGTCTCGTGATACTTAACAGGAAATGACAAAACAGGAAGTGACAAACCATGCTGGATTTCAAACATTTTTTGAACCAAGATAACAGATTTCTGTTTTGACCTAGGGATATTCTGACCATGGCCATTGTGATCCTGATCATGTAAATGATATGAGGAACTAGTTAAACTGACTGGGGGTCAAAACTCTGTTACCGTAATCACCGCATTAAGGGCCCACCCCTAATAAGCTCCCACCCCACTTCACAGAGTTCAAGAAATAACGAGGAATGACCAAGTATTAGCGAATATACGAATAAAAAATCAAATTTCCAAAGAAATATTGTGGGCGATAATAGAGTACTTACACTAAAATGCAGAAAACATGACACATTTGTAAATCGATGCATCCTCCCGATGAATATCTATCAGTGGGTGCTTCCCACATCATATTAAGCTAATATTATCTCAAAATAGTCCATAATGAATGAAGGAAATGATCACGTGTCAGAGTTTTGTTTCGACATTCTACGAACTTAGCGTCAAGGTCGTGAACTTTCTTGTTTCTTTTTAAGATTTCTCGACTTTTACATGAAAAATGATGATCTGTCATCAAATTAAAAAAAACAAGGTATAACTTTAGATCAATATCTAACAGTCTATAGTGGAAATATTTAAGATAATCGCGGAAAACAATTCCTTCACTTCAAGGGTAGAGGGGCTCTGCTGGGGAGTTCTTCGATCACTGTCAATATAGTTAGCAGCGGTGGCGGTAGGCATATATTTTTGTGAGTCATCATGACTCAGGTAGTTTCAAAAAAGTGAGTCACAAGAAAAAAAGTTGAGTCAAAGCTATAAAAGTGTTTTTCTTGAGTAAAAATGCATACAAAATGTAGAAACCACATACAAAATCTATTTTTTGATTTTGTGCATACCTTTTATTGTACTCTTATAGCACATTAACAACTAACAATTAATTAATTAGGCAATTGCAAGAAAAATGTCACTATTAATCATCTGATTATCTGGTCCAGCGAGTCATGGGTGTGAATGGAGTGGGAGAGGAGTTTCTCCCTGTGTGGAGTTACACAAATTGGGGTCAAAGCGTTTCATGTTGAAATTCAACATTTTTGCAATCATTCCAAAGTCTAAAACGGCAATATAAGTCCGACCACAATACTGGGCATCATTTAAATTGAATACGGTAGAATCTTGTAATTATAAAATGAAACCGAAAGTAGATTTGTTTTCATACCTAATTTATCATCATTACCCCCCTTAATGTGCGATCGACTGGATTTTCATATGCCCATTATCTATCTTCATAGGATCAGCTTCAGATCTAGTGAATCGAAGATCTTAACTTGAGGGAGTTAATTGAAAATACTTGGTGAAAACTTACGATAGATCGGTCACTGTGAGCACCATTGATAAACCTACTGTGCATTACATCTGCGCATGCTGATGAAGGGGACGGCTCAAGGAAACTTGCTAACTTAGCGAAGGAATTTTGCGAACTTGCGAAGGAAACTAAAGGTTCGTAAATCTAGCGTGTGAACATTCAAGGAAAGATTTTATGCGGTAATTTAGATAAATATACGATCACTAAAATCCTTAGAAGGGAGTATGAAATTAATAAATTATTGTTCAATGTTATGTCCGTTTTATTGCATTTTTGATACGCCCCCTAGCACACGAGATAAACAAATCGAGGGATCGATCAATGTTTTCAAGTTTATCATTGAATCTGAATCACAGGGCTTTAAAAATTATATGAAATACCGAAATAAGAAAATGATCGGTAGGAAGGAGGCTCGATTGCGCTGAACGAAATGTTAGATTTCCGGAATTAGCAAAATTATAAATTTGATCAATCACGTATTTTCACGTATAGGGATCAATTTAACCAAGTACCAAGCGGGGATTTTGCATGTGAAACAAACGTGCGTCAGAAAGACTCGGTAGACAATGAATATTTGCGTCAGAGTTGCAAAAATGTGAGTAAAAAACGTAAAAAATTGCGTTAACGCCACCTCTGGTTAGATTCTTGCTTTATTTTAGCAATCTTTACCGTATTCTCTCCAATAACGATACATATCATTATTGTAAAATATGCTGTTACTTTCGTTGCAAATAAGGCATTTTTGGCAAGAAAAATTCCCATACATGAAATCCCGGGGATTTTGGACTTCTTTCATATATGGGCGCTCTTTGTAATGGGTTACTATGGGAATTTCAATTTTAATCTACGGCAAATACAGTATCTTGGTTCAAAAAATGTTTAAGATTCCAGCATGGTTTTGACACTTCCTGTTTTGTCATTTCCTGTTAAGTACCATGGCACCTTAAATAGGCCAGTGAACCCATAATCCAGGCCAGCGCTTGGGTTTAATGCGATAGGTTGCAGCTACGGGGATATATGGCAGGTTCTATTCATATTTAAGGCCAGGGTAGGGTGCATGTTCGGAATTTTGCTGCATTCATCAATTGAATCACATGTTATTTTTCAAACAGGAATCACTCCTTTCCCAGATTGTCTACATCTTCCAGTTTTGCACAAAGAATGCATTAATGTACCTAGAAAAGAATGTAGAGAAGAATGTTTTGATAAAATGTATTTTTCCTTTTCAAGTCACTGCAGTGCTCTAGTTTCCTTGTTAATACCAGTCAGCTAGTTATGATCATTTTGTTTCTTTGCTATTTCAGGTATAACCCGGAGAACCTTGGGACACTTGAGCGCTATGTGGAACTACAGTGTAGGGATAACACATATGACCTTGAGGCAAGTCTTGCCGTCCTAAAATTGTAAGTACAATTATTATGTCTGTTAAATATGTAAATAATCCATCCAAATATGTTTTTTATAAAGACATGTCCATCCATTTGTTTGTTCATTCAACTAGCATTTCTAGGCAATATCCCAAATACAATTTGTTAGATTTAGTTCACACTTTATAAGGTTATGGGTAATATGGACTAAGCATTATTCTATCTTCTATATCTAGTAATTTATTCTAACCAAGTCTAATTATTTTAGCATGAAACGTTCATGAAAAATTAAATATTTTTATAGGAATTTGCTTCATCATCGAGTTTCTGTTTTACAAGTTTATTTTGTTGTTTAGAGAGTAATATTTATTTACTTTTTTCAATTGGAAGCTACGCTTTATCTTTGTTCCATAAAGTCTCAATATCCAAAGGTCAGAAATCAAAGTGTATGTGACCAGTTTGATTAATTTGAAAATCTTAGCAAGTTGCAGTGATTTTTTCTCAGGAATTCCAATTTTTACCTAATGTTGGTCAGAATATGTCAATATTTCAGACTTTTGTGACAAGTCACAAGATGACATGTAATTTTCTAAAGATTGCAGTTCTCACTTCCTATAAGATCAGACATAATTGTACTTTACTTCACTGTATTTTCAGGTACCAGTTCAACCCCATGTATTTCCAAACACTCGTGACGGCCCAGATCTTACTGAAAGCTCTCACCAACCTTCCACATACAGATTTCATCTTATGTAAATGCCTAATAGATGCACCTAGAGTATCCTTGAAAAGTATGAATAAACCTGCATTGACCATGTTATGTTAGTTATACATAACACAGAAAAGAATTTTAACAGTTCTTGTTTAATTGAGAAGTTTCTTGTATGTTTGTTTTTTTATTTTATTTTTATATTATAAAATTGTATTAAAAAAAGATACCAAAATGTCAGAGTCTGCATTGTTCCTTGTGGATATGTTTTACTTCAGAGAGTTCATAAGCATATATGTCAAGGGGAATTGGTTTTTTCTCAAAACATTCAATTATAGAGAGGTGTTCCATCTAACAGGTGTTTTAATCATAATATCCCTTCACATACTATATGCAGCAGTGTCATTTCTCCAATGACTGAGTACTAAAACCATATGTTATTAATTGTTGTTAAACGGGGGACAGTTTTTAATCCTTTTTAAGGAGGACATAAAACGACCCTTGCCACTGATCTGATAATTGCTCTTATTCCACATAAAAAACACAAATAGCCTTAACAATATGCTAGTTATCTGAGGAGCCAATCAATAAAGTGATGATGCTTCATGGTCTCCTTGAGACATGTTGCTTTAAGGAGTTCTGGCAGCTTGTACAGGATAACCCAGACCTCATTGGAGGAATCACAGGGTTCGAGGACAACATCAGGAAATGTAAGAACACTATGGATTCTTTTTTCTTTTCATCTGAATTCCAAAGTAATCGAAAGCTGATCATGAGAATTAGCAGTCACCTTTTCTAATATTAAAACATGTGGGTGTTGATATTGAATTTTGTTGATATTTTTTTTTCTCATTTGTTTTAGTTATCTGCCACGTCATCAGCATAACCTACCAGACCATACAAAGAGATATCCTCACAGAAATGCTTGGTGGAATATCAGGTACGGAAACACATTGGAAACTGCATTATTCAAATTTCCAATTTGAGAAGCATAAGAGTCGAAATGTTAAGTGATTAGATATTAACTTATGAATATTATTTCCTAGTCACATGTAGGACATAGACCAATCAGAGAGTGAAAAATATGACAGTGATATAATAACATAAGATAGCCTATGGTCAAAGAGAATTAAAAGCCAATGCCTGGAATATTATCATAGTTCATAAACAGGGATTCCCCTTTCATCAAAGTCAATAAAATTGTTGAAAGGTATTGCCTCTGCCTGACTTATGTCACCATTTTCTAATACATTTTAGATCTGCAAGTGAAGAACTGGATCTTGAAGTATGGCTGGAAGGACTCTAACACAGGATTCATCTCTGTGGCTAACCAGGAAGAAAGTGTTAAAACTAAAAATATTACTGAGAAAATCACATTCGATAGTAAGTATTGAAACCTATAGCTATACTGTATTACGCTTATAATGGGGGGTGTACAGCTGAACTAACGTTAATGGCTTTTTTGTATGGAATATTGCTGATCTATAAACAATGAAATAAGGCACATTACTATCAGAGGATCACGATGGCTACATTGTCTAAATTACATGTGGAAGGAACAAGGATAAACACATTTCATCATGTTTGTCATTTTAAAAACATTTTATTGATTTTGTTGATCACAGATTTTTTGCGTATTTATTTTCAGGTGTATGTGGTATTATGGCTATCAGGTGATAAATGAAACAAGGCAGTATATAGTAAAATATGAACAATTTCAACAACTGACATTCTGCTTAGTTCTGTAGGAGGTCGGGGTGACCATATAAATAAACAATATTCTGCAATAACCACCTTGTCATGGGGACATCAAAAACATTTTTAAATAAATATAACTTTACTCCACTCACTAATTACAAGACATAGTCATATGGCGAGTAGGGAGTAATCACTGGATTCCTGCCGCATTTGTATTCCACAACTAATCATGATACAATACTATAAAATAGTTGAAAACAGTCACCCTCCAAGACCTGAAAATAACAATGCTACAGACCAGAATTGAATTGTAGCTATCAAAAAATAAACAAAATATCTTACATAAAAATATGGTGTTTTTTTATTACATCAGATGATGTTATTGTTGGATCTATATTTACAAAACAATATCCTCAAAATCTGAAATTGATCATTTTTCATTGTCCACTGTCCTGCTATCAATCTTGTTCATTCGTAGTATACAGTGTACTAATACACTGATATTTTCACCCATGAGGTATATTGCTGAGCTTTGAAACTGGTCACACTAAATGAATATTAAGTTGCGATTTCCAATTTGGAAGTTTCAGCCCATATACATCAAATAGTACAATGGGCAAACTGACCACCTGAACATTTACTCAAAATGTTGAAAAACTGATCAGATCCCTTAAAAGGAGGATTGACAGAAAGGCCCCCTTTTAACACCCCCCCCCCCCCCCCAAAAAAATGGACATGGAATAACGCAGATGTGACCAAGTAGTTACCAGTTTCGCCACCAGGCACCAGATGGCTCGTTCGGGTCAGATAGCATGGTGGGTATAGTAGAAAGTTCTCTTTAACTTAAATTACATCTGTTTTAGTGATTCAATTTTCATATAACCCTTATGTATCAAATTGATATGTAAATTAAAATATGTCCAGTAAAATAAAATGTTATCTGTCCAATACAAGAAAAGATACTTCACTTTTTGTGATTTTGTAACATGGGGTCAATGAAGTTACATTTTCAAAAAACAAATTTATTCAAACTTGATAATTTATTCAAAGTTGATAATCAATTTTTGAAATTTTTGAATAATGACGTAAATCAAGATTATTTCTACTCGCATCTAGTCTATTGAAAAGTAATTATGACTTAAGTGGTGACATATTGTTATAGTTTTTATGGTTGGTTTTGAAGTCAATATGGCTGTCAATTAGACTGAAATCTGTACACCATGTGAGCCCAGTAAGCTTAACATACACATTGTACATTTAAAATGATCAGCTTTTCTAAACTAAAATAATTAAAGATTTCAGCAAAATATATGAAGAAAATTTATCCACCATATGTTCTTACATCAAAATGAGGCTAAGTACAGGGTGAGCCAAAAAGAGGTAACCCAAACAAAGTTTCATTGGTATTTTCCAAATGGTCAAAGATATAAGGTTATTGCTAAATATGACTTTAAACCCATTCTGAATAATTGAGTTATTAACATTTGTTTTGGTTGCTTTTTTTGGCTCAACCCATATGTACGGACCGGGAATATTCTGATCCGGCATATTAGTCCTCAGATGACCAAGGGACATCTTGTATTTCAGTCCAATCTTGTTCTCCTTAACAACATTTACTCCAAACTTCTTGTTGCATTGGTACACAGCTGATAGGTGTGTCCCTTCTAGTTTGCACACTTTGGTTTCCATAGTGTAATATATGTAATCTCAAGTTACATCCATGACACTGTTGTATTGTTTATATAGTGTTGCAGCCTGGGAAAGCTCGTCAACCTGGCTTGAATCGAGGGACAGCATCTTCACATATTGATAGAGGCCACATCCTGTAAAAATTAGATTTGTCAATTAGTACATTTAAAAAGTTTAAAACCATACAAAATAACATGGATTATGTGTTAAAAAGATATATTTATGGTTAAAAAAATCAGATTTTTGAGAAAAATTCCATATAAGGCAGCCATTTTGGATAAGATTCACAAATCTTATAAGCATTATACATGATATTGAGTTGTTTAGACTTCAGTCTTTCTTTTAGAGCGTTCATTTAGATAAAGATCTGTCTAGACCTTTGAGACTAAATAATTGATGTGAGCTGATCGACATCACTCACATCAATTCACAACCTTTATTAAAATATGAGAGGGATGATGAATAAATCAGCCATTACGGACCATGTCCTTCAGAATAATTGTGTAATGGACTGGAACAATACTACAGTTTTGGACAATGACAATAAGAGACTTGAAAGAGGGATTAAAGAATCTATTTTTATAAAGAGGAACAATAATAATATGAACAGGATCAAGGGAACTATAAATTGGCAAAAATTTGGAATGAATTTTTGGTGAATTAAAGGACAACTGAAATAGCTTTTCTCAACTTGCAGCTACAAAAATGCGGTTTTCTCCATTGTAAGCCCACCGTAGAGTTCTTGCGATAGCCATTATAAAATAAATGTTAGATAACTGCTAACGGTCATAGTTAACGAAATAAAACTAACCGATAAATCAAATTGGCCCCCACGTGATTAGTAACGTCATATACAAAATATAGTTTTGGTTTATTGGTTCCATAGTAATCACAACGTCACGGCAACCATAGGATTGTTGTGTAAACAAATAACAAAACATTTTGGCATTATGACGTCATGATCTAATGGACCAAAACGGGCCACGTGGGGACCAGTGAGAGATAACGTGGGGGCCAATAACGTCACAACCAATTCGAATATTGCTTATTAAGCAGCTATAACGATCGTTAGAGTGAAATAGTTTTCACACTACTGATGAGAAAACATGTCCAAATACATCTATCAAAAAATTATATTGATTTCTTTAGGTTAAAAATACCATTTCATATCTGCTTTAATATGATGAAATATTGTTTTTATTTAATTGTTTTGTAGCGCTTCAGTTCAGTTTTTATACAGTTGAAAAAGGATCCAGACAGGATCCGAAACGTCCTGTTTAGTTAAATAAAGGTTGTGAAAAGAAGACAAAAATAGTTATGTGCTTTTGAATATCATTTGAATATTGGTATTTCTCAACAATGAAGTTTTGAAAGGCTTCAGATATCTCTCAACTATAATCTACAACTAATCAAATCTGTTTACAAAATATAATTAGAATATAAAACACTGCTGCCATCTTTAAGTCGGCATAACGACTTAGTTGTTCCATGTACATTTTGTAGCTTACATCTGGACTATTAATGTGACTGTATCAGTAAGATCTGATATTTTCATCTGCATGTTCATGTCAATCGCTGCTCGTTCTTGTCAATAACAGTGTATAGTTCTGAATATGTCAATCGAGCCCATCCTCTGATCACAGGGCTTCAAAATCCAGAATATATTCTTTCTTTTTACCCCCTGCGATAAGCAGTTAGCATTTCCCCGATTAAGAACTCGCAATCTGATTGGCTGTCGCAACACTGCGACAGAAATCATGTATAAGTCATTGCGCATAATTAGATCACGTGGTTCAGTTTAATCGGGCGCTTCCAAATTGGTTATAGCAGGGGGAAGAAGGAGGTACGGATTCTGGATACCTGCTTAGGAGGATGATCAAGCCTGTCATACATTTTTTAGAAAAAATAATGAAATTTGAATTTCATTACAGCTTTGCGTTGTGCTTGATACATAGGTGGATAAATATGTCACACACAAGTAGATAACATTAATAGACATCTTATCTCAAATCTGTTTATTTAATGTTTACATTCAGATAAAATTACACTCAAAATGAGTTACAGCCTCTACATTGAGATGGCTTTTAATATAAAAATGCAATAGTTTCAAAATTTTATTTTTACATTAACTCATTCAATACTGGGGCAAAAAGCACTAAAATACTGAAGAATTTTTGAAAATTCCTATATATGGTACCTATGAGATAATATATAAAATATATACATGGGCATAAATATGTAGTGTTATATATCATTTTAAAGCATATGATATACTCTATCAGAATCAATAAGTTTTTAAGTCCCATTTTATAGGTTGTCATGGTTACAAGATTCCAAAAAAATACATTGGGTTTGTGCTTGGACGTGATATCACGTCATTCGTAGTCAACGTATGTGCTTTATGACGTCATATCACGTCATTCGTAGCGAATGAGTTAACACTATACTACTTTACTAATATAGTCCATTCCAATGTTCAATGTGAACTTTTTGAATACCAGTATTTTGAACACCAGTATTTTTCATTTTACATTTCATTTCATCTTAATATACTATACTATGTTTAATGTTTCTTTTGATGATATTAGCAAACAATTCTGTGACTGACATACCAATCACATTGGGTATTTAAGAAGTCAAGGACATATTATTATGTCAAATTCTGATAAATCACTATACATGTCAATAATGCTGCTGTGTATTTTGAACCTGTGCATTGTACATTGTTTACTCTGTGTATTTCACAACCCAGATATTGCCATTGTAATCTCCTACTAGCAGTTGTCCGTAATTGTCAACTACTACAGCTTGAGGGTTCTGTAGTCCATCTGATGATGTCAGGAGGTATTTGATAAACTTGCCATCTGGTCCTAACAAATGAACCCTATGATTGGAGAAGTCAGCCACTATGATACTGTCTGCTGTATCTGTACAAACACCATTAGGGAAGAATAGTTGGTTCTGTCCAGTACCACGGGTCCCATACCTGAACAGCTCAGTGCCATCTCTGGTCATTCCCACCACACAGTGTGCATTGTTATCTGATACTATCACCACATCTTTGCTATTGACAGCTACCCAGAGAGGGTTATTGAAAAACCTTGCTTTAGACTGAGTCATGATTCTGCCAGTTGCACTATCAACATGATATACAGCCTTTGTTCTCTGGTCACATATAACAAGTTCCCCTCTAGAGTTCACTGCTATGCCACTACATTGTTTTAATGTGGGTAGCTTTAAATCTGTAATGTGAGTACCATCCTGGTGGTATATGCTGACTGTACCAGTTTGACTCATGAGATATATCTCTTCATCATTAGTAGCAACATTGATACAATTATTACCAAATGTTGTCTTCAAAGTAAAATTCGTGTCATAGAGATATGATGGGGCATTGTAACTATTAGCTACCACTTTATTACTGTTAGTAACAGCCAAATCCCATACTTGATGAATGCCATTTAGCTTATTCTTCTTTAAAACTCTTGACTGAGCAACTTGTTTTATTGTTGTTGGTCTTTTAATGGATGTTGTGTCTCTCAAGTTCTGTATGTTCACCTTAGTAAACACAATTCTGTCATTGGATACGTCACCTCTTTGAATTTTGAATGTAATGTTAGTGTCAAACTCAGATGCCTCTGTATGGCACCATTCCTTTGATTTTGAAGTGATGTCTTGAGCCATGTTAGCCAATTGGGTAGCATGTCCATGTTGTTTTAATGTTTGTAGCTGGCTCATTGTGCTTTCGGTGGTGGCCTTCTGCATTTCAAGGTGTCCTAGATGGGCAATTGCCTGTTTGGCACATGTGGCTCTTTTCTCAGCCACTATGTTGATATTCTTTGTGTATTTATCCCGAATAGCTTGGATAGCTATGTTCATATCATTGTTCAGTTCATGTTTCACGTTATCTGCTTCTTGCTCCATTTTATCTTTCTTGGTATGAGTGTTTTGTATGGTTTGTTCAAAGCTCTCTACCAATTTGCTACCTATCTTGAGGAGGTCATCTATGAGTTTCACATTGTCTTCTGCAGCCTTATTGACATCCATGCACTCATGGTTAGAATGGTTAATCACGTAACAGGTTGCACAAACTGCACATTGATCCACTTTACAGTATATCTCAAGTGGGTTGGTTTTATGTGTTTCACAAAACACTACACGCTGTCTTACAATTTTCAGTGCACTCTGTTTATCTTGAGCCTTGTCACCTGTAAGGTCAAGTATTGTGTGACCTTTTAAAAGTTTTCTATGCCATCGATCACAGTCCTTACAAAACTTTTCATTGCATTGTATACATTTTGTTAGAGCATCAGTTTCTATTTGTTCACTCTCCTTACACACTGTACACTTGGGTTTGTCTCCAATAATATCCATAGATTGAAATAGATCCACTAATGAACTAGTGGTGAAATTGACCTTAAATTTTGCCACTCCCCCTGCAGGTATTGTGTGAACTTCTCGACATTCAGGGCAGCTTAGACAATCTTTATCTCCTTGTTTTGTTTTCTCTAACTGATCCAGGCATTTACAACAATATGTGTGCAAACATGGCAGTGCCCTTGGGTCTGTTAGTGTCTCATAGCACACGTTACATTTCAATGTCTCTTTCACTTGTTCTTCCATTGCCGTCGCCATCTTAACTCTGAACTGAACATCACATGATTTTTTCAACGACCTTGTGTCTCATTTTCATGACTTTATATTGTGAATGATTAACTACTATAGCACACTGTTTATTTTTTTGATAAACACCCGAAGCCCAATGCTTAAGTCTCTATTTACTAAGTGAATGATTTTTAACACCATAACAATAATTAACCAAAAATTGGCAACTCCATGGAGTAGCAAACCCCCACAAACAAATTCATATTCATTAATCTGTATATGTCCCAAAAATATCTACTCTATGAATATCAGCACATGCATTTTCTCCAATTTAAGCATTTGGGTGATCATTTAGGATTATCAAAGCTACAAATTATAAAGAAAAACAATGTTTATGATCTCCAGTCATTTCATTGGGATAACTACCTCCTTTTAAAAGTGCAGAATTTAAGAATAATAAGTTAAAAACTTCCATTTTCATAATGGAGCTCAAAGATAATGGCCACGAGAGTAAGTATTGATTACTATTGGGTCAATGGAGACACAATTTGACAATAATTGTTAAACAAAGAATTTTTTAATCCTGTATTACACACCCCATACCAAAAAATGGCTATCAAGACCTTCTTAAGCAATATAATAATCTTGAGTATTGTGTGCATTATAGGTTTTCTATACAACATGTTCATGAAGAATACTCTGACCGAATTTAGTGGCTTGGCCCTTGTTAGGAATGAATTTGTCTAAAAAAACTTTACCACTGCCTTTTACTATTATCTAAGTAAGTTTAAACATGGTAAGACTAGTATGTATAGGAAGAAATTAAATGCTGCTATCCCTGGGATATAAATTCATATCTCTCTACAATTTAGAGCAACCCAGTATCATACACATTTTGCAAAATATTACAATATTATTTACTTATTGTCCTCATTCAATGATACACCATCTGTTTTATTTCTAAACGTGACTGCATTGTTTAGCCTTTAAGATTTAGCATGGGCATTCAATAAATAGTATTATATTGAAAGCCCATGGATTTAGCAAACTGTCTATTTAGTGAGAAAATTCAAGGATATTTACCAGTTCCAGTTAGGAGAACTGCAACCACTGTCTTGCTAACTTGGAGTCCAATCCAATCCATTGTGGAGTCATCCTCTCTTAAAGGTGTTGCTGAGTCAATACGTCGTTGTGGAGTTTTGAACTGGTACAATGGCCACCAGGATTCCCGTATTTCCCAGCATTCTTTCACAGCCCTCATTTCTGCTTCGTAATTCCTTAAAGAAAAGCAATAAATATCATAAGTTTTAAGTCTTTGCCAATTGGACACTAAATACATTTTCTCCATCTTTAAGGAATTATGAACATTACCATTTCGGCTGAATTACCATTCAAAAATATATGCCCAATATCATAAAAAAATGTTTTTCAATGATTTCTCATAAATTCTAAAAAATAGCACCCGATGAAATAAAGACTTTCTTTGGCAAAACCGCTCCAAAGGGAGCATCGGTCAACGTGGTAGCAATATAAAATAAAGCGTTCATTGAAGAAAGCTACGGTTGACTGTTCATGAGTGATAATACATCAATAAAAGCATTTCATTTTAATCCATTCATATTATGGTAACTAAAAGGAGTATATTCTTATCTCTTTATCTCCGGATTACCTTTCGAAAGCGCCAGTTAGTTGGTCCGCCAATGTCCTCCATGCTTCTGAGTGGTTTCTCCAGCAGTCATAGTCAACAAAGTCAAACAGCAAGTACAGCCTTTCTGCCAAAGGACTTCCTAAGAAATTGAAAATTACAAATTTTATATTGTCATATGGTCATGACTCCATCATGACTCCAATCTTTATTAACTCTTAGCAGTCTATACCCATCCGAAACACATGTTACTGAGAAATGGAAGACAGGGATTCTTTACATTATCATTTGGTCATGACTCCATCATGACTCCAATCTTTATTAACTCTTAGCAGTCTATACCCATCCGAAACACATGTTACTGAGAAATGGAAGACAGGGATTCTTTACATTATCATTTGGTCATGACTCCATCATGACTCCAATCTTTATTAACTCTTAGCAGTCTATACCCATCCGAAACACATGTTACTGAGAAATGGAAGACAGGGATTCTTTACATTGTCATTTGGTCATGACTCCATCATGACTCCAATCTTTATTAACTCTTAGCAGTCTATACCCATCCGAAACACATGTTACTGAGAAATGGAAGACAGGGATTCTTTACATTATCATTTGGTCATGACTCCAATCTTTATTAACTCCTAGCAGTCTATGTCCATCCGAAACACATGTTACTGAGAAATGGAAGACAGGGATTCTTTACATTATCATTCGGTCATGACTCCAATCTTTATTAACTCCTAGCAGTCTATGTCCATCTGAAACACATGTTACTGACAAATGGAAGACAGGGATTCTTTACATTATCCTTTGGTCATGACTCCAATCTTTATTAACTCTTAGCAGGCTGTACCCATCCGAAACACATGTTACTGAGAAATGGAAGACAGGGTTTCTTTACATAATCCTTTGGTCATGACTCCAATCTTTATTAACTCTTAGTAGTCTATACCCATCCGAAACACATGTTACTGAGAAATGGAAGACAGGGATTCTTTACATTATCATTTGGTCATGACTCCAATCTTTATTAACTCCTAGCAGTCTATGTCCATCCGAAACACATGTTACTGAGAAATGGAAGACAGGGATTCTTTACATTATCATTCGGTCATGACTCCAATCTTTATTAACTCCTAGCAGTCTATGTCCATCTGAAACACATGTTACTGACAAATGGAAGACAGGGATTCTTTACATTATCCTTTGGTCATGACTCCAATCTTTATTAACTCTTAGCAGGCTGTACCCATCCGAAACACATGTTACTGAGAAATGGAAGACAGGGTTTCTTTACATAATCCTTTGGTCATGACTCCAATCTTTATTAACTCTTAGTAGTCTATACCCATCCGAAACACATGTTACTGAGAAATGGAAGACAGGGATTCTTTACATTATCATTTGGTCATGACTCCAATCTTTATTAACTCCTAGCAGTCTATGTCCATCCGAAACACATGTTACTGAGAAATGGAAGACAGGGATTCTTTACATTATCATTCGGTCATGACTCCAATCTTTATTAACTCCTAGCAGTCTATGTCCATCTGAAACACATGTTACTGACAAATGGAAGACAGGGATTCTTTACATTATCCTTTGGTCATGACTCCAATCTTTATTAACTCTTAGCAGGCTGTACCCATCCGAAACACATGTTACTGAGAAATGGAAGACAGGGTTTCTTTACATAATCCTTTGGTCATGACTCCAATCTTTATTAACTCTTAGTAGTCTATACCCATCCGAAACACATGTTACTGAGAAATGGAAGACAGGGATTCTTTACATTATCATTTGGTCATGACTCCAATCTTTATTAACTCCTAGCAGTCTATGTCCATCCGAAACACATGTTACTGAGAAATGGAAGACAGGGATTCTTTACATTATCATTCGGTCATGACTCCAATCTTTATTAACTCCTAGCAGTCTATGTCCATCTGAAACACATGTTACTGACAAATGGAAGACAGGGATTCTTTACATTATCCTTTGGTCATGACTCCAATCTTTATTAACTCTTAGCAGGCTGTACCCATCCGAAACACATGTTACTGAGAAATGGAAGACAGGGTTTCTTTACATAATCCTTTGGTCATGACTCCATCATGACTCCAATCTTTATTAACTCTTAGTAGTCTATACCCATCTGAAACACATGTTACTGAGAAGTGGAAGACAGGGATTCTTTACATTGTCATTTGGTCATGACTCCATCATGACTCCAATCTTTATTAACTCTTAGCAGTCTTTACCCATCCGAAACACATGTTACTGAGAAGTGGAAGACAGGGATTCTTTACATTGTCATTTGGTCATGACTCCATCATGACTCCAATCTTTATTAACTCTTAGCAGTCTTTACCCATCCGAAACACATGTTACTGAGAAATGGAAGACAGGGATTCAGATTCAAAGATGTACTTCAGATTGCTAAGGGTTAAAACCACAAATCAGGACTAGCTTTGAATACAAAACATTTTAAAAGATTTCAAAGTTACATATTGTATTTAGAAAAAATGCTACATACTGTATTTAGAAAAATGTTATTGAATATTAGGAGGCTCATGTAAAACATTTTATAAAGACACTGATATCCTCACTTACAGTACTTAGGGAATCATGTAGAAATGCACTATATTTTCCAATTTATAATAGGGAGTTTAACCTGGCATGTAAAATCGAGACGCCAACCTATACGTATGACCAATCTCCCGCATAAACGCATCTCTTAATATATAGGTGTGAAAAACATTGCAAGCTTAAACTCCCTAATATTAAATAAACTGTACCTATCAAGAGATAGTGAGAGAAATAAACATGATCCGAGTCATGGGAATTACTTTTTTTTCTCACCTTGTTGCTCCAGCAGATTGTGATACTCCAGAACATGGTCATCAGATGGCACAAGATGAACCAGTTTCTGAAAAACATGTTTAAAATAAATTAATCAAAAATAGATGCACTTTTGGAATTAACCAATATAGGTGATTGACACTAAAATTACACCAGGCAGGTGGAATTCACACTATAATTCAAAATCGCCGGGCAGGTGGAATTGAACCACTCTGACGCTAATCAGCTACAGGTTTGAAGCCTGCACCCCAGACCACTGAGGCTCAGCTCGGCAATGGCAAGAAGGATGTTCAAAGGTTTATATATGTTGAAATCATCTAAGTAAGTCAAAATGGTGTTTTTTAATTAAAATATATATTTAACATTTTTCTAGGTTTACAAATAATTCCAGAGTGAGTCTAATACCGGCTAGTACACTAATCAAATGAGAAATAATTTCTTGATATTTTGATTAAATCATATTTTTGATATTATTGTCAACTTCATATAAAAATCTAATTTTGAGATAACATGGAAGCCATTGTCAGACACTCTACAGATGACAAACATGTATGTTTTACAATGTAATATAGTTATTAATCTTACCTCTAGGCATGAAATTCTGTCTTCAAGTGAGGCACCACGAGTTTTCAAGTTGTTATAGAGATATCTATGAGCATTTGGGTTATCCATGTTTCTTTCACGATAATCCTCCAATAGTTTAGTTGCACCTTCAGTCTCATGATATTCAAGCAACTGTAATTACATGTTATGAAATTGGTTGGTTCTTAAAAAACCTGCAAATTATAATCACATATAAATCATTCTTACACTTTTATTATTGTAAATATTCTTTATAAAGTGCCTATGAAGGCAATTACGTTCATCTTTTTGCCCATCCACGCATGTGAAAAAATAAACAAGAACAATTGATGTCATAAACTTGACCAATCATTTTGCTCTATTCTTCAGAATTTTAAAACTCACAATGTATTCAAATATTGCTTAATTATAAAGTCATTAAAAAGGTTTTACTTCAATAATTTTTAAATTTTAATTCAAGGTAGTTCTGAATAAATATGTTATTGCATGATAAGGGGGATATCCACTTGCTGACTGCAAGTCAGTCATCAATTGCTACCAGCTCATACTCCTCTACTGATCATAAAATAACTTGTCAATATAAACAACATTTACATAAAAATCGCTTTCATTTTAATATTTTTGGTACGTGTAAAGCATAATATACATGTAACTCACAATATAACAAACAAATAAAGATGACACATACAGTGTACATATTTGTGTAGAGTTCAAAGTTTGAAACTTTTTGTTATTTTGGGTGTTTATACCTCAGCATGTTTGGTGACAAATATATCCCAAACTCCATGTGTATTTGTGATTTGTTGGAAATATCGGACAGCCTTTGTGGCTAGCAGAGTCATCTGCTCCTCTCGTTCTTCAATGAGCTCAGCTGCAATGTTAATGTTAAGTTTGATATTAGCACAGTCATCTGCTCCTCTCGTTCTTCAATGAGCTCAGCTGCAATGTTGATGTAAGTTTGATGTAAAGTTTCAGTGAATGTAAAAATTCTGCATTTAGTTCATGAGCTTTTAGTAGTCAAGGTAGAATGAAAATATGGACCTCTTTCTGATTTCTGATTTTGATGTTTTGAAATTTGGAATATTTAATGACAAAAATCAAGAGCATTTCTACTTGCATCATTTGAATCTAGTCTATTGAATCTAAGATTTTAGTAGAGCACCGGGGTAGAACATAAGACTTTGGATTGAGAAGTACTACACTACACCCACCAAAGCTTGAACCCCTCCCCTTGTAGTCATTTCTCAACCACTTATTCTTCTTTTACAACTACTGAAAATTATGTAACTGTACAATTATAATTATGAACAAAAAAATATTCAGAATTTCTCGTTTAAAAGTCTCATTGAATTCTTGCTTCGGTTGTCAACAAATGATCAAACATCAAAATAAATCTTTATCAAAAAATGAAATTGCCTTCACTTACGAAGGTCCTGGTCTCGTGCCCTCTGTAAGCGTTGTTTGGCCTGCAACCAAGATATGTAGACTAGTAACCCCTGGTAGCCTTGCCAAAGACTCTTGACATGTCTTGAGTGTTCTGTTGGTGTCTTGCGCATCTCTTTCGGAAGATCCTGTAAAAATAAAATCTGATGGTATGAATTTATGAAGGTATGAAAGCAAACAACAGTTTAAAAGACTTAACAAAAGACCTCGGAGTAGCAAATCCCACCAAAATTCTGTTGAACACAAGTAAATGACAAGTTTGATTATGTATTAGAACAACAATTACTCCAACAAATTATGGTGTCTACAAGATAAACATCAACTTAATTTTGATTTAGGAATCCATTTTTTCACATGGGTGAACATGTCTCACTACTGTGATATACATAAATTCAATTGTATAGAATTGTGCAAAACCGAGAAATACCATGGAATCACCATGACATGAGAGATGCTTTCCTTACCTCCATAGCTCGTTGTGCTTCTTCTATATTATGCTGACTCAGCAAAAACATAACATACTCTAGTATAACCTCTTTCCCACTAAGATCAATCAGTCCCTTGAGATGCCTGTAATTTTAAATGTTTATCAATTAATACAGTAATAAACAGTATACGATTATGTACGCATCCAGCCCCCAATACATGTAATTGCCCATCCTGCTTCAAAAATATCAGGGAACATGGATATGTGAAATGTTTAATTGTGCCACTTGAAATATTTGTGTTGATGTACGGCAAACCCATTGTTTATTGAAAGGTCAACAGGAGATTTGTTCATTAAAGGGCTAAATGTAAAAGGTATTGATTTTAGCATATTCCCAAGAGACAACTTTGGAGACTGTACCAAGACTGCCATTATCTATTATTATCTATTTATTTGATGTGAATTGATCCATTTAGCAAAAGCCACCTCTTGGTGATGACATAAAAATTAGAGATGTAAGTACAAAAATTGGATAGCACAAGGGCCTACATATGTTAGCACTAAACAAATAGGTTAGCACTAAACAGGTTACCACTTAGATACATCAACACTAAGATGGGTACTATCAGTTATTACACGTTTCAGCATGTGATACGGGAAATATTCCACGAAAGTAAAAATTGTATCACCACGAAAGCGCAGCTTGAGTGGTGATACTTTTTAACTGAGTGGAATATTTCCCGTATCACATACGCTGAAACGTGTGATGACGATTTTATCACATACTAAGCAGAATTTAAGTGATTTGATTGGTAGCTTTCTTTGACGTTCTAACTTCTAGTTCCCCAAATGACGAATTTCGTCATTTCTAAGAAATAATAACATAGCCTATATGTGACGTCATTTTGAATTAGGGAAGAATAGAATGAAGTTGTATGACGTCATTTCGTTACCATAGACAAAGTGTGGTACGTGTGCTTGTATCATATGAAATTTATGTGATATGGGAAATACTTCATAGAAATCACTTGATTTCTACATAGTATGTGATAATAAGATATATCAACACTAAGATGGGTTAATACTAAGATATGGTAATTTTAGTTTAGACACAAACTTACTTGACTAGTTGTCTTATTGTGTCATCTTTTCCCTGGCATGAGCTGTGATAGTACACTTCCATGCCTCCCTGGAAAATGGAAATATTAACATTCAAAAAGTGAAAATGGCAGTAGTATATCTTATAACTAAATAATATAATGTTTAGTATATCTGCCTTAGATATTACATATTTTATATATGTAATGCCAAAACTTGTTATTGAAATAGGGGTTAAAAATGTGAAAACATCAATTTTACACATTATATGGTATTATTAGTTCATTCTAACTTAGTGATTTGATCACTCAGCTTCAAATATGAATGTTCATTGTGTTTTATACTCACCCTCCATAAAGCAGTACTTGTGCCTTCAGGGTATTTGGACATTGTTTTCAAAACTTTTGCTGCATCTTCCCATCTAATAAAGTAAAATACACTTATGAGAAACAGAGATATCAAAATCAATATGAACAATTGGTGTATCACTGTCAAAACTCTACATCACCCTACCAATGTGATTTAACGTTCTATCGAATATTGAAATATCCAGTGAACCATAAATTAGATTGGGAGCCCCCACCTCACCCCTTGTGATTTATCGTACCTATGTGCAAGTAGACAACTTCGAAGTAGTACAAAGAGCTGCTGGATTGGAGACTCTATTTTGGTTCCGTGAAGCCCCTCTGAATAAATATCTGCAACATAAATAATTGAAAATTCTTTGCACTTTAATCATATATTATACCTTATAATGCTATGCTATGCTACTTATTATTGGTAAAGTACACTATTACTATACTGTAGAGGCCCTATGCCATAGGATAGCACAATCAAGACCCCTCTGGACTTTTTTGCATATTGAGTTTCACCACATATTCACCCATCTACTTACCAAAGACGAAGTCCCAAATCCCCCTCCTTCAGTGTTAATTTTGCGATTGTGCTGGCCGATCTAATTATTTTCTTAGAAATTAATTCAATCTGAAGTTTGAATATACCGGGAAAGTCCTCATGTTATCTGATTGATCGTTGAATTTGTTTATCATGAACCTGATTGGCTGCCTGGTTCAAGGAACTTGTGTGACTCAATGGGGATTCCCCTCGCTAGCCGAGGAATCGATTGTGTTTAATTCTGGAGTTTGGTTGTTCTATTGATTATTTCAATATTTCGGCAATAATATACCCAAAAGTTATTCCATGGTATGTGAGATATTATATGAGCAATAACAATAGGACATCATTGATTGTCTGGGGGAGAAACCTATGGTATAATGCATCTTTAATATAAACCTTGACTTTATTATCATTCCTAAACATGTATATGATACCAGTGAGCAAAATTCTCTGTTTCTTCATCTACAAAGATTTTGGCAATGAATTGGGGTCAGTCATGTAGGTGTAGCAATATAGCATAACATACAAAATCATAATGCATAATCTTGGTGTTTATAAATGGGCAAATCCCTGAATCAGTCTGAATGCAAAAATATATGTAGACTGCAACCTTGCATATTTGGTAAAAAGTTCATTTATAGTGCACAAATACTTAAAATCAATAAACTGTTGGTTTTTTCTTGCATAACTACAGAATTTTATTGCAATTTCTTAAAAATCATTATAAATCTTACACTGCTTAGCAACTGCCTTTGCCTCAGCGTACCATTCCATGACATCATCATCTTTACACTCCCCAAGAAATAAGTCAATCAATTGGATCTAAAATTGCAAAGTTAGTATAACAACATCAGGTAATTACAATAAAAAAACAAATATTTCATTCTATTTTTGATTAATATTTGTTTCTTTATTCCCATGTTATTAGCCATATTTAGGGAAGATGTACTCATATTTACCTAAGAAATAGAAAATGTGTATTGGTATACTATAACCATCTGAAAAGTTTATCATTCTCTCATTGGATAATAAGCACATAGACATCTTCTCTTGAAAGCTCATGACAAAGATGACACATGAAAAGGTCATATCAGGCTTTAACATTACCACGGTCATGACAGGCCTTGCAATATAGTATAGCATTGTCACGGTCATATCAGGCTTTAACATTACCACGGTCATGACAGACCATGCAATATAATATAGCATTGTCACGGTTAGACCAGGCTATCACGATAACACTACACGGTCATGGCAGGATCCTTGTGAAACTTAAAACACTAATAACATGGTGACGGTTAGGCATAAGTCTTGCAACAGATAGGGTCTCCACACATGCCTTCACACTAAATTTTGTACCAGAAAATAGCATGTGCAGGTAAAGCAATTTTTCCCCAAAATGTTATTTTCCAGCTGTACTGTACCATTGAGCACAGGTTCCTGTGCCATCAGCCATTGAGTATTCCCCGTGTCTCAGCTATTCCCAAGAAAAAATTCAGCTTAGGTAAAAGGAATATTTTATACATTTGACACGCCACCCACTAAACCATTAATGACAACAAGCGTTGCTGCCAGAAAATTCAAGTAATATTTGTGTTATGATTTTGGTGGGTGATAATAGGTTCGATGTTTAAAACGTATGATTTAAATTAAGTTTATCCAATTAAGCGACAAATATTACCAAATATTTCTGCTTTTCTTTATCCATCATAGCTATTTTTAATACTCAAATCGATTTAAAAACAGCCTATGTGCGCAATTATTCGTTTAATATAGATAAAATGAGGACGAACTTTTTTTCATTTTTCGAAACTGAAATCTTCAAATTTGAAGAGCTCGTGCCTCGTTTTAAAAAAGATTTCTGCTACTGACACCTCATCACAAAACTTGGGTAAGTTTTTTGCTTGTATGTGCAATATTCAATTAATAAATTTATAATTTAGATGCTATGTATATATTTAAGTATATAACCTAGCTTTTAAGCTTGTAATTTTACATATCAGATGCAAGTTTGCCAACTCATTGGACTTAGAAAGTTGAAATATTTTCAAAAAAAATTCAATTTTTCTGAGTTCATTCCATATGGGTTATTTTATTGTGACTGAACACAGCCCCTTCTCAGTGGGGAAGAAGAGTACAAGGAGGGGGTCTGCACATATAAAATAAACTTTGTATTTGGAGTTCTTCTTTATTTGCAGACCCCCTGCATTCTGATCTTACTCCCCACTCTGGCCACAGAAGGGCATGTCGGTGTATGTTACTTCCTGCGAAAGCTATTTATATTTTGATATAATAGCTTTCCCATGGAGCATTTGGACAGCTAAATAATTGTGACCTTTGAAATCGGATTAAGTCGATCAGCGGCCTACTTTTGGTCTCTAACTGTATCTTACATCAGTATCATCAATCCGTGTACATGTAAGTATTAGAGCGCTGAAACGAACGAAATGAATTAGTTAGGTTCGGACAACCTCCAGAGATTTACGAAAATGTCCGAGCAGAAGACGCCATATTGGAATTTGGCAGTAAAAACATTCACTCGACTAACAATTACAAGTCTTGATTGAAAAGGAAGTACTTCAGCGCTCCAATACTTGCACAGAAGGATGATAATGATGTATAACATAGTTAGAGAACAAAAGTAGGCCGCTGATCGACTTAATTCGATTTCAAAGGTCACTATTAATCAGCTGTTCACTTCCCCTTTTGAGAGCCATAAGTTTCAAAATCTAACATGGCTCTCGAAGTGAGTAATGTGTATGTACTGTAATTGTATCTCATACCCCCATCACTGTGAGGATAATTTGCCTTTTCCTTATTTTTGACATCGGGCACAGGAAATCAATCCCCACAGAACTTAGATGTCAAAATTGTGAAGTTACGATAATCTACCTCAATGAATTGAAGATGAAAATCTAAACCATGTCAAAAAATAAATAGAGAAAACACCAAATAATGGGGAAGTAAGCTGCCCTTAAATTACATAGATTCTAAACCATTAAATTTGATTGTTTGTACATTGTTGCACTTATTCATCGCACTGTCAGGGCGTAGCCAGCAAATGTCAAGGGGTGCAATTTTTGGGTTTGCATCACTACGAGCAAAGCGAGCCACAAAAAGGGGGTATGGAGGTTCACCTCCAGAAATTTTTTTAATTCAAATTGTACATGTATATGGTGCATTCTAAACATTTCAAACTGTAATTTGTTAATGATTTTTCCACTAATTCCAAAAAATTGTTTTTTTCTTTTTTTGGGGGGTTGGGGGGCACTATCAGACCCATCGCACCCCCACTACAATGTATAGCTGTGCACTTCTTTGTGTCACAAAGACATGCACCTTTTAGGCAGTAGATTTAGACTTTCAAAATTTTGCACTTCATACCCACACATACTGTGTCACCAACATGGTCGTTGGAGAATTTAATTTTTAATCAAATTCATCAAAATTACTAAATATTTTCTGACCCCCTCACCAAAATCATGACTCCATGATGAAGTCTAATCTGAAATTGATTGTAGAACATTGGTGTTTAAATGCATTAATGCAATCAAAACATAAATAATTGTACTATCAAAATTAATTGTTTTTCAAAATTAATTTCAATTGCTTGTGATGACTAATAATACATTATTAATTTAAAACTTTTGGGACAGTATATGTACTAATTAAAGCTAAAATTGAGCGATCACTAGAACCTATTCATAGCCTCTTTGAGAAGTTAGAAGGTACAGTACCATCGATTAATATTTGGTTGTTTGTTTTGTCTTACTTCAGTATATTGTTATACTCTCCAACTTTTTGTGGCTGGTGTTTGGCAGTTGTTGTTTAGTGTCTTTAATAGTGTTTGGCATCTGTAACAGCATTTGCCATTCAGCATCTGTAACAAATGGCAGGTGGTGACATTTTGTATGTTAATGCCTTATTTTAGTGATGGGCTACAGTTAAGGGGCAGTTCTTTTTTATGTCCCTTTGGGAACACATGTACATAAAGCTATTGAATATTTAAAACTATTTTTTACTTGCAGTTTATGATATAGAGCCATAATGAACAAACACATAGGCACAGAGTTAATACTAGTGGCTTATATAGTATGTATAGGAATTTTCCTATCGCAGCCACTTCCTGCTCAAGCAAACATGGACCAAGCTGAACAACAGCAGGGAAATGCAGGACATGGACATCAGGGAGATGAACATGGGGGAAATCTGAAATTTCACGATAAAAATCATATAAGAGATAAAGAGTAAGTATATACAGACCTACGTATCCATAGTCTGGACCTGAGAACTTTTTGGGGGTTAGAGCTTTCTCAAAGTATATAAGTCATGATCCTATCATTTCCCCTTTTACTCTGATTTACTTTGCTAATTCCTTGTCTTTGCCTTATTTTTAGCCCCTGTAAGTTATATCGTACCATACTGAACTTCTTTCTTCAAGCCTTATTATTAAATTGAGGTTATTTGTCATCAAAAGTAAACTAGAAAGATTTGTTGCTGTATAGTGATCCATCCATATGGTACAGAGAATTACAGTGACTGTGCAGTGCTATTAATATGATATAGCGACTGACATGATTTGGGAGTATGTAATTTCACAATTGCTTTCTTTCTATTTTATTTGTTTATCCTCTATTCTGACAACTATTTTTTCTCCAGGCATATCAAGGAGCATTTAGATGGCGTCTCCGGCAAAGATACAGCTGACATGTCAGAGGATGAACTCCAGTTCCATTACTTTAAACTACACGATTACGACAATAATAACAAACTAGATGGTTTAGAGCTTATAAATGCAATGACACATTATCATAAAGGTAGGTCAATGTTATATAGGATACCAAGATGGAAATGCATGTTGTTTTTATATCTAATATAGTCTGATTTATTGAGATATGTGTACATGCATAACATATACTATCAATATAAATATTTTTCCTTCCGAATTTTCCCCATAACTTCTTATATCAATTCAAAATAAAATTTAAAAAAATTGCAAGGGATGACGAAGAAAAATTCTAATAAATTATTCCCTTTTTTCAAATTTTCTCAAACTCTCGACTTTGTGCAAGAGGATTTTCAAGTGGGCACAATTTCATTTTAAATTTTTTATGTGGGTGCACTCACTGCACTGCCCAGCTGCCTCTTCTGTGAACGATTGCAATGAGACTAAACTATTATTTATTGTTTTGTTTATAACTCGTTATATTATAATTGCACATCTGGGACAGGATCACATATGACTTGATAACCGATTTCCTAACACAGGAAATCTCTCTTATTATTCATGAAGAAGTATATTATCACAAACTCATATTTTATCATAATCATGTCATTTTATAACATACACTTATATGCATACCACTACAAAAGTTGCAAGGTCATACCATTTTGAAATTTTTTTTAATTCATAATATAATAAACGATCTGTAACTTGCACCATCAAGAAACTTTGTTATTTACAGAGAAGAAAGACTTATATCAAGCAACAGATCATAATGAAATAACTATTAGGTATTTTGATAATTTAGGACCGGAATTACAGAGACTGCCAGCCTTTAAAATGTTTATTTGTTTTATGATGCACTCATTTAATATTTGCATGTGATTTCTTTACTGCCTACTTAGACGAGACCTTGGATGAAGGTATGGACTTTAAAGAAGTTGAGGAGATGGTTGATCAAGTCTTAGAGGAAGATGATACTGATAAAGATGGAATGATTAATTATATTGAATTTGTACGATCTCAGAGAGAAGATCTAGTCGATGTTTAGTTGAATGTATCGAAATAGTTTACGTGTGATTGAATGTTTTGAACTAGTTAAGTTACATTTTCAGTTTAGTAATTTTTTGTTGTGGGTTTCAGAATGTGATTCTTGCACAGTTGATCATTGATTATATGATATGGATTAGTCCCAATGAAGTTTGTAAATCCTTTATCCAGTCATTGTTTAAATTACAGCACATATTCATATCATTGTACTTTTGTGGTTTAATTATTTCATATGGTTTATGTGGTTATACTGACTACTGAGTGTCGCATCAAGCCCCTTGTCACCTCTCCCCCTCTGTTTCCAAACCAGCCTGATTAAGATAATAAAAAAAGGGGAAACAGGAGCTTGATGCAAAACTATGGCATGCTTGACACTGCAGGCAACATTACTTTATGTGCCTTTTTATAAGTCACATACATGTGTACATATATTTTAAAAGCAGAGGAACAAATATTCATAATTGGATGTCTGAGTTATATTTAAATTCATTATAAAGCTATCATTTACTTTACTTTGCCAAATATTTATAATGTGTGAATTTATTTTTTGACTATTGTATATGTGCGTTTGCTATTATAAATCATGTGTTTACAATACAAAACCACCGTGCCTTTATCTGAAGTATTATTATCATATTTAATATTTCATCAACTTTTACAATGATTGACTGATATTATGGTAAAACCTGTGCATTTTGAACAATTTTGCTTCACCTTTTCTTGTTTATTCACCAAATCGGGGAATGTTATCGTCACGAGAGGTCAATGTTCAACAAGACAGGTTTTACTGTATATGTACAAAATATTTGCCATAATCTCCACAGTTGGTTGTGAAAATATCACAGTTGTCCTAAACAGTGCCTATATATGTTGTGGTTGTTAAATGAATACGTATATATTCAAAATTGATTTGCAACTGTTACTTGTATCAGTATCAGCTCTTCATTGCATTGATAGAGTATCACAAATTGTTCACAGAAGCTAATGATATGGCAGTAAGGCTATACTAGTGTAGTTGGTTGTGGAATATTTATTAAGTGTATAATATCCTAGAAAATGAGAAAATGTAGCACTGTGGCACCATTTGTACTTATATCACATTGTACATGTACATCACATCATCAGTATGTTTTAGGTGGTACATGTTTGCTTGTATGTATTCCCACAGAAGGTTTGTTAGTATGTCAACTTATCATAAAAAGGACAACTTTGCGTAATTTTCTCATCTCTTGCCACCAACAATTTTGATTCAAATGCAGATTTGATTCAGATGCAATAATAAAATTTTCGTGCAAAATAAGTATTATATACAGTACCTCAATTTGCAATGTTTAGTATGGTCAAATGTGATTTTGATATCGGTTTAATGATAAAATTCTGAGTTAATCTGAATTCATATTTTAATAGAGGTTTACCACATTAAGAATTATGTTTCTACTGAATCAGGAATAGATGTATCATACACATATCTTGATATTAGAAGTATGATGTCATAAATACATGCTTGGATAACAATTCTGTCTACCTGGTAAATTGTTTCATATCACTTCCATCGCCATGTGAGTTTATATGAATTTATTGAGCTCATTTTATATGAGTTTATATAGTATTATGTTTTATATTTAGTTTGATGAATTGCTTAGTATCCATTTGTGCTGTATTTTTATTTTGTTGTCCTGTTTTATGTTTGAATTTACATGTTGTCTCATATTGTTTGGACTTTACCTGTACATGTATTTCCATCCCTAGCTCAATGTAGTTACCTGAATGAAGTTGCTTTGATGTTGAAGGAGACACTTGTATACTTTATGTTGTATATGATGCCAGTAGGATCACCCTTAAAGGCCTCATACTAAGTTTCAAAATACTTTTCAAAAATCAGGCTAATTTCTTTTGAAAAAAATGAAAGGTTTTGGTTCTGAAATGGTTCTAACTGACCTTGTTCCTCCATTGCTAGATGCTGACCCCAACGGAATTCACACCATGAATGAAGAAGACACCATGAAACTTGTGGATGATATCCTTGGGCAAGATGATAAGAATAATGATGGTTATATTGACTATTATGAATTTCAAGTTGCTCAAAGCGAGGGAGAAATCAGGGACATGATTGAGGATCAAGATGCAAAATATGCTGAAGCCAATGAACAAGCAGCAGATATCAATTCAATCTTATAGGAGCACAGAAGGAATATAATATGGAAGTTGACTGAAAATAGTGCCAAAATGGTGAAGGGAATTATTTACCTTGTGGATGTATCAAATGCAAAGTTGGTGATTGGGGCTTGTACTAATATTCAATCTTTTGCAATAAAATATTCATATTTGACAATTAATAAATAATTCTAAAACATTACTACTGTAGAACATGTTATTTTCAGTGAAAAGTCCAAATTAGTGAAAAACTAACGTAGTGAAAATGACAATGTTTTACAGTCAAGGTGCATGGATAATAGTAGCATTTAACAGTATAGTGAAACCTGTAAAGTGGAACACATCTGTTAGCCCAAACCAACTGACTTAGTGTTAAATGAACCTCTTTATGTGGAACACATCCAAAGTGGAACACTTTAGAGGTACCAAGGTGTTCCACTGTGGCAGGTTTTACTGTACATCATTTCTCCTGTAGATTGTACCCAACCTCTACACCCTGCTTCTTATTTAACCCATCCTTTCTTTACAGATTGAGCTTATGTTGAAACTGATGTGACAAAGCAGATAGAACACATATTTGAAAATTATGACGTGGATCAAGATGGCTGTCTTGATTATTTTGAGATGGTGATGAGTGGGTGTCAAGGGGAAAAATGTTGAGCAGTGGGACAGAAATCAAGATGAGAATACACTTTGATTGTGTAAAGCTCCCTGTATAGGTTTTATCTGATCACATGTACCCCATGCAGCATACTATCTCATGTTGTCTGTATTCTGTATTGTACAGCTTGCCTTTTGCGCTTTAGATTTATACATAGTGCCATACCCGATACCCTCCCTCCATGTTACAGCATTGTGTAGTTTAGTATGGTATGCATGTTAATTAATCCCTACACTGTTCAGTACTAGACATAGCTAGCCTAAGATCCAAATTTGTACTGTACATTACAGGAACATCAGAATCAGAAACACAAAGGATGTCTGATGATGAGCTTATGAACACTGTAGATGCATATATGGAGAAGGATACTGATGAAGATGGTTTCATTGACTATGCTGAATTCAGTATTTGATTCCAATAAATTGATTCGTATACATATAAGCGATCTCATTTGGATATGAGTGTGAGGTGAATACTACAACACACGGGATATATATGGTATCTTGAGTGGATTTGGGGGAAATATTGATATCCACGATCATTATGAATTCAGGAGAACATTCATAATGGAACACTGAACTGTAATATGTGAAAAAGTATTATCCAGAGTCCAGACATTTTTGATGAGGAGGAATGCTTTAGAACCAGTTATTCAAGCTTTTGTTGTAAGAATCTGCAGTCTGTTATGTTGTCTCTCAAATAGGTTGTCAATTAAGCTTTTAATATTGTATTGATAAAAAGATGGCAGTCTGTAATGATAACATATATAGCAGACTGAATAATGCTGCTATCTTTTGATAAATATGAACAATATTTTTATTGCCCCTCAGCTTATGATCTTTCTTAGCTGCTGTAGGATTATTTTGCTAACACTCTCGACCCTTGAGTGGTTGTGATAAAGACTTCAAGCTTATAGCATTACAAATACTTCTAAACCTCTAGCTTCTCATGCACAAGTAGCTTTCGGAATTAGCTATTCATGCATACTTATAATGGAGAGGTTAAGCTTTGCATATATAATCGAAACTGAACCTGTACGTATGACTCAACCATATACAAATTCATGTAGCCTTCTCATATAAATAGCCGTTCAAATCCAGTGTTTGCTTAGACTACACCATAGCGTGTAATGATTCTATAGTGTGTCATTGATGCGGTTTTATAGCTGGTTTTCTAATACATATTTTAAACGAGCTCGTTTCGTAAGATTTTTGGCGCTAAATCATGCATGACATACATCATCGTGTTCAGCAAGAATTCAACTGTGCATCGAAATCAAAATTGACAGCATAGTGTTCAATAGACACGATTAAAATGGTTCCCGTTGACCCAACGTCAAAATTTCAAATCTCCCGTTCTAAACCCGAAACTCTGAAGCAGAAAGAGTATCTGAAGTAGACTAAGCGCGCATAAAACTATGAGCGCTCGATACATTCCTTTGTTAATTTTTGTACTTTGCGTTCACGGTTACGTTGTGAAAAACATCGTTAGCTTAACCTCTCCGCTATCTAGCTGTGAACGTGTAAATGTAGCCTCTAGCTTTTATCCATAGGTTCTGGGCCGATATAAAGATGGCAACACCAACAGAATCCAGTATTATCTTTTTAACACAGATCGATTACCATGCCATCTTTATTTAAAAATTATTTCTATCGCCCTTAGCCTATTATATGTGTTTATCTTACACCAAACCTCTAGCTATCCATGTGCACCTAACCTCTAGCTTTTAGTGTACAGCCAATCTTTAGCTATCAGTGTATGCCTGACCTGTAGCTATCCACAACCTAACCTCTACAGTAGCTTTTAGTGTACACCTTACCTCTAGCTATTAGTGTTGCTTTGCTTGCAGGGGATGAGCCACATGTTCATGATGACCATCCCAGGATGCCAGATGATCAGCTCATTACTCTTGTAGAATCAGTGCTGCAACAGGACGACTTTAACAATGATGGCTATGTAGATTACACAGAGTTTATGATGGTTCAGCAACGCAACAAACAGGCTAACCCACCTCAACCTCATTCCTAATCCACCCTTTAATTATCCTGTTGTGCACTGTCACCCGCCCTTTTTCCTCATTTGAATTTGATAATCCTGCTTGGGTTATTTAAATGGAGAATTTAGAGTGTTGGTAGAGACTTAACTGTAGTATCTATGTCAGTAGTTGCAACCAAGGAACACAGGGCTACAGCTATCATTTATGCATTTTTTCTGCCAGTGTAATGAAATGAAAATATTCAATTGGGGCCCCATTTAGTACAGTCGTAACTTACAGACTAATGATGACTTGAAATCCATTGTCTACTGTTAGATGAACAAAGACTTGCAACCAGATCATAAGTATGACATTTCTTAAAATGCAGCCCTCATTCCTATGTTGTAGCTCTGTGTTTGTTGTAGGATGTAGTACGTTGGTGCTATGTGTATTATCTGCACATCTATTCTTATTTTTATGTTGTTATTTGTTACATTCTTCCCTGTTCTGTCATGTACTTGAAGAAATGGATCACTGACACTTAAGTCTACATACAAGGGTAGTTTTAAAATACAGTCTTATTTTGGAATCATTTTCTCAACTTCGATGGAATCTTCTCGAAATCTCGAATACATGTATTCAGTGCTAAAAACAATGATGTACTTACAATGCATGAACAACTTAAAGATTCTATCATAATTGAGAGTTATTCCATATTTAGAGTGCAACTTTTTTGTCACCCTGTACAAGAAAATATTTCATACATCTTCATTGAGTGATCTCATCAATTCCATGAAATTTCTTTTCATTACTGATTTTGTTATAGTATTAGTACAGTCATTTATAACTCACCTAGTACACCATTGATCCTCCCAAGTTGTACAAAATACAATATTGTAATAAAGATGGTATCTATGTTGATTTATTCAGCTGTATACATGTTTGAAATGCTTAGCCTCAATGCATTGATTGACATACAGATTTAACAAAATACAGCACCAGTCCTGTTACTTTTGGAACACCCTGTAATTGTTAAAATTTTGCAATTTTGCACAATTATGTATAACTGCTGCTATTTTTGTTGAGGCTACCCTTGTTTTATTACTTTATTACATGCTCAATGCTTTAACTGTTTAATCTGGTGAATTCTTATTTAAAGGAAGAATATGTCTTAAGAGGGTGAAAGAATTTCAAACAATGTTTAAGATAAGATGCCTCTTTCTAAAAGACATATAGCCATCATGTGCAGAATGTGCCACCAAAAACGATTCCAAAATCTTGATATTGTATGAAAAGTTTGCCTGCTATGACTGATTCTCCCTTTAATACAAAAATGCACATGCATGTGTATTAAAGATGCATTTCTAGTATGTGTATTCTGTGCATGTATGTGTATGTTAAATTTATGCCATGTATGTGTTTAGACCTCTTATTCACAAACTTTACACATTTAGATCTCTTCAGGCTTTATCCGCAAATCCAAGCAAAATGATCGCTCAATTTTGGTCATAACATTGGCTTGGACTGATCATTTTGCTTTATTCAATGTGCAATCTTTAAATATGGTACTGTGGTATCAAACAACATTTTACAATTAAATTAATTATGTATATTATATAATATTGTATAATACAACAACAATCTTGATATCCAGTATACAATGGTGCAATTTTAATTTACTACATTATTGTCATTGCATTTAAAATACTAATTTTAACACAATCATACTGTACCATTACAAAGATTAATATTTCAGAAAAGGATCTGACATAACAATTGTGCTAAACAATGTTCTTATTGATCACGAGTCTGAAAACAAGATAGAGTCAACACATGCATTTAGAATCCCTGTTTCAACTGTCTAGTCTCTTACCCAGGGTCTTATATTTAAATTATCAAAATGTCCTCACATTTACATAACAATAATTACAAAACTATGCAAGGGTGTTCTTTTCGTTAACTTCTCAAACTTCCTAATGAGTGTTAATTATTAAGAGTTATGCAAGCATGTACTTTTCATCATCTTCATACCAAATGTTTTGTAAGTTTCGAACAAAATATTAAGTTGTTTGTCAGTCCATCTATTCATCTGTCTGTTCTTGTGATAACTCAAATACTTTTTCAAAATGGTCAACTTTTTGGCTATTATTTAAAGATTCCACATCTTTAAAATTGAGTCATCCAATGTACATAGACATAAAGTGCCTGTTTTTCTAAGTATCAGTTTTATCATTGTGTAAAAACCTTAAAGGGGCAGTAAAGGATCTAGAGCGTTGGATGTTGAAATGAATCATTTTAATAAAGGTTACAACGTTTTGAAAGACTTGAGATGTTTGGTCGTCATACATAAAAGAACAGTAAAACCTGTCTTAGTGAACACCTCTCTCTAGTGGACACCCTTCCTCCACACATACTCCAATGATGTTTGTTAACACTCTCTGTAGTGAACACCTACATACAGTGAACACATTTTTGCGGCTACATAGGCGTTCACTGTATTTAGGTTTTACTGATATAAGAAACAGAAATGTCTAAATTCATTTAAATTGAACAAAGTAGACATTCATTCTATTGTCAGATAACCATAACAATCCATGTATCATTCGAAGGACTCTTTAGAGAAAATATGACAACAATTCATTTGAGCAAAACACATAATAAAACCGTGGGCATTTTTCAACCAATTAAATTCTCTATAGATCCGATATTGTCCCTTTAAGTAAGGTCAGTAATGTGTGTTAAAACCCAATGAAAAGCGATAATCTTTGCACAATTAACCATCGAAAGTTGGCATATTCATAATTGCTGGTTGGGGATAACCACCTAAAAGAAGAAGTAGTAATACAGATGTCAACTCGCTATTTTATACATGTTCCCGGGGCCTATGCAAATGGGTGTTTAAGAATAAAATTTTGAAATGTTATTTGTACAAAGTGTTTCACTTACATGTAAACTGTACTCTATATTGGGAACGATTCTGATATTAGCATGTATGTATTTAAGAACAAAAGGTATTTTATATTTCTATGAAAACAGTACGTTAAATAGTAATATACGAGGTACAATAAAGATCATTTATATTTAAACAATATTTTATGTTGATTTTTAAATATGGTCCTAACATACTAAGATATGGGTTCTGGTTAATGTGTTGGTGGAAGGTTTCAAATGTGTAAATAAAAAGAAATGAACACTTTTCTACCTAGTATGCAATATCAATTCATTCAAGAATCGTCCGATTTTTAAGACCTAAATAAAGAATTTAAACTTTGCTGATCAGAATTGAGACATTCTCCTGCCTTTAGGGTCTTTAAGGAAGAAAATGATATATATTTTACATTTAATTTTGAAGTACCATTGGAAAGTATTTATCCTTTTAATACGGTACGTCTGAATGCCACATGAGGATTATTCAAAATTAAAGCTCAATGGAGTCATTATTGGTGGAATTATGCCTCATTCTGAAAAGTTAAATAGATTTTCACTTGTGTAATTATAGTGCAGGCCAGCTATGAGCCAAATATCAACGTGACCCCCGCACCCAGTATAACAAGTCGTTATGGGTATCAAATTGTTCGTCTTGTTGAGTACATTACAAAAACCAATTTTGACAGATTGAAATATGGGTCAGATTCGATAAATATGACATAATGTTATGTAATCTATTATTATGACATAGCATTTTTTGTAAAGCATTTTTAAAGGAAATGATGAAAAGAAATCATGAGCTAAGCAAATATTAATTGTGTATATACTTTAAAATAAATTTTGATAATTATCAAAAATACTTTGGACTTAGAATTATGTAATTATTACATAATTTCCATTGTTTTATGAGTAAAATTACAATTTGAATTGCCTTCGTTTTTAAGATAACAGAATTTTTGTTCTAAATGATATAAACCTCATGTGCTAAACTAATTCAAGCAATAATATCTTATTATGAGTAAAAACCTTTATAAAAAGACTTAATCTTATTGTAAACAATATATGTCATGATATGTAGCAGCAAATAACAGTACGTGAACGGTTTATTAAGACACAATGATAATATCATTAAACATTTATTCAGATAAACTTATCCAAATATTCATACATATAAAAATCAGGTAACTGTTATGATCATTTTAAACATGATAAATATCAAGTTTTTACATATAAGGGCTTACATCTTTCAATAGAATCATTATATAATATGAAGATGTGATTATTTCAAACATCTTTATTCTAAACATCTGGATATGGTTTTTCCTCAACCATCATTGTGTTTTGGCAATTACCCACCTCACAGGAACAGATAGACATGGACAATAATCCTGCAAGTAGGCATCTACAAGCCTGATTAGTGCGAAATCCATCTTTACAATAGATTTTGGTAAGATCCCTTAATTCAATGGGGGCAGATGCTCTCAAAATCATCTTAGGAACCAGACTTCCATCAAAAAAGTAGCATTCGGTGCCTTCTGGTTTCCAAAGTTTGGGCTTTGCTTTGTGAGCACTATGTCCAGATTTGACATTGGGGATGTACTCCATATACTCTGCACTGTAAGAGCCAGTTGCTGTTATGGTCATTAGCCTTCTTTTTTGAAAACTTCCAGCTAAGATGATTGATTCATCACTTTTTATTTTTTGTCGCATTTTGCACACCTGACTTGCACATTTTGTTAGATATTAGCAAGATTTGCCTTATTTTACCATTCGTAAGAAACCATCTATAATTTGGGCCTACAAGACTACATATCTTTCGCACATCATCTTCATAATTTTCGACTCGCTTTGGTTGGCATTCTTCATGAGGTTTTTGAGTTGTGTTGAATATACAGATTGCTCACAGATTCTGCATAGTTGCTGGCAGTGTAACAATGTGACTTAACCACCTCCCTGATAGACCTGGTTTTCTTACAGATTTTTACAAAAATCTTCTGCAGACTTACATCAGCCAGAAACATGCTTCACTTTCCATCTCGATTCACTATACTGGAAATAAGGCTAGGGTTGCTGTCAAGTGCATATTTCCAACTCATTGTCATATTCTATACACGAGATGGTTGAA